GTTAGAAGTGCCTTTCTGCATTACGGATATGATTGTTTTTCGGTGAATCGAATAATTCCATTGAACATATTTTCATCAATTCAATTCCAATTGATTCTAGATAGATAGATAACTATTCAAATATATTTTAGAATTATACTAAATATTGTTCGATAGGTAAACGAACATGTCTATAATAATCCTGTATTAGCTATACCAGTTGCGCTTATGTGATGTGATCAACAAGAAATTTCAAAACTTCGAGATGGTCGTTTCACCTTAACCCTCTATGAAATAACCATTTCTGTTCAGCTACAGAATGGAAACTCTGAACCTAATCAACTCACCACTCAAGAAGACCTTATGCCTCTACTTATTATAGTCATCAAATCACTAGGGCTATCACATGTAAAGCGTCATCAATAGAATTCAGCAACATCCTGTATAAACCAAGTATGTCAGACGTGTTTGTCATTTGGTTCAAATTAATTCAGTAGAATATTATATGTATAGGGTGATTTAAACTTGGCTAATAACAAGAAAAAGAAAACTGGAAAAGCAAATTTGCCAACAGGGATTTGAATACCTGTGTGTTAGGATTTTTCATATTTGAACATTCTTCAAAATGTTCTATCAAATCTCAGGATTAGTCTGACAGATAGTTGATTACTTCAAAAGAATTATAAATATGCCTGCAACGAAGGCGTAATTCCAGTCAAAATCTTCAAACTACACGTCGATAATTTTCTGATTTTAATATATTGTAATATCTCAATATTGATTCGTCCTTTTTTTCTGTCACGGAAGAAAATAGTGTATCATACCCGGAAAAAAGATTAGATTTCAGCTCACGTTTTTTTTATCAACTATTGATTCATAAAGACATAGCCACCTTTGTTATAATCAACACGAATTCAATGCGGATTTATGCACACCGCTTTTTCATTAATCTGTAATTTCACAATCATTAAGGATTTCACTAAAAAGTTGAAACTTGATATTCCAGTTCATTCATTTATGCACCTAAACTGAATTTAATCTTTCATTAACTATTTGCTAAGAGATTACCAACTTTTAACTCTTAACGACAAATACAAATAAAACTGTGACTTGCGCAGGCACGATGTTGTCAGAAACCGTTTCTTGCTGTGAGCTCCCTACGTTTTATAAGAAATTATTGAAATCCCCGATTTTTCGGACCTCTGAAAACGAGGCGATGATGTGACGTCAAAACCCTAATACTGAAACAAGACTATTCCAGACAGAGATTAATGATACATGATTTCTGACAAAGCACCGAGATTGGTGAATTGGCAAGTTGATTTTTGGGACAAAGATAATAAGAACAAGAAGAAGATCAATTCTAACCTATATTAACTTTTTGCAGCTCCATGTAAAACGGGTCAACGAAGCAATGTTGCTGCGTTTATGAAATATATTGGATTATTGTTCATAAAGTATAGAAATAAACTAAATGACTTGATGAAAACATCCAAGCAAAACTACTACAAGGCTGAAATAGAAAAAAACAAAAATAATTCGAAAAACATGTGGCGGGTAATAAATAATATAACGGGAACAAAAAATAAATCAACTACCACAGATTTTGTATTTAACAATAATCAAGTTTTAGCAAAGAGTGATTTCGAAACCGCAGAAATATTTGCAGATTATTTTACTAATGTTGGCCCTGAATTAGCTGAAAAGATTACCAAGCCTTCTACAAGACCCCCAGCGGCAAGGAGGATCCTGAACTCTTTATTTCTTCGCCCCACAAATGGAAGAGAAATAATTGATTTTATTAATACCTTGAAAGACAATAAAGCTCCAGGAATTGACGGAATAACTGCAGAAACAGTAAAGTGTATTGCCAATGAGATAGCATCTCCCTTATCATATATCATCAACAGAATACTGGAAAAGGGTCTTTGTCCCCCAGAATATAAGGTTGCGGTAATTCAGCCAATTCACAAAGCTGGAGATAAACAAGTGACCTCTAACTATCGACCCATATCTTTGATAAGTAATTTCACAAAAATATTCGAAAAAGTGTTGAAAGTCAGAATAGAAGCATTTATGCAGAAATATGAATTTCTTTCTGAATACCAGTTCGGCTTTCAGAAAAATAAGTCTACTGAAGATGCAATATTAGGCCTAACATCTAAAATGTACGGAGCAATAGACAAGAACAAACCATCTTTATGCGTATTCCTGGATCTTGCGAAGGCCTTCGATACTGTGGACCATAAACAGTTGTCGGAGGCCCTGCACAATATGGGTTGTAGAGGTAACATTCTAAAGCTCTTTGAAAGCTATCTCGAAAATCGCAAGCAAATCGTTAAAATTGGTCAACAAAAAAGTAATGAAAGAACAATTAGATGTGGAGTTCCACAAGGTACAGTCCTGGGCCCCATCCTTTTCTTAATTTATATCAATAACCTTCTCTCCATAAAAACCACCGGAACCATATTTAGTTTCGCCGATGATACATCAATTTTCTACACTGCAGAATCCTGGGTTGAATTGAAACATAAAGTAGAATTAGATCTTCAAAACATAATTAATTGGTTCAACCATAAATTATTAACAATCAATTTCAAGAAGACCATGTTTCTTCCAATATCCAGCTACACTAATAATCTACCAGATTACACCTCTCTTGATATCATCAATGAAAATAAGACTATCACCATGAAGAAGAGGGATAGAGTCAAATACTTAGGAGTAACCATTGATTGCCACATGAGATGGGATCTCCATATCACTCAAATAATTAAAACTCTCCGGACTTTGTTACATAAATTCAAACTCCTCTCCCAACTCATGGAATTACCCCAACTGAAAATGATTTATTATGCACTAATAGAATCAAGATTGAATTATGGAATACTAGGGTGGGGGGGAGTGGCCAATTGCTATTTGGAGAAATTGAACATCTTGCAGAAGCTCTTTCTCAAAATAATGCACAATAAAAATAGGAGATTTTCCAGTGACCAGTTGTATAAAGAAACTGGAATATTTGACACTCGCCAGATGTATTTCTGTAAATTAGCTACATACTGTCATCAAAATAAGCAAAAATTTGGTTCCTATACACATTCATACGAAACTCGAAATAAAATAAATGAAAACTTACCAACTGCCACCAGCACCAAAACTGTTGGACAAAGAAGTCATATGTTTCTGGCCTCCAGAATCTACAATTTTTTACCCCAAACCATTAGAAATATAATTCCTCGCCATATTTTCAGATATAATGTGAAAAAATTCTTGCATTCCGTAGAAAGACGTAGAATTCACCACATTATAAATAATACAGCCCCTCCGAATTAAATAAAATTTCATTTGATAGCTTTCACCGCATTCTCGATCAATTCATCATCAAATATTTCCCAATAACTTCTTGGTGTATTTTATCACTTATTTTTATTGTTATTCATTTAGTCTTAGTCGCAAAATCATATTGATAATCTATAGTATTGTTATACTCAATTATTAGGAATTTAGTAGGTACTTTTTAAATCACTCACACCGCGGACAGCCAGTGGCTTTGCGGTTTGTCCCTCTGTTTATTTGCATTCATAGTATATAAGATGTTATATTGTTGAACTTTATCCAAATAAACCTTATTATTATTATTATTATTATTATTATTATTATTATTATTATTGTGAAATTGTAATGGTGCAAATGGTTTTGAGATTGAGACAGTTCGTTGTCTAGAGATTGTTTATATTCCAATGATTCAACCTACAATCGACAACTTGAATATATTTTTCTGCAGTAGTGGTAGTGGATATCAAAAGATATTTCAATATCGATTTAGATCTCTCGGATATTTTGTTTGGATGATATGGCAACAGTGATAAGTGTCAGCTTCAACTATGGCGAGATAAGGTTTCTACGTCATAAGAGGGTCCGTTTTCAGAAGGTGCTATTATTTATGTCCAAAAATAAAACATTCCAGTTAATTTTTCGATCGAATTATGTCGTCAATCATTATTTATGTATAAAAGGATCATTATAAACATGGTTTGAGTTAATAGTTCTACTAAGGTGTACACGCCCATTCTAGTCGTATGTTCAAATTAGACTTTGAAACCAATATGAATGAATTATTCTTATTGCAATTATGTGATCACTGAATGTTATAACAAAAATATTTTCATAGGGCTGAGTACGCTGAGGACTATGTTTTGATCAAGAAGAATAGTTTAAAATTAAAAGAAGGTGGTGCATGAAGGTATCATAGTCCTTAAATAAAAATGAACTTAATGGCAGTTAATGAAAGCAACAGATTAGTAAGAAAGCGGTGTGCATAAATCCACTCAATCATACCTTACTATTCAAATCCCTTCTGCCAGACTTACATTCGCATTTGCAGTTGTTCTTTCCTGTTATATGCCAAGAGATGGAAATTTGAATCACCCTGTACATACATACATATAACAAAAATCTCAAAATCAGTGGTGTGGGGTTTATTGCATATGTTTGATGGCAATTCATTTTGGGTTTGAATTGTTTTTACCAGAATTATTTCGTCCACCAAGTCATTGGTTTTTGATTATAGTTTTGCATTTTGAGCCTGTAGGTATTTCATACTTCAATGTTCATAAGAGTCACAAGGTTTCAATAGAATTCAACCAATAGTGTCAAAAATATGAAGAATAAAAAGTTGCATGTCAGAGTTAAGGGTTGGACGAATTTTATGTTCATTCAAAATATCACATAGTTTTCGCATTTTCACACAATTTCATTCTAATGATTGAATACTGCATATTGTAATGTGAATGCTTCGTAACTATCAATAGCAACTAGTTTTATTATCAGTTTCGAATAGTTATTACGTTAGACACACATCGTTTTCTTGTACAATTGACACCATTGCATTACCGCATATTGTACAATATAAATAAATTCAAGAGTTTTTCCACCGAACAATTAAGAAACTATACAACCTGTACTTTCAGGTATAACGTGATTCTCCGTGATGTCTTTTTCATTGTTCTCTATGATACTACCTGAATTAGCCTCGTTTAGCCTTTCATTGGAATGACTGCTAGCTATGCTGGCCACCATCTTGTCACTCGACGTACCCTGATTGCTGCCGGCGTCATGATTCGAGCTAGACTTCCGAGATCTCGTCGGTTTTGGGGTGGTCACCCTGTTCAAGTTGGCGGACACGGCTTGCTGGTATTCTATGATTTGCTGGTGTTGGATTTTCGTTTCCAGAATTTTTGTTAGGACGGAAATCTGGTTCTGTATTGCCAACATGAAGTTTTTGTATCCTAGGCTAGGTGAAACAAGAATTCTAATTTGGCACAATATTCAAATTTCCTGATGTTACAGAAGTGACAGGTAAATAATACTGTTTTTTGTTGACATAAAAAAAATCACATGAAAAGTATAAACATTTGACAAAATTGCGAATGTGAAAACAGAGTAAAATTATGCATACAATTACATAACATGAAAAGTATAAAACTTTAATTTCAATAAACATTTGAAAAATCACCTAAGCACATGAGGTGCTTGTGGATGATAATTTAGTTGCTACTGGTTTTCTTGAAATGTTTAAAGATAAAAAATGGAAAATCAAATATCACTGAAGTACATGAAGTGCTCGTGCGTGATGGTTCTTCAAAGTAAAGAGGCTTAAAACAGGCAAGGTTACATTATGGGTTAATGGGTGACGAATAGGTTTGTATTTCGCAATCTTTTGAATATGTCCTAATCATCAGGTAAGTGGGTCACAGTTATACCTAACTGTATATACTTATATACAGGATGATATTTAAGTATGTGGCCAAACTTCAAGGAGTGATTATTTGGGTCATTTTAAAATGAAAAGTTCATATAATAATAGGTCCAGAAATGCTTCGTTTTCAACATACAGGGTGTTAACTTGAATTATGAATTCTAATGAAGTCAATCAATCCATACTCATGAAATAAGATAATTATTGACAATCAAATCATCAGGGACATACAAATCAAACGATAAATGTGTCATAAATGACATAATTTCATACAATTCATAACCCAAGGATTGAAAAATATCTGGAGCAAGACTTATTTCAAATCATACCAATTCAGAAAACTATTGAAACAATATGATTGATAATTTGAATAATTCGGTATGCTTTCTCATGATTCTTTTTTTTTATCAAGTGTCTATTTTGAAACTGTCATAATTCATTCATTTATTGATGAGTCATTATGATTTATGTATTTTCTGTCATATTCCTACTATATGAAAAATTTCTTGTGGTTCTCAAGAAAAAAAATTATCTGAAGAATTTACAAAACAGTAGAAATATAATAAAAATTAGGACGAAAACATTATTATCGCCCAATTCAATGAAGCTATAGGATACAAAGATTCTTGATATGATATGTTCAACGTAATGATGTTCATAGATCAGTAATTGAACTACTTACCACTCAGTATTCGTCCAGTAAGTTAAAATAAGCAGGCCTTGGCGAAGCCTTGAAACAGCCTCGATTGACTGATCGTGAGATTTGGCAGCATTTACTGTCCTTACGACAGCCATCGCATCTCGTAATAACACAGAAATCAGTAACGACCATTCTAGGCAAGTTGCTTCCATGAACAATTGTAATAGGTACCTATTTTCAAAAAACATCATGTCTATCATAATGAAGTTGAACGAAAAAACACATCAAAAGATTTTTTATCTAACAATGAATAGTTGAAAACAAATTCTAGTTTCACATCATTTTATTTGATTTAATAAAGTAAAATGAATCGAGAATAGATATATTATTAGTGATCTGTGTATCTCAGATTATCATTGAAGCATTTCAAATATAAGGAAGTTGGTTTGGCTACCAGAATCAATTATCAACAATCCAGTAGCTTTTGATCTAAGGAATGAAATGATTTCAAAATTGACACCAATTTTATTTACATTTGACATCTTAGAGCCACTCACAATATGAAATGCCACACCCTCAAAAATGTGGTAACTACAGTAACTAGAATTCATTGAGAATAAATATCATATTGTCGACCTTTTTTTAGTCATGGAGCGCACAAAAAGAAATACCTATAGGCGTTTTCGGAAACTTACTCGGGTTGTTCGGATCCCTAACCTGAACGTTTGGTTACCCAAACCGAGTTACCTACCTCTGTTCGGAAACTTGAATGATGCTAACTCGATCACTGACTCGGGTTGATTTTTCGTGACCCTACTCAAAATCAGGGTCGCCAGAGTTGCAAAGGACAACGCATGCGCATCACGGAATTCAAGTCAATCAAAAAACGCGGGAGTTTACATTCGACGATAACAATAATGATAAAATAATTTACATGTTGGGAAAAATCACGACCGGTGATATGCATGTTCTTTTCAATCTTCATAATTTGACTAAAGTAATTCATTGAGAAGAGAATTTGGGTAGGGGTGAAGTTTGTGGTTATGTGCAACAACACATAATGAGATAATTACACCAACCCACAGGTAAATATAAATATTTGTAATCAGATCAAATAATTATGAATTAGTATAATGTGACCATTTTTGTCTGGCAAATTCATGAAACCACAGGAAAAATATAATATTCAGTGTTTCTAACCTGACACGTTCGTAAACGTTGAACACAAGTAGATGATCCGAGTTTTTTGTCACGTGACCTATCTGGATCGAGTTATCAACCCAGAGTAAGTTTCCGAAAACGCCTTATGATACTCGATATATTGTTGATCTTCAATTCAAATTGACGATATTAAATTAGGATACAGAAGTAATGAAAACGTTGTTTGTAATGAATAAGGATTTGTAGACTGTTATCTAGTCCCTATTAAAAAAAGTCTGTCCCATAATAAATTTCCTAATTGGAGAGTAATGCCAAATCAAATAGTTTTCTGAATAATTATTTGTAATTAAAGAAACTAGAACGAATCAAGATAGTTTCATTGTCAGTGATATTCTCCCAATTCTGCAATGAAAAAAAAATTCAACAGGCGGTACCTTTATCAACTCCTTCATTCATGTTCGAATTATAAAGGCATACTGACTTGATTTATTATTCATTTTCTCTTGAGACATTTTGAAACATTAAAAAATAAGTTTATGAATGAAAAGTGAAATAAAAATTGTACTTGTATAGTAGAACAAATACTTATATGAAACATAAAAAAGGAGACGCAATCCTTTTGATATTTTTTGCCGACATTCCGAAGTCATCCGCACTCAACCGCAATTGTTTGGAGCCAGATCCGGACTGAATTAGTTTACTCAGAAACAACAGAAAATAATGATATCAGTAACCTGAATTCTATTATCCATATAGGTGTATGGATGGTTTTCTTGCCTACTTGTAAGCTACTGAGTGATTTATGAAGTCAAATAGAAACAATCCAAAATCTCGTTCTTAAAATAGGATTGAGGGTTGCCAAATATTTGTGATCTATTTTCCGGAAGACCGTTACATTGTGGAATTTAGGAGGAAAATCTCATAAATTACGCTGCCAATTTAAACCCGTACAAATTTGATTCGAAATAAAAAATATTCATTAGTACACTTCATCTTCTTCATCACTAAAATTAGAGCCCTCCTCACTATCATCTGCCAAATCAATAATACATCGATTCCTACCGTTCAGATGGGTAGCACCCAGATTTCTATGTCTGATATTGTTCGAATTTCCAAACTTTATCAACTTTTTCATGCCGATTGGCAGGACTGACATTTTCCATGTGGTTATTCAAGATATAACTTTAGGGTCGAAATTTCGGAATATATTTTTTCTACGGATCATTTTCTTCAGTTGTCTCCAAATTGATTCTATAGGATTAGAAATACAAAAATATGTGGGCAATCTGAAAACTGTATGATAATTTTGTTTGGCAATTTCATGTATAACATAATATATACTTTCTTGAACTCTTTGACATTCAAAACCTCAAGTAATTGGTGTTTGGTGTAAGTTTGAATCATGGGTATAGTTGAAAAATCTATCCTTACGATTAGCACTGTTTGTAACCTTTCCCTTATTACTAAGACTGGGTATCGACTGAATCCGTCCCTGACAATCAAGCCCTTGATATCTCTGCCTCGATCGAGCTGAAGCCGCTTCCTTGCCAATCAATGGTTATAGTATATTTAGGCTGTAGGAGAGATTTGGGCAACTTTATGATTTGAAACCAAAATATCAGATATTCATCACAGTTCACGAGTAGCTACGTCAAGAAATCATATAATCACATTTTCTGTCGTGGATTCAAGAGATGAGTTGACGAAGCAAACAATTCCACGAGTGACAAAATACTGAAAACATGTGGTGTGAAAACTGGGAAGTAGAAGATATAAGACGAAACGAAATCAAAGTATCAATACGAACTACGAAAGTATTTGGGGAGATATTAAATTTCAAAGTTTAACTGCAATGTTTGTGTATCATTGATTAGAGGTAAACAGCCGAACCCAAACGTTTGCTTCCATCGAGGTCAGAAGCACTGCAAATATCAATGCCTTTTGCAATATCAATTAACATTGATTACCATCAGTAAATTGATACTTAACTGAAAAAAAAGTGAAGTTTTCACCCAAGTTGACTCAATTGACAGATTATTATAATAATATGACTAAGTAGATAGAAACAAGACCTCAGACTACTTCACTCTCTTACAATTTGTGTTGACATTCTTCATGTCAACAGAGAAAACATCCTTTTTGGTTCCTAGGCGTTGAAGTTCAACTTTAGCTCCAAGGAACTAAAAGTGTTTCCTAGCAACATAGATGAATATTTTTATGCACGACCAGCCTTGAAGTAGCATTTTATCGCCTGAATTTGTGGGCGTAGAGAACCACTCAACGCACTAGGGCGATAAAGGAGTACAGCGGGCGGTAAAGTTTTCCAGTGGTCGGTAAAGTAATTTCACTGTTTTTACAGTAATTTCTAGTAGACTACCATTCGATGTATCTTCGCGAAATTCCATATTGACGTTAAATAAATGTCCAAACCGGTCGTGCATAAAATGTTGTATGTATTTCGGGCATAACTTGATTTGATGGAACTAGGCATATCAATAGCCTACTTACACGTTGTGGTCCATAAAAGCCTACTTACGCCGTTGATACATAAATGACTATTGTGTCAGTAATAAAAACGTCTATTTCAAGAGCTAATTTTGGAATTAAAATTGACAAATTTTGAGTCGGTTGCAGAAAAACGGTATTTGATTGATGGGAGATGTATTTTTTTTTAAATTCAAAGGAAAAAGTTTATGAATTAGTCGAGAATTAGGATTATTATTACCAAGTAAATTCTTTGGTAAAATTATGGAAGTAAAATTCGAAATTCTATTCCTTTCACTCATAATAAGATATAGATTAGAATGTAATAAATGTCATAAGGTTCAAAGGCATTTTTCCCTATTTGTAATTAAAGAAACTAAAACGGATCATGATAGTTACATTGTCAATGACATTCTCCCAATTCTGCAATGAAGAAAATGTAAAAGGCCGTACTTATATCAACTCCTTCATTCATGTTCGAATAACAAAGGCATACTGACTGGATTTATTATTCATTTCTTCTTGAGGCATTTTGAAACATTAAAAAATACGTTTATTTACAACCATATATGTAATGTTGTCATTACTAACATCATTGAAGGTTGGGAAGTGTCACATGACACACCTCTACTTCCCGCCCTCACTTCCCGCCCTTCACTACTTCCCGCCCTCACTCATGTAATAATTCAGGTATGTTCAGAACGAAACATAGATTCATTAATTTTGATCGAAATATGATGGTTGTAAATAAAATAGTATCCAAACCTCGGTAGGAAGTTTCATTCCTGTCTCGAAATTATAGCTAACCTCGACGCTTTGCGTCTCGGTTAACTAACTAATCTCACGATAGGAATGAATCTCTTCCCACCTCGGTGTGTAATATACTATTATGAATGAATAGTGGAATCAAAATTGTACTTGTACTGAACTAGTCCAATGATGAATATGGTTATACCTCTGAAAATTTAACTCACCACAAGTCAATCGAAAACCACACTCACCTTAGTTGTACCTCAGATCTGTGAGACCCCTTGCTGTCGCTATTCGACAGCTGCTCCAATATTTGCGTGGACGGAATTTCCCAATTTTCGGTACTAACACTAACATCCCTTTCGTCCCCCCATACCGAACTGGCACAACTAATGTCATCTAATCCGGATAATCGGACGGTACTCTTCATTCCCGAATTATCATTACTGAAAATAACGATGATATATTAGGCAGGTATAGCGGGTGTCCCAGAGCCTTTAGGCCAGCAGATATCTGGGTTATCTAACATTTAACAACAATCCAAAAGTTGTCGAATATATGGAAGCAAAAACTCTCCTAGACAATGAAATCCTCCCCCATTTTCGGTTCATCTTATAGAACTTTTCATTTCCAAGTGATATATCGGACTAGATATTTAGCAAGAAATTCATCCTCGGTAATTTCGGTCAATTTCAATAATTTTCATGAAAAAATATCGATTTTTCCTTGAATGATTGTTTGAAATAGTAATAATAATAATAGGGGACAATTCGTATTGAGAAAAGTTTGGAGAAGAGAAATAGAGTTTAATAGAAGGAATATCGAATTTTCACTTATCTTTGGACGTTTCGGGACCAAATCTGCTTCCGTTTTCATCATAATAAATGGTCATTTTAATAGCAATATCGTATCTGCCTTGAAACTTCTCAGTTCTCAGTGACAATTGGTGACGTTGGCAATGAAATGAGTTACAGGATCTTTTCATTATTCAATCTTGAATTAACCATTTTCATGTTCAGATTTCAGTAGTAAATACCATGTTCTGTCTATATCAACTGAACAAGAAGCAATGCTATTGCCTTCGTTCAGAAGAGTGCAAGCAGATTCCTTGATTTTTCTCTTCTGGTTGTTATCTTTTTTTCCAATGATTTCAATATTATTAAGATGGACAATATATGGCAGAGTATATTAAGATGGACAATATATGGCAGAGTGGAATAATATTGAAATCATTGGAAAAGAAGATAACAACCAGAAGAGAAGAATCAAGGAATCTGCTTGCATTCTTCTGAACGAAGGCAATAGCATTGCTTCTTGTTTAGTTGATATAGACAGAACATGGTATTCACTACTGAAATCTGAACATGAAAATGGTGAATTCAAGATTAATTTATGAAGACATCCTTTAACTCATTTGATTGCCAACGTCACCAATTGTCACACGAAAATTTTATTTCTCTTCTCCAACCTTTTTTTTATACAAATTGTCACTGACAAGCTAGTGAATTTTCCTTTTAGGCTCTCTGATAGGAAAATTCTTCAAACGCAATGACAATTTGGGGCTAATCATCTGATTTGTCCTTACTACACGTATATTGAAATAATATTCATATTTTCATTTTATAGAAACGAGGAGAGAAAATTCCAAATAAATTTCGAATAATGAAAAAAAGATAAATTTTTTTAATATCAACACCCTGTAGAAGGAAAACGAAGCGATTGCGGACCTCTTGAAGATTGGCAGATCAAAAGTGAAACAACCCATAGACCAGCAAATGATTCTGTCTCCTTCTGTATATTATCCTTCATTCAGTATGCTGATTCTTTCAAGATTCAGAAAATACATCAATAATTTCTGAATAATTTATCGAAATCATCTTGTTGCATTTCAGGATGAACTGCGAAGGAAATTAGTTTACTCAAAAGTAAATTCGGATCATTCATCGAGATCAGATAATGGAATTTCTAGAGATCCTACAGTTGTGAAATCAATGTTACAGCATTTGATGCGAAGTCATAAATGAATTCTTTGTAATGTTTGTACTTATTCAGAAATAAACATATTATTCATGAGTTCTGATTTATTCGGTATTCGAACTTAATGAAGTACTGAACTAGAAATAAATACATTTGCGGAGTTCTCAGAAAGTTCATCAACACAATAATTGTCTTGATAATTCACACTATTATATTCCTTTGAATCATCGATGTGACCACCGAATATCTGGCTTAGAGGTCGGAGTCTATAACGGCCTAGCTATGATTAATTTGAATATATGAATTGGAAGTCACTTCGTACGATATATATGAATAAATAAAAAAAAGGAAATGCTTACCCCTCTCTAGAAAACTTGGTAATATATATTCCCCTATTGATAAATATACAAATATGTTTTCATATATAGGATCAGAAACAGTGGAGGTCGGTCCGCCTGTTCAATGCAATGGAAGTCACAAAGTTATATTAGTACCTATATATATATATATATCGACTAGTAAATAGTGAGGTTTTGCAGCAAGTAAAAGAGAACTCTTTGAAGATTATCCAAGCTTTCGGAATTTAATTGATTCCATCATCAGGGCATACTACAATAATTATTGTCAGTGATAATATAAAAGTCAAAATTAAATTGTACTTACATCTACGTGAGGATGATTACTATGATGTTAACAATAATTTTCAAAAATGAATTGTGATACATCATCCAGGAACGAAGTTGTTTGTAAAGTTGTAAAACAATTAACAATTAAAATAAAACAGTAGTAAAGTTACAATCACACATGTTAAAAACTTGAACTTGAACTTGAACTTGAGCTAGCTAGTCATGGACACCATGTGGCCGGATATGAAAAAATTAATGAATGAATGACAATCGAAATTAGGTTAGAATGTTGACAGTATTGACAAGACAAGTACTATCAGTAGTACCAACTATTGTACCAACCGTAAAAATTGTGGCAATTTTGAAAATGATGAAATGGAAGTTATAATTCAGAATTATCAATGGAGTTAACCCTGAAGGGGTTGATGTCTAATGTCAATAAATAGGCATAAATTTCACTTAGATAGTTGATGTCTGTTTTTTTATTCATATTGTTGGCCTCTTGATAGATGCAAGCCATTTCTAAAAAGGACCTTTTGGTCAAATTGTTCTCGGAAGCTAAGATTTTAACATTGTCATAATCCATATGATGGTCAAATTGGTTAACATGATCTGCTAGAGCACATCTTTCTGGGTGTAATCTACTATCACTTTTGTGTGAGGTAATTCTTGCCTTAAGGGCTCTTGATGTCTGACCAACATACGTTTTATCACAATTTTTGCACGGAATACTATATACCACATTCATTCGAGATGTCAATGGAATTTTATCTTTTACTTTTGTGTATATGGACCTAATAGTGAGAACTGTTTTATTAGCTATTTTGATGTTGGGTATATTAACAAAAATTCTAGCCAGTTTGGGTGTGATATCCTTTATGTAAGGCAATGATGTGTATAAAATTTGTTGTGGGGGAGTAACAGGCAATTGGATGTCAGTGGGAGTATGTTGAATTACAGGGGTGTCAGCTTCCAGTGTGGCAGAGTTATTGAATAATATGTTTTTTATTAAGCTCGGAGGGTATGAATTATCTATGAATAGTTGTAAGAGAATATTGAGGTTTTTATTGTGAAACGAGGTGTCTGAGATTTTTAATACTCTATTTTTCATCTGTTTGATCAAGTTCACTTTCATTGACTTTTTGTGGTAGGATAGATAATTTATATATCTCCCTGAGTTGCATGGTTTCCTGTACCAATCAATCAAGATACTGTTGTCTGCAGTTCTAATGAACCTTGTGTCTAGAAAGGGTACGGACACAAGGTTCATTAGAACTGCAGACAACAGTATCTTGATTGATTGGTACAGGAAACCATGCAACTCAGGGAGATATATAAATTATCTATCCTACCACAAAAAGTCAATGAAAGTGAACTTGATCAAACAGATGAAAAATAGAGTATTAAAAATCTCAGACACCTCGTTTCACAATAAAAACCTCAATATTCTCTTACAACTATTCATAGATAATTCATACCCTCCGAGCTTAATAAAAAACATATTATTCAATAACTCTGCCACACTGGAAGCTGACACCCCTGTAATTCAACATACTCCCACTGACATCCAATTGCCTGTTACTCCCCCACAACAAATTTTATACACATCATTGCCTTACATAAAGGATATCACACCCAAACTGGCTAGAATTTTTGTTAATATACCCAACATCAAAATAGCTAATAAAACAGTTCTCACTATTAGGTCCATATACACAAAAGTAAAAGATAAAATTCCATTGACATCTCGAATGAATGTGGTATATAGTATTCCGTGCAAAAATTGTGATAAAACGTATGTTGGTCAGACATCAAGAGCCCTTAAGGCAAGAATTACCTCACACAAAAGTGATAGTAGATTACACCCAGAAAGATGTGCTCTAGCAGATCATGTTAACCAATTTGACCATCATATGGATTATGACAATGTTAAAATCTTAGCTTCCGAGAACAATTTGACCAAAAGGTCCTTTTTAGAAATGGCTTGCATCTATCAAGAGGCCAACAATATGAATAAAAAAACAGACATCAACTATCTAAGTGAAATTTATGCCTATTTATTGACATTAGACATCAACCCCTTCAGGGTTAACTCCATTGATAATTCTGAATTATAACTTCCATTTCATCATTTTCAAAATTGCCACAATTTTTACGGTTGGTACAATAGTTGGTACTACTGATAGTACTTGTCTTGTCAATACTGTCAACATTCTAACCTAATTTCGATTGTCATTCATTCATTAATTTTTTCATATCCGGCCACATGGTGTCCATGACTAGCTAGCTCAAGTTCAAGTTCAAGTTCAAGTTTTTAACATGTGTGATTGTAACTTTACTACTGTTTTATTTTAATTGTTAATTGTTTTACAACTTTACAAACAACTTCGTTCCTGGATGATGTATCACAATTCATTTTTGAAAATTATTGTTAACATCATAGTAATCATCCTCACGTAGATGTAAGTACAATTTAATTTTGACTTTTATATTATCACTGACAATAATTATTGTAGTATGCCCTGATGATGGAATCAATTAAATTCCGAAAGCTTGGATAATCTTCAAAGAGTTCTCTTTTACTTGCTGCAAAACCTCACTATTTACTAGTCGATACCTAACTAGTCAGCAACGACTACCCTTCTACTTATATATATATATATATATATATATATATATATCATATGTTTATGTATCCCTATTATAAACAAATATGTTTCTTGGGGTAATAAAGAACAACAACAACAACAATAATTTTCTGGAGTTTCAGAACAAACCCTACAACTTTTGCATTCAAAGTTTTTCTCTATCTCCAATAATGAACCCTGTAGAAGCTGTTTAAATACAGGGATCGGTATAAGTCAGGCAACTCTCTCGAAATTTCGACATATGTCCGGCAACGCTCATAAGTCTGGCAACGCTGTCGAAAAAGATCGACCCTGAGCATGTTCGTGCGTCAGATAGTTGTGTCTGTGTGCTCGTCGAATAGAATTTTTTTTTGTTACCTTGTATCTGCGCGGATTACGACAATATGTTTACCGAATTTCAACAACAATTTTCGAACTCGCCGCTACCAAATCGTACAACAGTGTGGAAGACGTACCAGAAATTCTTGTTCTGTTGTCGACGCCCCGCGTTCTGGACGACCGGTATCTGTAACAACTAAAGAAAATATGGGAACAGTCGCGCTAGCGTTAGTTGAGTAGCCGAACCAATCTGCAGTGCGGCTATCGGGAGAACTATCCGATCGTTCTTTACGACGAATGCTGAAACGCATGCACTAAAGAGTTTACCGTCCGCGTCTCGTCCACGCACTTCACGAAGAAGATTTCGATCGCAGATTGGAATTTTGCGAGTGGTACCTCGGATGCAGTCAGGATGATAGGCGGTTCCAGCATTCCATTTTATGGTCGGATGAAGCAACTTTCAAGCTGAACGGTACGGTCAATAGGCATAACTGCGTGTACTGGAACGACCAGAATCCTCACGTCTTCATGGAAAAAGAATTAAACCTGCCTGGGGTGTGTGTGTGGGCAGGTATCCATGCTGGAGGTCTCGTGGGTCCGTACTTTTTTGAGGGTCACGTGACGGGACAAAGTTATCTGGAAATGCTCGAAGATTTACGTGGACAAATGGACAACGATCCAACACTGGCGAACATCCGTCATTTCATGCAGGATGGAGCTCCGCCGCACTACGCGTTATGTGTGCGGGAGTACCTTAATGTTTATTTTGGAGAATGGATAGGCAGACGAGGATTCATTGAGTGGCCCGCACGATCATGTGACCTAACATCCTGTGATTTTTTTTCTGTGGGGCCTTCTCAAGGACCACGTTTTCGCAACAAGACCACGCACCCTTCCCGACCTCCGAACTGCAATTGAAGAAGAATTTGAAACTCTTCGCAGATAGCTTCAAATGCTTCGCCGGACCTGCCTCTCCGTTGAGGAACGTTGCCGTAAATGCATCGATCAGGATGGGCATCAATTTCAACACTTACAGTAACCCTTTTTCGAAAACCTTTTGTATTTTTTTTAATAAATATATTTTGACGCTGCATTTATTTATCTTAATGTAAATTATTGCCTGATGCAAATTGGTTGCCTGACTTATGCCGACCCCTGTATACGGAATGACCCTGTACACTCCCTCACCTGTCAGGCGACTTGTCGTCGTACATCTCCACCGTCTCGGTTCGAGCCGCCTCCGAGGTGTGGGGCGGCGTCGCCTGCCCGACGCGCGGCAGCCCCTGGAAGGACATGTAGCCGCTGTCGCCCACGCGGCTCGACGCCGTCCGGAAGTCGAACGCGTCCATTTTCAGCGCCCTCAGCTGCTCTTCGAGCTGGATGGTGGGGCTCTCCAGAGGCGATTGCAACGCTGGATATGAAACATAGAGAAATCGTAGTATTTTTCTGTTTTGCTTGACTATAACAGGGTGGTCAATTGAAGACTATCCACCCTAGATACAGAGAAGTGCACAAAAAACGGCCAGTGCTGTATCTTCTGAATCATTCTAGATCGGATTTCGAAAATTGGTGGGTAGTAAGTATACCAAATTGCTCATTAATTGACAAGTCAACTTTTCTTCGATCACTTCCGGTCTCACCAGAAACGACCCTAACTTTTGATTTTTCAATGGGACACCCTGTATTTTATTCTATACTCGGTTAGAGATTATTATGACGAATTCAACGATACCGGGTTAATTCTAACGACTACGAAGATATTCTCGTTCTAAGTTTCTATTTGCTCAATGAGTGGGACAGACAAAGAAGTTTCTATGTTTTGAAGTCACACCTGTAAGGGGCGAGTAATGAGGCACACACAAACAATACAACACCACCTTTAATGACCCCAACACCTTACAACCTTCTCACTTGGCTGACTGTAATATACTGACTCATTACTAATCTCCTATCTTCAACCGTTCTGCATTCCGTGATTCATCATACTCGTAATCACCAACCGCCGTCCGCTTATGTTATATACTGTGTGTATAACACACCCATTGAGCTTATGGGAACTTACAACTCGAATATCTTCATAATCGTTTGAAATGACTCAAATCCGGTATCGTTGAATTCGTTATGATAATTGCTAACCGATTATGGAATCAAATACAGGGTGTCCTATTTTAAAATCAATAGTAAGGGTTGTTTCCTGTGAAATCGGAAGTCATAGAACAAAAATTGGTTTGTCAATTAATGAGCAATTTGGTATAATAGCTACCCACCAATTTTCAAAATCCAATCTCAAATGATTCAGAAGTTACAGCACTGACTGTTTATTGTGCACTTCTCTGTATATCTCTGAGAAAAGTGATTTTACAAAAAAACACGTCGATTTTTATTTGGAGGGGGGCACCTTTTGACGCAAAATAAATAATCCATACCTCAACCTTCGACTCTCCAAAGCAACCCCTCTCAATAATTTGAATAGGTAATAAAGGTCGTGTTATACATCATTGCATTTAGATTCTTAGATACTTATAATGTTATAATGTACAAAGAGGATTTTGGAAGAATAATCAAAAGGTTTTTGAAGGTGATTTTCAAGGTATATTTTTGAATAGCTTATTATGCCATAAGCCAAAATAGATTGAAAAAGTACTATAATAGAAACTGATAATCAATTTACGACTGACAATGTTTCTCAGTAACCTGAATTCATTGAGTGTAGTTCAATTCTATCATTACCAGTGCAAAGTTTTTTTAATTTCAACAAGGCGTTCTCGAGATTCATTATTCCAAATTTTTTGGGATTTTCTCTCCTCGTTTCTATAAAATGAAAATATGAATATTATTTCAATATACGAGTAGTAAGGACAAATCAAATGATTTGCCCCAAAATGTCACTGCGTTTAAAGAATTTTCCTATCAGAGAGCCTAAAAGAAAAATTCACAATTGTCACTGAGAACTGAAAAGTTTCAAGACAGATACGACATTGCTATTAAAATAACCATTTTTTATATTGAAAACGGGAGCAGATTCGACCCCGAAACGTTCAAAGATAAGTGAAAATTTGATATTTTTTCTTTATACCTTTATTTCTCTTCTCCAAACTTTTTTCAACACAAATTGTCACTGACAAGCTAGTGAATTTTTCTTTTAGGCTCTCTATAAAATCAGCAAACTTGGCTGCAGAAGAATTCACCAGATGGTGTGAAAATAATGGCTTAGTAATCAACAACAGTAAAACGGTCTTAATGGTTTTTCAACAAAAAAAACATTTCCTATGAACACGGCCCCTTAATGGAAGTTAATCACAACTCCATAGAGCAAGTGAGTCAGATCAAGTATCTAGGCCTGACTATAGATCAGAAATTAACATGGGGGGTGCATATAGAAAACCTTTTCACTACGGAGTTCCGGTTCAGGAGTATTTTATTACGGATGTCCGATGCGATGACGAAATATACAGGGTTGATCGGTGAAGATTTATCTGGAAGCTATAATGAATATTTATGTTAGGACTACGCACTTGCCGAAATCATATGGCAAATCATTATACTAGTTAGTAAGGCTGTACAAAAATCACAAGACTCATTTATATTAAATACAGGTACAATGATCAAATATCAGGAAACCTGGTATTTGCACTTTCTGACCAAAAGCACTCACTATGAATCCGAAATAAATATTAATGGACCACACAATGATGAAGGTTGACTGACAGCGAATCATTTCTGCGTTCCCAAACTTCGAGAACTTGAAAACTACTTTTTGCCACACTATTGCGATATAGACGAGGTGCACGAGATACCTATATAGTCTATCCCACATGGGCAATGTGGGATAGGTAACCCGTAGTTATTAATTTGTACGCTGTATGGTATACCACCAGGCGAAATTCCTCCCACATGATTTTCATAAAGCCAATAGGTACAAAGTTCACCAGATGCTAGAAATAAACAACAACCTTGGGCATGCTGGCGTTTACCGCTTCTACAACAAAAACACCGTGTATATAAAAACTCCTAAACGCGGGGACTCCAAAATACGAGGGTAAACGAAAAGTGGTAGGACGAACACAGATATCCGAACATACATTTAGGTCGTATACAAATTAGGTAATATTCCATGATGGACAGGAAATATGGTTTTGCTACACACTAGACCTTTTTTCAATTGTAATTCAGAAAAATATAAGATGTAATTCAGAAAGTATAAGTTGTACTTCAGAATAAGCAATTGTAATTCAGAAAGTATAACTCGAAATTCAGATTAGTTTATTGTAATTCAGAAAGCGTTATATGTAATTCAGATTAGTGAAATGTAATTCACAAAGTGTTACTTGTAATTCAGAATAGTGAAATGTAATTTAGAAACCGTCAATTGTAATTCAGAAAGCATAACTTGTAATTCAGAAAGTCTCACTTATGATTGAGTAACTAGGAACAACCCGTATGCATCCATTCTCCTTGAGGTCCGGGTGTTGGAGAACAACGACTTGTTTATCTATGTAGAACAGAATATTGACCAGGCCAAAGATACAACTGTTGGAGGTGATTGTGCTAGGGCTGCACAACACACCATCATTCACCATGCAGCAGCTCTGGCATTTCAAGATAATATATGCCCGTTGGTCGATAAATATAAAATATTGATGTTCACCACACAATGAACCATTCGTTGATTTTTATTCCCTACCCTTGGTATTGGTACTGGTCGGTTGGATGGTGACAGATGCGCTGCGACCTAATTAGATCTATTGCCCCATCTGCTTCTGCTATATGAAGGATTTCTTGTTTATAGCAGCCCCTCGAGATTCAATTCCTTCAGGAATTTGAGGATTTTGAGGGGGTCCAGCGTGGTATTTCTTCCACAGTCAGCTGGTGTGTTCCCAGTATGTCCAATCTTTTGTGATGTACAGCGTCACACTCCATCAGTATGTGATGGGGTGTTTCTGGTTCTTCCTCACAGAATCTGCAGGTGCCGTCCTCCTGTAAGCCTAGCTTCCTTAGGTGTTCTTTGAGTCTGCAATGCCCCGTTAGAAATCCCGTTATTGCTTTGAGACTTCCTTTGCTGAGGTTTGTCCCTACCCTTATTCAAGTCCATAGTATTTATGAATTACAAGTGATGCTTTCTGAATTACAAATTATGCTTTATGAATTACAATTGACTAATCTGAATTACAGTTCACGCTTTCTGAACTACAATTAATTATTCTGAATTACAAATTACACTTTCTGACTCACATTTTACTAATCTGAATCACAAGTTACACTTTCTGAATTACAATTGAAAATGGTGTAGTTGGTTGAATAACTAATATATGAACTTACAAGACACACTTTTTCTGGAAACCGACATGGTTGGCGTCGGATAAGGCCAGTTGAAATCCTCATGGATTTGTTTCAATGCTTTCACGTAATCGTCTATCTTGGCGGCCCTGTTCCTCTCCTTGGCCAACCATGACACTAGGTGGATATCTAAATGAGCTGCAAAATAACCGAGATCAGTCAAACGTCGAGCGGACAACAGTCTGCGAGCGTGTTTCTGTAATATCACGTCTATGAAAAACTCTTCTGAAGTACTGTTGGAAGGTGCTCTGAAAATAATCAGAAATGTTTTATGTATTCGATGATGCCAAATTGAATATTACTACTACTAATGTAGGGAAAATGAGACTCAAATAATAATTTCTTATTGTTAAAACAAAGTAAATCGTAGTTTCTCTGACATCGGCTATTCATAGTGGGAAAGTTGTGCCATTAGAAGGTCAATATGCATACTAAATTTAATAAAGAACGGTTTGAGTGTTATTTTCAGAAGTTATTTTAGTTAATTCGTACCTATTAAACTTGGTCTACCAACACCACAACTACAGAATACCGTTCATATATTCCGGGAGGTAACTCCGCAGTTAATAATGATAATAATAAATGAGATTATTCGAATAACATTTTCCATAATAAGAGTTATAAATATAAAGTGTATTGAATAAACTGAAGAAAAACCTTATGAAGTGTAACTTGTTGTAAGGATTGTTGAATACAAATACAAATCAATCAATATAATCGAATTACATATTTCATTTAATTTCAAGGAACAAGTTTTTTTGTATTTTTTTTTTCATTCTTTCATACAAGAGACAAAATACAGTCTGTCCAAGATAAGGTTGAACAGCATGGGGATCTCGAAAACGGTAGGAGATACGAAGTCGGTTAAATGGGGAAAAAGTTGCGCATTCGGAGGCTCATATCAAGAGCCTTCGAAAATTTTTAAAAATATTCTTAGTTTTTTAGTTATATCGAGAAAATTGAATTTTTGGAATATCTATTGCATTTTTTTTCTCCGTTATTATTTGGGATACAGAAAAACTGAAGATACTTTTTCATAGCAACTTTTGATGACGTTTAACGTGGTGATACGAATTTTTTTATGCGACGGTTCGTATTCGTAGAACCATCATCAACTTTTGTTTTTTTAATACGGTCCTGATAATTTTTCCACAGATTCTTAAAGTTTTTTTTATTCTGAACTCAACCATATATTATACAACGTGGTTTATGTGTGTTTCGACCTATTTTTAACCATCATCAATGTTTTTTCGAAATTCCAAAGGAAAAGTGCCATCAGTTCCACTTATTTTGAAGGAAAATCAGTCCACACACTAATACCTCATCAACTGGTTTCAATCAACAACCTATTTCATTTTGCGGAAACAAAAATTCCATCCATACAAATTCAAAATATGTCAAGCGCTAAAACCAGGCGATGCGCAGGACATTCTGTGAGTGGTATACCAGGAAATGTCAAAATTTTGCAAATTTGCCGCGAACAATCATCTGGACTGATGAAAAAAATGGTCACTAATCATGGTATCTTCGATAGAAAAAATACACATTGTTCACGAGAAAATGAACATTTATGCATTACAGCGAGACACGAACACCGTTTAATATGTGGGTTGCAATATTTGGTACACGAATTATTGGTCCTTTCATTCACTATGAAACAGAGACTTCCTAACGTTATAGAAATTTGCTTGAAAATCATCTTGAGGAAGCTCTGGATGATTTACCGATTGCGGAAGTTCAGAACTGTTGGTTTCAACAAGATGGCGCTCCGGTACATAATTCCAGAGAAGTTCGTGCGTTTTTATCCAGAAAATGGATTGGTACTCATTCTGCAGTCCCTTGGCCGGAGCGGTCACCTGATTTGACACAACTGGATTTTTTTTAGGGGATTTATCAAAAACTTTGTACACGCAAATAGCTTTTTGATGAAGAAGAACTGAGGGACAGTAACATCGAAACATTCAATAGAATAACCCCAGAAATGCTTAGTATTGTCTTAGAAGCAACTGTGAGAAGAGGATGTGTTTGTTCAGAAAATGATGGTTATCATTTTGAACATTTCTTATGAAGTATTGTCAAAGTTAAGTTGTTAAAGTAATTCGTGTAAGAATTCATCAACAATTTTAAGCGCTGCATTGAATGATGTAGTGAAATATTTTGTATTCACTTTTCAGTATTGAATAACTAATCCATCAATGTTTGACACTAAATGATCAGAAATAAATGGAACTGATGGCACTTTTCCTTTGGAAGTTCGAAAAAACATTGATGATGAATAGAAATAGGTCTAAACACATTCGAATCACCTTGTATAATACATGGTTGAATTCAGAATAAGAACACCTTTCAGAATCTGTGAAAAAATTATCAGGACCTTATTTAAAAAACAAAAGTTGATGATGGTTCTACGGATACGAAACGTCGCATAAAAAAATATATAACCACGTTGAACGTCATCAAAAGTTGCAATGACAAAGTATTTTCAGTTTTTCTGTATCTCTAATGATAACGGAGAAAAAAAATTAAATAGATATTCCAAAAATTCACTTTTCTCGATATAACTTAAAACCTAAAAATAATTGTAAAAATTTGCGAAGGCTCTTGATATGAGCCTCCGAATGCGCAACTTTTTCCCCATTTAACCGACTTCGTATCTCCTACCGTTTTCGAGATCCCCATGCTGTTCAACCTTATCTTGGACAGACTGTATATGCCTATCAACATGTGTCCGAAAATGCTTCCGATCGGCCTCAAATGCTAATGATCTTTGTTGTCATTGATCCTAGAATCACGAAAGTTGGTACCTACGGGTGAATCGATCTTACAAATCGTTTCCTCAAATGGAAAACATAATTCAAAATCCAGTGAGGTGAGAAACTCGTAACTGAACGCCTAAGGAAAGCCTTATCACAAGCGGCCTCGACGACTCATCGGTATTCGTAATCATCGTGTGATAAAAGACTGAAGGAGGTTCAGTCGATTACCATCGTATTATCAGAACGAATCACTTGTCGATGTTGTATTTTTATAAACGGTCATCTCTGTACAAGCCGTCCCGAGTGAATAAAAATGTGATTGAGTGTTGAAATTGTGTCTATCTACGATGCCTCCTTTTAGAATCTTTTACTATATTTTTCTCATTTCTACTACCAGAAAATGATTCTTCGAACACCATCACATGAAAAAGGTATTTTTGTTAGAATGCCGTAAAACGGACCGTTTTCGGGAAGTGTCATTTTTTATTTTGATGTCCAAAAAAATTCACAATGATTTTTGAAGTGTGCTTATAATGAAAAAAATTTGAACTTGATAATTGAAATGTTACATTTCCAGTTAGTTTTGTTTTATTATATTTTGATCGTGATGTTGATTCGTTGAGAAAATGGTAATTGACTAAATTTCACAAACTTATTCACTAGGTGATTTTTTTTGGAATGCAAATGACCCTTTTGATGATTAATCTCATCGATCATACTCAGTTATTCGTAGGATAATACAATGAGGTGAGTACCGCCCAGATATCCTTCAACAATTTTACCTATTCAGGGTGGGTCGGGCACCAAATTCCAGGTGTTTATTGTACACGTAAAAATAATATCAAAAAACCCATGTGTTCTTATACGATTCTCATTTGTTTTATAAGACTTTCATCGTACAAACTCGATTGTTTGGTCCGTTTTGTTGTTTTGACATGTATTAGTGTTAGTGTCAGTGTGTTTGACGCGTTTATTTTCTAGTTTATACGTTTAAAGTCTTATAAAGTGTCACACATCTATTCAAATTCAGAATGAAAACAAATGAGAATCGTATAAGAAAATATGGGTTCATCAACATTTTTATGAGTACAAGACTCACCCTGTATAATTTGAGAGATAGGTAATTTTTTCAGAAGTTTAAAATGCCTAATCCATTTTTTCATTTCATTCAATATATTAGGTTATTACAATTTTGAAGCGCCTTCAGAATCTTTTAAAATTTATAGACGGGAGAGAAGTATTGTTCCCCAATACCTCTATATCAATATTTCAGTTACTTATTTATGCGTCATATTCTGTTTTATTTGGCATTATTTTTTGTGAAGTTGTTGATTCAAAACACAAAAGTTAAGGTAGCGATGTAGTTAGGTATCTACCTATATCGAGTGCCAACTATAATAACTCACCTCTAAGTAATAACTGATTGTAATGGAGGCTCAATTCATTGATTCAAGTGAAGAATGTCATCCTAACCTGGAACATTGCCACTGCATTTCGCCGCTCGACAAAAGACGAGAGGAGATACAGTGACGTCAGGCAAGAAAAAATATGAGGATACCTCATAGCGTTAACTAGACCTTGGGGCAGATCATGGCACTAAGCGTGCATGTCCCCCACTCGACAGTACCTATTACCGTTGGTAATTATACGGAGTACCTTATTCTGTAGTATTTGTAACCTACCCACATGAGTAGGCGAAATGATACAGAACACCGGTCAGGCGTATGTTAGGGTAGATCGTATTATTTGTTTATAAATCAGGAGCTTGTTGTTCATAGTAAGCGAGGAGTTCCTCGACAACAGCTGATACCAGCTCCTGATTGCTGCATCGGCCTCTGCCAATAAGTATGTAATCGGTGTTAACGAAAAAATACATATGCCTGTCCAGTACGACTCCGAACCACAGAACTCAAAGTCCTTGAAGGCTAATGCAAGTCTGAGGAACCGCTATGAACCAATTCCACTAGTGAGCTTAAGGCAGTGGTGAACATGCGCATATTGTCGGCAACATTGTCAGTTATACATTTTTACAGGCAAATCTCATATTTATGCATTAGGATGTAGTTCATATTTCTCATTGAACTTTTTGCAACTGTTGATTAACATCTTTACTAAAACCATATAGGAATTTTTCAAGAAAAAAATTCATAGACTCACTGATATTAATTGAATGGCTAACAAGAGATCCGTGAATCATTATGAAGCTCTAATGTCCTACAAGTTCATCTGGCAAATGTGTAAGAATGTATCACTGTCATTTTGTTTGACGTAGAATTAAGGCAGAGCCGAGTTAGTTCCGTCTATTCAATATTTTGTTTTGCATTTCGTTAGTGAATTTGAGCATATTGAAGTTTTGATAAAACACGTGATTTTTACATGGTTTCTTGGAGGGCACACACAACCGGCCATTTTCGTGCTGCGATCTTAAATTCAGTCACCTATAGTCCCGCGCTGCAACGCTTCTCGCGAGCAGCGAGCCATGCGGAAATATTACCTCTCCTTGGTGCTATGGCTATACGCAAATTATCTCTTAGTTTACCACCTCAAAAACAATTGCCGAAAAAATCACATACCAAACTCATGTTCAAACAGGCAAATTACAATTTTATCAACGATTATCTAAATTCTGTTCAATGGGAAGGAATATTTGACTTAGAAGACATTGATGTATGTGTAGAAAACTTCTATGAAATAATAAACAAGGCTGTGAATGACTTTGTTCCAAAGAAGCTCGTAAACTACAGCAGTCATCCACCATGGTTTTCCAAAGAAACAATCAAATTAACAAAAGAAAAAATTAAATATCATCGGAAATGGAAAAAATTCAAAAATCAGGCTGATTACTCCCGCTTTTCTTTTTTACGAAGAGAAGTGAAAAAGAATATTGAAAATGATAATAAAAACTACATAAGAAAAACAGAGGATAAATTATCAAATTTTTTTTTTGGTCGTATATCTCCAATAAGAAAAATAATCATTCCATTCCGGCTCAAATGAATTTTAATGGTGAATCATACACTGAAACAGAGTCTATATGTGACATGTTCTCGGATTATTTTGGCAGTGTTTTTGAAAGTAACCAAACCCCATGCCTTATTCCGAATAAACCATCGGACAACAGTATCAATATTACATATATCTCAGAAAAAGATATTCACGATGCTCTCATTGAACTTGATGAAAAAAAAGGTCCCGGACCAGACAGTATACCACCGTTATTTATAAAATCATGTAGGTCAAGCTTAACGCATCCTTTGTACGTATTATTCAATAAATCCTTGGTTTCCGGAAAATTTCCGTCAAAATGGAAAATCGCACAAGTCATACCAGTATTCAAATCAGGAAATCGGACAGATGCATGTAACTACAGACCAATTTCTTTATTAAATATATTCGGTAAGGTATTTGAATCCATTATTACAAAACAATTATTTTTTATATCAACAAATTCACACAATTAATCAGCATCGATTCTTTAAAAACAGAGGAGTCGTGACCAATTTGGTACCATTTGTACAAGAAATCTTCGATAACATGGAACAGGGAGTTTCAACTTGTGCGGTGTACACCGATTTCTCAAAGGCCTTTGATAAGGTGCATCACCCTACCCTTATGGTAAAGCTTTCTAATTTCGGAGTACACAGCAATCTGTTGAAACTTCTAGAATCGTATATCACTGACAGATATCAGTACGTAGCACTGAATAATGTGAAATCTACCAAATGCCGAATCACGTCCGGGGTTCCGCAGGGCTCACACTTGGGTCCCATTCTATTTAGTATATTTGTTAGTGATGTTGAACAATGCTTTCATTTCTCAAATTTTGCTATATACGCCGACGACTTGAAAATTTATAGTAAAATTGAACAGAGATCAGATTACGTGGGTATCCAGGAAGATCTTGAAAGACTGCAAATCTTCTGCAATACAAATAGATTATTTATCAATGCGAGCAAATGTTATAATGTTCTATTCTCTAGATCTCAAGACCCTATCACTGAAAACCTATTTATCAATAATCAGATAATATCAACAACTGAAGAAGTTCGAGATCTAGGAGTGATACTAGATAAAAAATTAACTTTTGAATCACATATTGGAGCTGTTGTTGAAAAAGCACTCCGCACTCTGGGATCTATTCTGAGAAATACTAAAGAATTTCAAAATTATTCATCAGTTACCACTTTATATAAATCATTAGTCAAGCCTATCCTTGAATACTGCTCTACCATTTGGAATCCCGTGTATGACAAATATGTTAATCAAATTGAACATGTTCAAAAAAAATTGGTCAACAATTTGAACTATAGATTCTTCCGCTTCCGACACTATATGAGCTATGAGAGCAACTTGCGTTTCTATAGAATAAAGAATCTTTTCATCAGAAGAGACTTCGTTGACATATTATTCATTTACAAGATCTTCAACAATCATATTGATTCAACAGCATGCACTGGATTCCTGAGCTTGAATTGTAATCCTAGAATGATTAGGAATAGACTCACTTTCTACCCACCTTCGTTCTCAACTAATTATTATAGTAATTCACCTCTAATAAGATGTATGAACTCGTACATTACAATTTGCCACTCTAATATTGATATATTTCACCTTGATATCAAAAGATTCAAGAAACAACTGAGAGAATTCTTGTTAAATTTTTATAGTATTCCTTGAATAAAAAAATATAGAAATAGTGCTGATATTCATTCATTTATGATACTTAAGTCGTATCGAAATTGTAATTTTCCAGTGTGTGTCAAAATACTATACCTATGTATATTTCATATATGTTGATATTGTATATACCGACGTTACTGTTCTTTTCTTCAGAATGTTATTTTTGAATGAAAGTTATGGAATAGGTAGGTACTTAGTTTTTAAATGATAGTATGTAGGTGCAACCCATGTGAAGACAATAATTTTGTATCACTGTGTTATCCTGTCATTGGAAGGACTATTTATATAGTTCCTCTGTTGGATAACCTTGTTTTCTAAATAATAAAAAAAACGATATTGGCTTTCTAGGTCTGTGAGTTCTCCGAACAAAAGCCCCAATTCCATTCCCACCGAACTAACCTACTATCGCTCCTACCATTCCCCACCGAACTCGGCACGGAACGCTTCCGATCGGGCACCGGCGACTCGACCACCGTGCCGATGTTGCCCAGTCCGCTGTTCTGCCGCTCGACCAGCTTGGGCGACACCGTCGTGCTGTAGCTGCGCGCCCGCGGCCCCTGCACGTTGCCCAGGATGAGCGACAGGTCGTCGGCGTTGGGAGTGACGGGCGGCGTGGGCTGCGACCCGCCCAGCTTGGGCGGCAGGATGAAGGAGGTGCGCGGCGATTCGTAGTCGGCGTCGTTCGGGTCTTGCAACGATACAATCAGAATATTCATCTATGTCAATATTATATAGAGAAAATATTTGTTTGTTTGTCAGTGTGTTTGTTTGTATTGAATAGGCTCCGAAACTGGTGGACCGATTTGAACAATTTTTCTAGTACTAGAAACCGACATTATCCCTGATGAACATAGGCTACTATTTACCCCGGAAATATGCTTCATTCCTAAGGGGAAACGGGTAATAGGACAATGGGTAGTGAGAATTAGAGTCACTGGATGGTATTAGTTATATAAGAGTTCGGACACAGCTGAACTTCTCTCTTTTGCTATTTTGTATATTTCAATGGTTTGAGTGAATAAAAGAATAAGAAATATATTCTGCTCTTTTTGTTTTCAATTTCCCTAGTAGCGCCTGATTGTCAGATACGCTTTTAGTGGTGAGATTTTCTTTCAAATCAATCATTGTTGTAGAAGGAAATTAGAAATGAGTACAAACACCTACTTTAATTTATATAACGATACACTTTTCGCAGAACAATAGCAACAAAAATGAGAAGAACTCATGTAACATTTTGATATGACAAAATAGACACATATGGACTTATAGCTAGTTCCTTATTGTATGTAATACTGTACCCTAGTGATAAAGTTTGAAACATGAAGATTGTTTTGATTTTCCACCTTTTGCTGCATTCAGTTTTTACTGATAAATGTTGAATTTGGTCGGTATTGAAAATGCCATTCAATGATATTATATCACGTTGCAATTTACTTGATTTCCTCAGTTTTGTTCTCAAATTTTCAATTTCATTAAGTAGTTTTGCAATCAATTCCTCTTCCTCTATGATAATTTGGTTTTGCATTTCGTGTGATGATAATATTGGATTTTTTTTCAATATTCTGTTTTGTAATTCAATAAAACAATGGATCTTATAAATCTTCTGTTCGAAAATGGCCTAAAATATAATTTCATTCCAGTCTGCTATCATAAGAACTGAATTTTAATGTGTGTAATTACTTTACAAATTTTCCTTGTCCTCAAATTAATTTTCCATCCAGGCCGTCTCATACATTCCTTCTATCAAGGGAATTATTGATATTTCCTTTGGAAAATTAAAGAAATGGAATCGCCATTCCCTTCAGAATTCCGCCAATCCATTACACAGCAGGACAATTTCATTTATGCTTTTTTATTCTCGATAGTTTATGAAATTATATTTCAATTCTGACGTTCATACAATGTATTGTCAAATTAAAACAATTTTGAATGAAAAAGCGCGGAACGACTATGATGCTGTTGTCACAATGCAAGATATGTAACTTAATAAATCTAAACATTCAAAAACACTAACAGTTGTCATTTCTGTGTCCGAACTCTTATTTAACTAATACCATCCAGTGACTCTAGTAAGAATTATCCTTCCGTACTCATCTTTTTCACGTAACTTCTAAACGGCTGGACCGATTGGGTTTACAATTTTTAATACGCAAAACAACAATAAATAATACAGAAGTTACTGAGAATGAAGAAAGGTGTAAGTATAAAGAAGTAGGTATAAGTAAGCATAAAAAAATTAAAAAAATAACAAAAAAATATGTACTGTAGATACGCGCATAGCTCAGAACGACTGCAACAACATGTCTTATTATTTTAAATGGGTACACCAACAATCGACCCGACACGTGCTTCTCGCAAACTAAATATCCTATTCTAAAATGCTGTTTTTATAGGCTGTTCCGTCTACACTGCACATTAGACGTATTCGGAGTTTACTGACACTTGACAGTGATCTGAGAACTTTTATACAGAACTTATTGGAAACTCCAAGTACCCATAACCATTTTTTTTAATTAAAATGCAAATTTCTTTCTTTTACTAAATGAAGGAGAATTCAATCCGAGCCTCAAATTATCAATAAGTATATCATGATTTTGTTGAATAAACTACTTCTAGTTCACCTGAACATGAAAAACACTAACTGTTGCGCAATCAATGTCTGTTCTGGTCAATTTAACATGCTAATCATAATCTGAACGGAATTGGTCCCTCTATCCTTATTCATAACCCTCAGAAAATCGGGCCAATCAGTGTTAAAAAATATAGTGATTATCGTGCCAAAGTTTCATTAATTTTGTTCAGAAATGAACAGTTTTTTGAGTTTATATTTGAATATATTTCGGCAATCTTTTTTTGATTATCAGATGATTCATTTTATTCAAATAGAGTAGGTTGGGTGAATATTTCTTATCCTCTTATACCGTTAGCAACATCATGGTGAAATGATTTATGTTGTCTAATTTGGTGATTGAAGGTGAAATTCTGAATTATCTTATGGAATTTTCTCAATCAAGTGAATGAAATATCTCGATTGCTAGTTGGTTAAATAAATATCATATGATATTTATATCCTTCCACTGCACCATGTTGTCCCTTTTCGGTAATAGATCAGGATCGGGGGACAAAGCGGTGTGTGAATTTTGATTTGTAGATATAGATTCGTAGATATTATTAGATTAATGATGGCATCAATATGCTTTTTGAATGAAACAAACAATTCGTTGATATTTCACTCACAACTTGCTTAATTCAATTTTGAAATCTACCCGACATTGATGAGAAACTCTTTAGTTTGATAAAAATGTAGACATACATTCTACCAATCATTAATATATTTTATATTATTTGTTATCGTAATTTTCATCTGTGTTGATGAGCAGGAATAATAATACGTCAACGATCTTACGAAATAAGGTTAAACTTATTTTTAACGATAGTGGAACCATAATCTTCAAATGATATATCTAAAAACTGATCATTTCATAACACAGTGACAATTCCTCAATTTATATTTATTAATGCTTACCTATGGCTCGGAGAAACCGTACAAGTTCTTTTGCCAACTCCCATTTTGATCTATCCAATGCAGTATTCAAAAGCAGTGTTGCATACTGTCTACTTACAGAAGAGGTTTCTAAATTCTAAAAAACAAAATAGAATCATCAACACATGTTGATATAATAAGGATTTTTTTTCCAATAAACAATATCAGATGAGATGTGCATGCATAAAAGTATGGATAATGAAATGCGCTTTCAGATAGTAGTTCAGAGATTTTTCAAGGACTTTAGTAGTGAACTGTATGTTTGAGCTATACACTATACATGTATTGATACACCTACTTGTAAAATGATCAAGTATGAAGCTGCAGTATCCAACTGCCCTTTGGCCAAACACTCCTGAAAGAGATCTTTTGGTTTTCCGGCAGCGGAAAACAAATAGGGCCACAGAGCTATTTCGGTTTTTCTCGCACACTGCACTACCGTCTGTAAATATACCGGGAATTCCATAATAAACTCTATGACGCTCGGCAACTGGGCATCTGGAATGGGTTCCTTACTGGTTGCCTCTTCTTCCAAGACCTTTGAAAACAATACATGGTGCCGATGATTTCATAGGGCCAGTCTTGCTATTTCTTAGACGGTAAGAGAGATAAGAATGATCAAATTAGATGAAGTTGCGTATTGCGTATTTTAGACCTCTCCAATATGCCATTTTGCAAAGTGGAAAAATTGCAATTGCAAATACTGAAAATCATCAATTTTGTTTTCATTCAATTTCTCCGTTGATATTTGGAAGTCATTGAAATTTTGCATAAACAGGTTAGGATATGTTAGGTGAAGATTGGAATTTTGCCTGAACAGGTTATTGACCGAGACGAAAAATGTTAAGCAATAGTGACTAACCTAACAAAAAATTTAGAGAAGGTAGATTTTGGATTTCTTTTAAACTCGTGGGGGTTATAAGCTCTAAGGAATACTTCCTTTGACAAAGAATTCCAAAGCTTTACGCATTATATAGTTTGTATAATATTTCTTTGCGTGTGAATTGAATTAGCGAAGACCTACGCACAACTTGCTATCCTCTTTCAGAGTAGAATATAGAGCAGCAATTTCTATGATGACGTTTATTGACATAAGTCACGACATCATTCTCGAACGCAAAGGTTCAAAAGATTGCATACGGAGGTGTTTGTATGTCGGGAGGCATTCGAGTCTGCTATTGCAAAGGCAGCTGTACTGGAATACTTGTATTTCAACTCCATTCCTAAATCACACCCCTACTGCACTAAAACATCTGACCTTCAATTGATTTGATCCATTTCTTGACGTTGTGACGCACGTACAAAGAAATATTATACATACTGTAGCCGTGAAAGTAGCTATAGGAAAGTGAAAGGTCGCCGACTTCCCAACGGTATTCCACTGATGTCAAGGAATGCGGCATCACCAACCAAGTGAATGGCTCGCCTGTGAATAAAAAGCCAAGTTTTTGTGAAGCAACCTTCGCGACATAATTTTCCCAGAAATTATCATTCTTATTTCATCATTGTTGGCTTATTTTGATGCATCTATTGTTTGGGTACAGTTATTGATGGCTTCAACATATCTAGGAAAAAACTCGTGGTTCAATTCAGTAGCGAAAAAAACAATATGACACCAATTAGGATAACAGAAGTTGAATATTTTCAACAATCCTAACTTTGCCGTCTTAGCCGGTTACCTATTCATTCGAAATGCCAATCATTTCGTTCAAATATCAACTGAAAAAATAAATCAAATCAATATAAATAACGCAAATTTTTTCTACCTTAATCATCTTTCTCTCTCTTATCATACAAGAAATACCAATTACTGTTTCTTTGAAATTGCCAGGACCCAGTATAATACATCTTTCAACTCTATTAAAGAATACCATGGCGTAAATAATAGCCAAAAATAGTCATTCTGTTTATTTTATAGGGAAATGTGTGAGAATATTCAGTTCATCCTTTTACGACAGCTAATGTAAATGATACATAGAAATAAACTATATTGAATGATCAATTTTCAAATTTGGTGATTATTCAAACTATTATTGTAACTGAAACATAATAGAACAATATTGTATAGTAACTTAATTATTGATCTATAATGCATTGAGTTTATACCGGATCCCATGTACTAACTCATTAACTGTAATTTAATATGGGAAGGAGGTATATTCAATCAAACGTCACTTCTCAAGTATGCATTGATATGAATAAATACATTTGCATTGATATGAATAAATACTTTTCCATTTCTGGTTTTGCCATTCTGTAAATTTTCTAAAAATAGAAATTCATTATCAAAGATGATGCTCATGAAATGAAATATGTGCAAGACAGTAGCTAGCATTAAGGTCAGGTGCACTAGACTAGCTTCTGATTTAACTTTACCACTCCCTAGGTCTGCACAAATAAAAAATTCCATTATACAGGGTGTTTCATGAGCAGACTCACATAGCCGAATGGTTGATAGGGGAAATCAAGACGAGTTGATGTATATATATGAAAACATTTTTTGACCCTCCATAACGAAGATACAGGGTATTATGTGAAATTGCTATATAACTTTGATCGTCGATAGTACAGAAATGATTCGTCGTAATCTACTGAAATTTGGCAGCGACGTATCACTACTGAAACTTTTCAAGATGACATATTATGAAAAAAAATATCCAGGTCTGGACTTGGGAAAATTTTATGTTTTATCGTTATATCAAAAAAGTTCACTTTGTGGCCACTTTTCTCGACAAATTCCATCAGATTCAGAAAGATCAGACAAAATTCTATGAGAACTGCTCTTCAATTCACACGGCACACTTTGTCCGGTTCAATAAAATAATATAGAACAAAATCGTTCGAATGAATTTTAAATTTCGACCTGGCTGATAACTGTCAACTTTCAACTGGTATCATGTGAATTGATTTTTCCTGAATTTTTGTTGAATAGTGATTGACAGAAGAATAGACGAGAAGAAAAACACGATATTTTTTTATCGGAATTCCAGATAGATATTATTATTCCTGACTTTGTTTTATGGGTGTCGCTTGAAGTGAGATATCGAGTAGGCCCGGTTTTTCATTTGTGTGACGAGACGTGACGTTTGTTGATAATCCGACCTGATAGGTAGGTACTAGGCTAGTACTAGGTAGGTACCAACTGATGAAATTACAACATGAGGATTCATGTGCCCATATTATGATGATTCATCAAATTAGTTATGCCATCACGCATAAACTTATCTCCATTTTTTGTTATTGATACACTTCTGCAAGTGATATAAGGATATGCATTTGCTATTCATTCAAAATTCCTAATGTTCATCATCGTGAAGGTTTCACTGCAACGTATTCTTGGGTCTGGGAACATTCTATGGTATTAAACATTTTCGTCTTGTTCAGCATTTGGAATATGATAAGTGGCACCTAGAGTGTAAGAATATTTCGATTACCAGTGTTTACCTATCAACAAACGTCATGTAACATAAAATAAAAACAGGGCCCACTTTATGATAAATTTATGAAATAGAGTCACGAGTAATCATATCTATCTAGAAGTTCGGTCAAAAACTAACATGTCAAATCATTAAAGAATCAGTACTAATCTCTTCTGTCAATTTTTATACAATAAAAATGTATGAAAAATCAATTCACACGAATCCAGTTAAAAGTTGAGAGTTATCAGCCAGGTCGAAATTGAAAATTCATTCGAACGTTTTTGTTCCATATTTTTTTGTTGAACCGGTCAAAGTGTGCCGTGTAAATTGGAGAGCAGTTCTCATAGAATTTTGTCTGATCTTTCTGAATCTGATGGAATTTGTCGAGAAAAGTGGCCACAAAGTGAACTATTTTGATGTAACAATAAAACATAAAATTTTCCCAAGTCCGGACCTGGATATTTTTTTTCATAATATGTCTTCTTGAATAGTTTCAGTAGTGATACGTCACTGCCAAATTTCAGTAGATTACGACGAATCATTTCTGTACTATCGACGATCAAAGTTATATAGCAATTTCACATAATACCCTGTATCTTCATTATGGAGGGTCAAAAAATGTTTTCATATATATACATCAACTCGTCTTGATTTCCCCTATTTACCATTTGGCTATGTGAGTCTCCTCATGAAACACCCTGTATATAATGGCAAGAAAATGTTCAATCACTTACCTAATGAAATGAAAAGGATCACGGATAAAAGAAAGTTCAAAGTTTCTTCGAGAATTTTTTTGCTAGACAAAGCATTCTATTCACTGGACGAATTCTATTTGGAAAAATTTTAGATTCCATTTTATGTCATTCTACTTAATCGTATTGTTAACTTGCCTTTTCTCATTTTACCATACTTTTGTATTGTTCTTTTATACATTTATATATATGAATGCATATTGTATGTTTTTTAAATATCGTAGGTTTTTAGATTATTGTCTGTCTTGATTTTATAAGGTTTTAAGATATATCATGTACTTATGTTTTTAGATTTTATTGCCGTCTGACCTTGTAAAATTGACGTGTAGTGGTCTGCACTACAAATGTATGTGATGAATTTCATGTGTATTTATGTATACAGGGTGATTCAAAAGTAAGCGGCATCCTTTCAGAGGCGTATTCCTTGCTTGAAAATAAGGCAAAAAGTTCCTATTGATAAGGATCCGAAAATGCTTCCTAAGGGAGCTACGGCCCTTTGAATAGGACACCTCAAAGACGGTTTTTTCTCTATAACTTTAAAATCCTTCACAACAAATTTTTAAAAATTGGTGTACGGCATAAACATTCGATGGTAAATAGGACTCCGTATTCGAAATTTCAGAATTTCATTCAGGGGCGTCACATGCGGGAGAGGGTAAGTGTAAAAATATCCCTTCTTCTCCGGATATTCAGGTTACTGTGATTTCGTTTGGAAATTATTTCGAATACGGAGTCCTATTTACCATCGAATGTTTATGCCGTACACCAATTTTTAAAAATTTGTTGTGAAGGATTTTAAAGTTATAGAGAAAAAACCGTCTTTGAGGTGTCCTATTCAAAGGGCCGTAGCTCCCTTAGGAAGCATTTTCGGATCCTTATCAATAGGAACTTTTTGCCTTATTTTCATGCAAGGAATACGCCTCTGAAAGGATGCCGCTTACTTTTGAATCACCCTGTATATCGCGTAGTCTTCCCTATGTGGCCTGAATGTTCAAATGATATGTTTGTTGTTTTTCACCCTAACACTTTGTCAATAAGAACTACCATTCTTGAGACAATAAAGTAATTTTGAATTTGAATTTGAAAATTAAGACTTTCTCATGCAAGATATATAAGATGAAACCAGAATAATTATAATTTCTCACCTCATGTAAGAGTAATTCCAAGGAATGCGGAAAATATGGCAGGCTCATACAGCTTCTTGCTATTTCCCAGGCATGGTATCCTAAATTTCTCCTAATCAGCTGCCTCAATATTTGATGCAGGTAAACCTGACTCTGTGGAACATTTTTTGTCAATAGAGGAAAAATGGAAAAGTGATTGAATATATTTTTACCGTTCGTTGGAGCACGCTTAAAGGTAAAGAAAATGGAGAGGTAGAATCTGAAGTGTATAGGACAGTATCATTTTCAGCTCCTAATATTATTGCATCCTCGAAGAGTATTGCTGAAAAAAAAAAGTAATTTCGGTACTAGTTCCCAATAGTACCCTTGATAATTTACACTCACAAGATGAACCATCCTTATGAGAGCAATGCAATCAGACATTTTGTTCATTACGGGGCAGTATCTATGAGCGAAAAGGTGAACTACTTTTTGATGAATAGCGAAGGGTAGAGATCGGTAGAGTTCCTAAATGTACTTGACACTGCGGTTTTGACGTTTTTTGTATATTAGAGTACGGACACTATGACAAGCACTGACAGTCAGACATAACCACAAATAAATTAATGGAAAAAGCGGGAACTGGCAGTACACGGACGTACATGACATGAATTTCAAAGGTTTGACAAATCGAGAGAATTAGGAGTAAGGTTGTGCAGTTTCCAACTGTGAGAACACGGGAAATTCACAATATTCGAATTTCCATCGGATAACGTAATTCTACAAAAATGGAAACAGAATATGATGCGGCCGGCATGGAATATAGGTTCAGGCCACCTACACTTCAAAACGGAAGATTTTATGTTGAACAATAGGATCGTATTGAGAGAAAGTGCCGAACCCACAATTTGAAAACTGAGCGAGTATCGAAAAGAACCTTATTCCAATTTAGACTCTGGTTATTGCTTGTGATGGAGGGTATGTTCCGTAAATCAACTTGGTTATTTCGGTTGGTAGTTTTCCGTTCCGTAAATATAAAATGTTTGGTTGGTTCCTGAAATGAAGGTTATTTACGGAACTCGGTTGATGAAAAAGCGGTAGATTTACTGTCACCTGATCGACCGTGGATTTTCTCTGGTGAGTTCGGTAAATTAACCACATCCGTAGTCACCAGTAGATAACCACTGTCGAAATTTTTGGTACCGCTCCTGAAAGCATCGGTAACATATCCGGAATGATGGAGCAGACATCACACCATGGAGATCATGGTCGATCATCTGATGATGGAACAGCAGCAATTTCCTGAATTAACTGACTCAAACAGATTTCACATACCTGTTCAACCAAGAATTCTTTAGATCATCTTCGTATATGAACTCTTATAATAATTGTGTAAACATATAGTCACTTGGTGGAACTCTGATGTACCAGATATTGATGTATCTATATCAAAGAGTTGAATGTATTGTTCGTGTATCGCTTCTTCAAAGTTGAAATCCCAAGTTTGAATGTGCATGTTCATGCGTTGAGAAGTGCTAGACGACTGACTATATAGCTCCTAGTGGATTTTGAACCACTTCTTGGGTACCAAGATACGGGCAAGATATTATCAGAGCACAGAACAAGAACGCTTATAGAGTGCACCATTTATGTTAGGTATTGAAAATGATCTTCCTATGGCCGGGTTCAAACCAACAATCCCCTTTAGCAATGTGAACGGTGATCTATAGCGGGTCGAGCGCTGAAGTCAATTTATACCTACTTCCGTATGTCTTGGAGAACCTATATTATTTATCCTAACTGAAATCAGCTGTTATTGTTGCCATATCATTTGTTCATTTATTAATTAGTTATTACCTACCACTCTTGTACAAGTGAAATTGTTCCATACGAAATAAAAGTATGTTTCATTGGTTGAAATTCATCAGTTTTTATCCCATTTTGAACTGTTGAGATGAAAAAATATTCAACTGAACGTATATATATACCTACATATAAGGGACTTATTTCATAGGAATAGTATATGTATTTCGTTGGTATATAATATGTACACACCAAGTAGATATCGACCTCCATATTGAGGTCCTTCAGCCTTATCAATCATCATCATCAATTTATCGTACCCTTTTACCCACTCGAGGAGACGCTATGCACTCTCATACAAAAATCAAAGACAGATAAAGATATATGGATGTACTCTTCCCAGGACTTGTGGAGGGAGGAAAATGCGAGGATCCTTTATCAAACCGAAAAACATATTCTTGTCCTTGTCTGGCAAAACATATGATTTGCTTCAAAATCGTTTGTGGTTATGTTTGTCACTGCTTGTCTATACAAAAAACGTCAAAACAGCAGTGTCAAGTACATTTAGGAACTTTAGAGATCGGTAATGCAGAAGTTTATTTTTAGATGATTTTATGCAAGAAGGAATGTTGCATCAGCGCCGGATTTAAATATTTTCATTTGAAAGCCTTCAGAATATAAAAGTTAGTGATGTTCTTGTTTCAGAAAGATGGATATTCCTAGATGGTTCAGCAACTTGCAGATAGATGGACTCCAGCAGATTCCGAGAACATAGACAAATCGATCATATTTTGCTGGGTTTCCATAGCGCCGCCTACGAACCAACCAAAAACTAAGGCCCAATTTGGCTTCAACATTTTACAAGGAGAATCATCTTGTTAGTGTAAATACTCGAGGACATAACATTATTTCGATAATTGTATTTTGAGAAAAGTATTGAACTATGCCTCAAAATGATGACTTACCGAGCGGGTAAATTTTTAAATGGAATGGTAACATAATCCTTTTTGACATGAAAGTATGTGTTTTATCACCATCTCTAGGATACAGAGGTAACCAGACCCTCATACCATGAGCTCCACAAAATAGCCACAAGGCTTCAGTCAAATGGGCCTACGAACAATATTATACTCATTAATAATAATAACAGTGTATTGATCACGACAGTTTGCCGCAGCCATAATGGCTGTTTGAGAAAATGTAAAATTTAATCTGCATATTATCCAATCTCTTTGTACTGTGATTAGCCATTATGCTAATACTACTAAACTGGACCAAAGATTTTTATTCATGATTTTCTTGTCAACCTGACGAGTACGCACTGATGATGACTGTTAGGGAAAAGCGCTCTGCTAGGAAAAATGAAATAAAATTTATTTTGCCCGAAATTCAACTTTTTGTGCTGCTCTGGTAATGATTTTTTCACAGACAAAGTTGAATATCATAATGCAATATAGAATCTTGAATAAAATGTACTCCATAAGCGATCATCAGGACAAAATTATAATAAAAATGTGTATTTTGAAATACAAGATACAAAAATAATCACAGAAGACAAACAAAGTATGATAGTTCTAAATCTAAAGTTGTCCACCAAAATTTTCATCGGAAAATATCAGAAAATACCAAAAAAGCACGAAAAATTATGTTTTTTAATGGTTTTCAGCTTTCAACTCGCCTAGGAAGCCGTTCACACAAAAAATGAACCAGTAGTAAAATCAAGAAAGAAAAATTATCTACAATTTATGTCTCATGATACTTTTTGGTATACCATTTGGTGTCCATGCAAAAGAGCGTTGAAGTTTTAGTGGAATCAGTGATTTTTGGCAGCTTTTTGTTAATATCATCTTCCGAGATACAGCCGGCGTCCTTTCTTAGTGGTACATCCGGTACATACTATGTCTTGACAAGTTCTACGCCTATTTTTGGAATTGTTCGAAGAACACATGAAGAATATCTATCTATGATAGGTTGTGTGACAACCATAAAAAACCATTACTTTAGTTGGAACAACGAAGACAAGAACCGAAGAACAGGAGACGAAGACATACACCTCTAACTAACAATCCCCCCCTTCTCCACCACATACCTTATCCGCTCGCCTCTGCCCCGGCACCCAGACATTCTCCACGCACTCGGCCAACACCGTCGGCATCAAGCAGGCGTGCTTCTCCCCGCCGCGCGCCTCTCTTTCCACCAACACCAACCGCCCGCCCACGTTTAGCACCATGCTCTCGGCGGCGGGCGGTCGCCCCCTGCCGCCCGCCGTGCGCAGCGAGGTGAGGGTCACCGAGGTGATGCACGCCGGGTGGGCGGCCAGGGCGGACACATCGACAGCTTGGATTTTGGTTATGGTGACGTCGCCGACTGAAAAGAGGGACGGTTTGGCTCTCAGACTCAACAACAATGGATAGACACCGCGATTCATTCATTAATCATTGAAAACTGTACAACAACAATCCTAAACGCCAAACACGGGTAAACGAATGAAATCGGGAGTGGCGGGGATAACTCTGCGGAATTGTGTGTATGTACATTAATAAGGTAACTCTGAAGTATTGTAATATATCTATACGTTTTGTAACGTCCAAGTGAGGTTATGTGATATAGTATGAATGTCAAGTTTACTTCTAGATTAATTTTATCATTTAATAAAGTTGAAACAATATTCACTATCAATAAGATTACTTGAGATATAATTACATTTGAACATTTTATCAAGTTGAGATTAACCGCTTGTAAAGGACGCTAATATTTTCAAACTAAAAAATGACGTAAATGCCTATGACATAATGAAAAAGCAGTGCATCAACTTGTATCGTATTTCCAACGATGACAAATTAATGATACTTTTTGCTGAAAGCGAACTTGGTGACAAGAAGCCATGGCAATTGTACAAAGAGATTATTTCATTGCATTCTCGTGAAATGTCTAGAAATTACATAATTCTAGCATTGCACCCAAAGTTGCCAAAAACGGTAGAACATGCAATCCGAGCTTTCAGATCAAAACCGGAGGATAAAGATTTAGTGCACATGGCAGATGAAATGGTTAAAGGATTCATAAGAACTGAGGATTGCCCAGTTAACCGAAATGATGCCCAAACCACAGTCTGAACTACATACATTAAAATTGATCTACTCATCTCGTAGAAAAATCCTCATCGAGACCAATATATCATCGAAGGTTCAAAAAAAGACCAACAAATTGTACCAACGCGTGCAATTAAACTAGTCTAAAATTACTTTAAAATACACACATTATTTAACGAAGTCAGTAAACTCTTCAAAACACACACGATCATGAAGCCAAATGAACGCAAACAAACGATTCAGCACCGGTGGTGACGTCACAGCCTCTCTCCGCTCTCTGCTCAAGTTGCCAAAGCACGTTTAAATGGAACTGAGCTATCCTCTGTAGTGTATAGTCCTAAAATTTGGCTTGTGATTTTCAGGCGTATAGACAAGTTTTCAACATGATGTACTCCAAAAGTGAGCGAAGCCAATACAGTCTTCTGAACCGTGTTTCATGGATTATTTGTTCCACCATAAATTTCCTAATAATGGTTATTTTATGACAGGGATTGAACCACCGACGTGACGTCACCGAGTACGTCACCATGAGTAGGCCTAACAACGACTCCAGACGATCTAGCGCCTTATGGTGATAAATAAAGACATACAAGATAACATACAAATTCCTTCCTACAACAACGCATTCAAATCAAATATATTGGCGAAGTTTGTAGTAATTAAATGCAATCAGAGGTACATGTCACACGAAAAATCTAGAAAAGTATACCTATTTGCTGCAGTAGTTGAGACGAGTTGAAATATTGAGTTTGTAGGTATGTCGTTTATTATAATTACTCATACATATTCATCTCAAAAAACGAAAATAAAAGGAAAATTATCTCTATGGCTTGAAAACTCAACCAGTGAGTGTTGTCAATTCAATCTTTGGATTTTTTATTCAATCGATGATTAGACTTGAAAGAGTATTTTCTCAGTTGATTTCTGCATTCCTTGCAAGGAGTAAAATTACCAGTTTCCCAGCGTTTTTCAAGCGGAAATTCACACCATAGAAAGGTGCATTCAGGTCAACCGACAGCCAAGCAGCCATCAAAGCGTTGAGCTCCTTTAACATCAACTCAAAGATGGTTTGGGAATGCCTAGAAAAACTCAACAAACTAGGCAGAAACAATAAGGTAATCGGTGCCGGGGCACATCGGAGTGGACGGAAATGAATAAGCAGACATCCTGGCATGAAAAGAAGCATCAACGCCACAGATTGGACCAGAACTATTCTGCGGCCTTGGAAATTCTTATTATCAAGAAGACCTTAATAAAACTGAAGAAGTAATGAGAGTAACACACTGGCAAAGACTTCCAGGACTGCGCCAGGCCAAAGATCTCCTCGACAATTTCAACCGAGCAAGATAGAAGACACTGATCAATCCCAACAAAATTAGTCTCAAAGCAATAACGGGATTTCTAACGGGGCATTGTGGACTCAAAAAACACCTAAGGAAGCTTGGATTAAAGGAGGACAGCACCTGCAGATTCTGCGGGGAAGTATACCAGCTGACCGTGGAAGAAATGCCACAAACAGATCCCTCCAAAATCCTCAGATTCCTAAAACAATCGAAGCTTGAGGGGCTGGTATAAATAAGAAAACCTTGAGATAACAGAAGAAGATGGGGCACAATAGATCTAATCAGGTCACAATGCATCTGTATTATCCACACTTACCAATAGCACTTACCAATAGCAATACTCAGCAGTAAATTATTCAGAAATGAATCATTTAATTCAATATGATCCAGAACAATGTGTGGTCTTTAGATAATGATAGATTTGCATACATTTTGATATGTGCCCAGGTTCAAGAAATATTCATCTTCTATGATCATTTTTTATTGAATCTGACGCTATTCGGGATCGCCAAGGTCAGATGATGTTGCGATGACATTTAAAACTACGGGAAAAGATCCTAACTCCTGGTATACATTGAGAGTTAGACACGTTTTCGCGTAGTTTTTAATGTCATCGCAACGTCATCTAATGACCTTGACGAACGCGAATACAGAGTTCAAAGAAAGGTCGTCTCATACTTAATATTATAATATAATTTCTATTACCTATATTACTCAGAACTATAATGACCTGCCTCATGTTATGTAAATAATCAAAAGAGATTTATAAAAGTATCTATCTATCTACTGCAACTGATCGAATTCCTTATTGTACTTGTTCCAAAAATCTTACCTGTGTCGTTCTGTTGCATATGCCAAATGCTGACCTGAGCATCAGATCCGAACGTAATCAGCTGGTCCCGTAGAATATTCATCAACAAAATCGGTGCACCGACTCGTACAATTTTCGCAAACTTATTGTCCAACTTCGAATCGCGTGGATAGAACCTCAGCTCCTCTCCGTTATCCAGGATACTGTAACAACCCATGATGACGTAATCCCTCCACCAAAGCAAACCCCCAGCCACGATAAAGTCTTTCTCCTGAGTTTCATTCCCGAATAGCTTCCATCTTCGTGACTGCATGGAGTAGTGGGCTAGACCTTGAATAATATAATGAAATAATAAATTGGGGTCTTTTTTGACAAGACAATGAAAAATGTCGGGACTTTCCGCCATCTTTGAAAATATAATATTTTCTCTGTTTTTTCACGAATAACTCATAAACTATTGACTTTTTCATTCGACATCTTCAATATGGGTGATGGAGTGCCTCGAACATCTCATTTTACGCTCTTTAAAGAGTGTGGACACATATTGTTAAACGGCTGAACAAAAAACATGAGACATAGATATGTTTTATAAGAGATGGAATGTCACTTTTCTTCATTGAAGGAGTATAGACATATTTTTATTTGAAACATTACTATGTCAATGAATGTATTTCCATGAAATGAATATTGGAATTTGAAGCTTCAACGAACACTTGAAATGTCGTGTCGTCTTTGGGCAACTGCAAAAAATGTTAACAACCAACATTCTTAGAATTTCTGCAATTTGTTCCCGAACAAAATAATATATTCGACAACATTTTCGCGGGAACGCCTATTCAATTTTCAGATCTGACGTTTCAAATCTGAGAATGAAGACAATTCGGAAATGTCAGTGGTGACAAGCGTGTCCACACTTTAAAGGGTGTTAATTGATATGTTCGAGGCAGTCTAGGGTGATGCATTCGAAGAGTAAAGACAGTTTTGGGGGGCCAGGTAGCAGTGCGGACAGAGTGTCAATATTCTAATCCGCATTCGCTTGCCGGTCGTGGGTTCGATTCCCATCGACTGCAGAAATTTTTCTGATGGCCCAAGAAAGTGTTTGGGATCACACGTTAAAAGGTAAGGCCCCCGTCATTCCTTGCTCGCACAAGACTCTCGAAGACTTCTGAGGGTTGCTCGTAAGGGGGCAACCGAATGACGGATAGAAAAAATTTAGAACAATTTAGTTTCTGCGCATTGCGCAGAAGTGTTTCCAGGAGATCAATTTGACCGAGATTTACGATTTTCGATTGTAGACCGATCGGCTTATGAACGTTTTGCAAAAATCCTTGAAATTTTGATTGCAAGATTAGAAATTTTTTTTGAAGTTTCAGTTATTTGGAGAAAACCAGCATGGATATCTCAAAAATAAATCAGTTGGGACTGCCTTATTTGTCTTCAGCTTTGAAGTTCTGCAAGCCTTGGACGATGGAGACTTCTCTTGTGGTATTTTCGTAGATCTCTCCACGGTATTTGACAGTATGGATCATAACATTTTACTGGATAAGCTATATAAATACGGTATACGCGGTAACTCCTACAACTGGTTCAAATCATACCTCAAAAAGAGAAAACAAATAGTCCAACTATCATCCGAGCAGGGTGAAGTTGGGCGTTACCACCGATAAAACAAGGCCAGCAGACTCTGACGTAAACAGCTCGTGACATCGCATACTCAGGCCATCTTCCAAGGCATTCGCGTCGATCGATCGTCAGTTTGTTTTTGTTTAAGAACGGTGGCGTAGGTAAATCGCGTGTGCTCCATGTGTGCTCGAATTCTCTTGTTGTTTATTCATCAAAATAATTGGCGGAGAAATTACTGTTTTGTGAAATATTTCGTGTTGTGATAGGCGAAATAACAAGCCTTACAAGTGTTGTGTTCCCTTTTGTCGGGGGAATTATGTGGGTGGTCCAAAAGTTCATGCTTTTAGTTTCCCGTTGGACAAGGACATTTTAGAGTACTCATATTACCTCATTCAGGTACAGTCAAATCGATATGTAGTTCGTTGTTAACAGATCCTACATTCGAAGAAAGACAAATGTCGTTATCTCATGCAGAAAATGTATTTAAGTTATTAGGTGAGCGTGAAAAATATGTCATTTTAATGATGGATGAAGTTCATATAAAGCCATATTTAGATTACAAGGCAGGCAATATTGTAGGAACGGCATTTAATAATTCATGTTTAGCAAATTCCGCATTTGTCTTCATGATAGCAAGCGTTATGTCAAATGTGAAAGAAGTTGTTCATATAAGTCCAACATCAAAAATAGATCACCTCATGATTTTTTCTTTAATAAAGAGTCATAAATAGATTAGAGGAAATTGGTTACAGAATATTCTGTATTATCAGTGACAATAATGCTGTCAACAGTAAAGCTATGAGTAATTTTGCAGGAGAACCAAAACTCAGTATTGTTTATCCTCATCCCGCAGATACATCACGTCCTCTTTTTTATCTTTTTGATTCTGTACATTTGTTGAAATGCATAAAGAATAATTGGCTCAATTCAAAACCAGATCAGAAATTGAATTATCCCGATTTTGAAACAGGGGTTGAAAGAGTTGCTTCTTTTCATAGTTTAGAAACCCTTCACGAATTACGATAAATGATAAATTATTAAAATTTGGATAGTCCTTGAACCCGAAGGCGCTATTTCCATCGAATATGGAAAGACAAAACGTCGCTTTGGCTCTCGAAATTTTCAATGATTTCATAGCACAGGCTCTTTTAAAATTTGGATCAAACATTGAAAACTCTGAAGGCACTGCTGGATTTATCAACCTGATACTCAAGTGATGGAAAATAGTGAATGTCAAAACACCCCTCAAGGGCAAACGTTTGAATAAAGTGTTTCAAGAACCTATCACAGCTATAAATTTTTGTTCCGATGAAAAATTCATTTTCTTGCATAAAATGATAGATTGGTTAGAAACTTGGAAATCTGCAAATTCTACTAATAAACTAACACACCAAACACATACTGCTTTGATTCACACTATATATGGAATGATAGAAGTTATACAATATTGTTTTAACGAACTCAAGATGAATAATCTTTTACTAGGAAAATTTCAAACAGTTGATTTGGAACATAGGTTCGGGAAATATCGTCAACTTTCAGGTGGACAATATCACATATCTATTCGACAATTGTATGAATCGGATGAATCAATAATGATCTAAAACTAAAATCGAAATACGCGGTCGCCTTATAGCGCTATAAGCGCTTGTCGTTTCGAGCCGCTGGTTAGGCCTGACTAAGTGACGTCACCCACGGAGCATGCAGGCCTTGTTTTATCGGTGGTAACGAGTTGGGTCAAGTGCCATGGGTGTATTCAATCACCGGGTAGGTGACTTACGAATATTCAACAGAAACTGGTGAGTTATTGACATAATATTGTCACGAGTAGAACATACGGTATATCAGTTATTTCGAACCATGAGGGTTTTATAAACATAAAGTAAATCAAATCATCCGTTGACATTGAATTATAAAAACTGACCAAGGAACACTCATGAGAAACGTGCATATCCAATAAAATGTTGTATATAAATATTGGATGTGAGGGTTCCGAAGTTAGTCTGGTCTGGAGCTACTCTTGACTTGACAAGAGCTCGTCGTAATGGTCGTTATAATGTAAGTTGTTATTAGGTCTTTATATTCATTGTTGATTATTCATATTTGTCATCACTTCACCCATAATGTTTCATGCTATTATACATATTGTTATGTTTGAATGTAGTCTCGTACAGTTCAGGTACCCAGTTAATAAACTATTAGTGCCTATTTGAATATTACCTCTCGCAAAATATTAAGCCAAGCATACCCCTTATAAATCGATATAAATGGATATGGGTGGAAACAACCCTTTTATTGTGACAATAGGAACATAACTCTTTTGTTGTGACAATATGTCAGTAAACTAGCGTCACTGACGGGCAGACATATTTTGAATTACTGAACAGACAATATTATTTCGCCTACTAGGTTTCCATTAAGAACGACAATGGATGCATCAAAAAGTTGAGATTGTACATGGATGGTAAGCCCTTAAGATTGAGGTTAAGTTGAAAACCTACCTGTTCTGCCTGCTACTGCAATATTCAGGCCATCCGAATCTATAGCTGAGTATCTTATCGGCCAGTTAGTGGAGGAATAAACGGAGGGCACAGGGATGACTAGCCACTGTCGGCCCTCTGCTAGGGGTGTCGTTAGGGATGAAGGATTGTCGCCGAAGAGTTCGTCTTTTTTCGATCTTTCCGAAAAGGCCCGAATGAGGGTGTCGGCTGAGTTTACGTACAGTTTGTCCTCGCCTTGGAGGTATAAATGACTTTGGTGACTCTAGAATACACATTGAAAATGTGCCAATATTAGTATACTTACAGAGTGAATACTTCAAAGTGAAGAGATATTGGCACAATAAAAATAATACAGTGTACAGTGAAATATTTCAATTATTTGCCGCTTTTCACTTATAAAGATCGAACTATAACACATTTGGTTGTTTCAATGTCTGTAAATACCATAGACAGATAGAATATGTATGAATGTATGTATGTGCACAAATCTATCAATAAATTGATATACAGTATGATGCAAATGTATGGAATAAATTCATTCCAAAACAAGACGACTTCCGAAAAAAATCCAAAAAGTAGAGTTCAGAACTTTTTTATCGATGTATTTTTTCAACTAGACGACCCTTTGATGTTCAATTCTCAGTAGAAGATCTCTGCAAGATTCAGTTAACCAAATGATAATCCATTTTAATTTCAATCTTCTTCTGCAAAATTTTGACTATTGGATAGACGATCAGTAGACCTTTCAAACGAGGTGTCACATGACCCCTGTTTGTATTTAAAAAAACCGTCTATTACGTCATTACTCCAACACCGGTGACGTAACATCTCTCATATGAATGTCATGAGATGAGGTTTCAAAAATTAAAACTCACGTGTTTTTGGAATTTCTTCAAATGTCGCCCATTTCTGAAATAATGAATTTATTCCATACATTTGCATCATACTGTATAATTGAACTTATTAAAATATTTAATTATCGATCAATCACTATTCGCAGGTAAATCGAGGAAGTGAAATATTATTTTTTTCTAGATTTTTGAGATTTTCGCTCCTCGTCTCCATGAAATGAAAATAATTAGTATTTATTTCAATAGAGCAGATTCTTCCCCCATATTCTTCATCTTCAAACATTTTTCAAACATCAATGACTATCGAGAGTATGGAGGTTCCTAAAAGTGAAATTTTAACTGCAGTATCATTTTGGGGCAAATCAGTTTATTTCTCCTTATTACAGATTGAAATTATACTAATATGTTTATTTATACAGACGAGAGAGAATCCCAAAAATCGAGAGAAATGTAACTATTAACTATTATTGTAACATTATCATACTGAAACAAATACTGAAATTTAATATGGAAATTTACAAAAGTTGTCAACATAATAGATATTACAGATTATGTTCTTCAAACCAATCAGAACGTTCAATTGAGCTAAGATGCCTTATAATTTGGAATATACGTGTATATACATAGAGTAGTACCACCAATCAGAAATTTAGAATTATTTTATTAGGTTATACATCTTAAACTTCCTACACAATTACAAATCGTGTCACTTTAATAGAATAATACTACCGCTTCGCGGTCGGATAGTAACTGTTAAGAAGAACACTTTTTCGGATTATGCAACAAGTTAATGATGTATAAGTACTTATAGTATTACTACTGGATATAATAGAATATACCTAATAGTTTTATTGAACACCATAAAATCGAGTAAAATTGATAAAAACCAAATTACATAGAAGATATGGCAGATCCGAAGTCATAAATCTCTGTATTCTGGAATTCTTGAGTTATAACTTCTATAATGATATATTTTGGGAATCAATTCAGGATCAATTGGGTGAAAAATTACCTCATCAAATCATCGGCAAAATCTCGAGAATATCATATAGTTATTATCATATCAATGAACTTCCACTATCCTAATTGGAGGCTTTCAATCAAGTGGCACACTATAGGAATCAAAGGGGTCACTTCAGTTCCTATTTTGGGGATCTTGACAACATACTGCAGCTGACTCTATAGTATCTTTCAAGATATTCTCCAGAAATCACCAATGTGAGTGATTGTATAAATTGGAATTATCCTAATCATTCCACATTATTTCGATTTAGGGAGATTGATTTTGATTCATGTAATATAATGTACGATTTCCTGTTCCTCTTTGTTGTCCAAGTATACTCAAATCATCTGGAGTGATAGGGCAACTAGTCTCAAAATATACTTGATTCACCAAACCAATTACATGTGAAGTACATGTGAAGAAGAAATATGTTCTTCAAATCTTGTGCCAATGATTTGAAGTGTTTGCCCAATGTATTACAATTCATTTAATGAATATCTGAGTATCATTATTATTTTTGGGGTTACCCAGAAGACTATGAATGGTATTTTCAACAATGAAATGTCCAGCCTTTTCAATTTAGAAATATCATTTAAATCCCCTGTGATTTGGGCAAGAATTTTCTCAGTTAAGAAAGCTATGGAATTCATTGATTATATCAAACACATCGGAGTTAAGTAAGGTGAAATGGTGAAAAAAATGTTTCATTTGTCTTGACATAACATTAGTGTTTCCTAATGTTCCAATCATACAAACAATGACATACTGGAAATATTGGCAAGAAATGATATTGAAAAAATTAATATTGTTGAAATTGCTATATTGACTAAACTTTGTATTAGCCAAAATGTTTATCAAGTGAACCTTTTTTCAACTACATGAAGGCACTGCTTTGACTAACAATAATGTATTACCATTTATTGTCAACTTTTTCATGTCTAGGTTGTATTAAATTGTGTTAATAAGAAGCCTACTGATTAACAAACAGTATCTACTGGTTCCCAAAAGTTTTGTTGAGACATGTTGATGACACTTTTGATATGTTTAATATCAAGAAGTTCAATCTTGATGATTTCTCAACTACATGAATGATTATGAAATAAATTGATGCCTGTAACATGAAATATATTGGGACCCAGTCATGTTCCAGACTTTCTGATTTACTTACAGGATGTTCATTGAAGCAAAACTACTCTCAGAAATACTGCTAAGATCCATACTCTCACAGGTAAGCAATGGAAAATATCCTGAATGAAACTTCTGAAAATATTATTGTGGAGTCTTGGATATGTTTGAATAAACAGTCTTCACTTAATCTCAAAGCAAATTGAATTTTTTTTTGTCATTCTGGCAGTTTATAAAGTGTCCCAAAATAAAAATATTACAAGTTATACTAAGTCACATATCCATCACAGATTTTTTAGGCTTTTGCAAATCTGATAGCTGCCATGTAGATATACTCACATATATACAGAAGTTCATAATAATTATCATTATATGTGTTTTGATTATAAAATGTCATTGGAACCAATGAACATCTAAACCCTGATCTTTTTCTATCATGCAAAACATATTGTACATACCATGGATGGGTTTATTGTTAAAGCACTTCTGGCAAATTCCAACTGCACCACACTAGTTTTGCCATCCACATTGCTATTAACATCAATCTCTGTATTACTACTATTCAATTTATTTTCAATATTCCTCTTCACCATCCACAACTGATATCCTTCAGTTGAAAACTCCATACATGTGACTTGTAGTGGATTGAATTTATGTATATCCACATTCAAACCATAGTCCCAGCCCAGGGAACACATGAGTAATGCTCCAAAGGTTGACCACATTGCTATACCCCCTTTAGACCATGAAGCCACTAAGGCACAACCATCAGGAGTCCATAAGACCTTGCCCACAGCTCCAGGATACCCTGGATAGTCTTTGCTGCTGAGAACACAATTGTGAGAAATTTCCAAGCCACCAGTGCTTTCATCTACATAGTAAACTATGCATTCTGAGTTTGAACGACCAAAAGTTATCAATCTATACTTGTGGTTGATGGTTGTAGAAGTGGCATCTTCAATACCTTGTGCCCAAATGCCTTGCACTTGATTAGGATCAAATTTGAGAGAAGAAGCAGTCAGAAAAGCTGCCCTACCATCATTCAAGACTATAGAGAATCCTCCAGCTAAAGGTGAATACTCTATTTCTGTGATATAAGTATTTTCTTCAACTATAGGAACTGCTTTTGACACTTGTTGATTGATACAGAAAGGAATCCTCCTGAGGTCAAGGGTATAGTCTCTATTTTGACTACCATCCCAGCGGTATCTGAGTACATGCCCATTTGTAGTTGAAACCATTATTTCCATCATTGTTACACATACCATTCCTGTTATTGTACCATCCCATACCATTATCTCATCACTCTAAAAATTATTGTATTCTGTTTTCACATAATATGTTGCCAAGATATTTTCAAACTTACCAAAGTTAATGATAATGGAGGAATTGTTTCTTTGATGAATAAATCAGCACTGCCTCTTCTCAAGTTAGCATGAGGTGGGTCAGTTTGAATATATAGCCCCTTATTGTCAGCTGGGACTCCCACTTTGTAAAATAGCAAATGTCCCTCTGAAGTCTGAAAAACGGGACTATTTAGTGAAACCAAAGTGTTTAACTAAACATTTCTGACAACTCACTGCAATAACAATCATACTTGAGTCTGGTTTCCATTCTGCAGTTACATTGGCACCAAATTTTTCTACAGAATTTGTTGAGCGACGATGAAAAACAATAGGAAGGCAAGGCTGAAACATAAAAAAATCAGTAGCAACAAGAATTCTGGAAATGGCTCTTACCTTGCAGAACCATATCGCTAATGTATCGTCAGCTAAAATTGCAAATAGTATCCTATCTCTATTACAAGTAATGTATTTGATTGTGGATTGACCCAATTCTGGAATTTTAATAACTTTTGGCCAACCAATTGGAAAATACATTCTTCTTTCATAAAATTTGTATGTTTAATATTAATAATCAGAACACATCACATCATTATTTTTGGTATAAATTTATGTTTTTACAATTTTGACTATTTTGAGCACATTAAAAACAAAGATTTGTGATTGTGAGTTGTGACATGGTTGTGACAGGAATCATGATAAACAAGAAAACAGGAAGAAGAGACCAAGAACAAAACAATCCAACAAATCACTGCCTTAAGTGAACGAGTTCGTTTTGCCCAAACTTCCGTCAACAATCAATCAGAACAATTTTGGCTTATATATTATGGCGGTAAATTCGAAGGCAGGTACGCCAAACGTGTGGTGGAATCAGTGGCGACTTTGGCAACTCAAATAAATGTTAACCATCGTTCATTTTCGCGAGGAAGCCTATTCAATTTTCAGAACTGACGTTCGGAAATGTCGGTGGTGACAAACGTGTCCACACTCTTTGAAGGGCCAATGACGGCTAAATGGACTGTCTGACGGGTTATAGTTATACAGGGTGTCCCTGAAAGGTGCGGAAAAAAAGCTTCCAAAAGTTCCTGAGGCGTAAATATGACGATATAACTCAACTTACCTCAGTCCAAAAGTGGATGATTTCAGAGATACAGAGTGTCGAAAGTTCAATTTGATTTCCATTTTTTATGAATATTTTCCTTATTAATTGGTGTATTGTCACAATATTTGGCTTGGGGGGGTTTTGCTGGTTGAGAAATTAGAATTTGCTATTATTTTGATTGTAAAATCAAGAGGGCGCCACCTGCGGAACCTTGCACACATTTAAAACGATATAACTTTTCTGAGCCTCCCCATATTCAATTTTTAAATGGAAATTCGGATTGTCCAACGTCTTTTACATAAAAAATGTATACGTGGTAAGAGTTGATTTGAGCAGCTGTTTTTGAGATATGTGGATTTTAAAAATCCACTTCGTAAATGGACAGGTCTAAATTATTGTAATAATAAAATTGAGCGCAGGCGGTGAATTAAAATAACTTCACTAAAAACTGACTTGGGTCAAATCGAATCAAAAAAACAAGTCAATAAGACAATTGTCAAACAAAATAAATAATATAGTTCTTTTTGTCATGGCCGCAATGTATACCAACGAAGAAATGACCGATATGTTATTGGTTTTTGGATATTGCCAGGGAAATAGTTTAGAATCTTGCAGAGTATACAGTGAAAGATTTCCTAATCGTCGCTTACCAAACCATACAACCTTCGCGGCAGTTGGAAGACGTCTTCGTGAAACGGGTAGGTTTGCGCCTGTGGCCGTGCACGTACGGCAAGAACTCCAGAGGTTGAGGAAGAAATTTTGAATAGGATTGAAGAAAATCCTAAACTCAGCAGCAGACGATTGGTCTTAGAGCTAGGGGTATGTAAAAATACTGTAAATAGGACGACCAGAGAACAACTACTGCACCCATTTCATGTTCAACAGGTACAAGATCTTTTGCCCCATGATTTTGAAGCACGCCTAGCTTTCTGCGGGTTCATCCAAGAACACAGAAATCAAGATAGGAACTTTACACGAAGAATTTTATTCACAGATAAAGCCTGTTTCACGCGGAGTGGCATTACTAATTTGCACAATGAACATGTCTATGCTGAAAAAAATCCCCATGCGACTAAAGTAACCCATTATCAGCATGAGTTCAAGGTCAATGTGTGGGCAGGAATCATAGGCACTTTCATACTTGATCCTGTCATTCTACCACCCTGACTAGATGGCGAAAATTATTTGGAACATCTGCGAAACGAATTACCAAACCTATTAGATTCCCTACCCTTGGAAAGCCGGGATTGGCGCAGTGGAAGAGCGTCCGTCTCACGACCGCAAGGTCGTGGGTTCGATTTCCAGCACAGGCAAGGAACTTTTTTCAATATTTTATTCACGAATTATATATTGTAAAGTTTCGGAGCATCGGCTGGGGATAGTCCTGCACGATTCGCTGTTGCGTTCCAATTAACAGTGCTGCTCCTAAAGTGGCGCATGGAGATAGTAACAAAGCCTACACAGAACACGCAGAAAGATATGATGATGTGGTTGTGAGCATCAGAGAAGAAGTAGGACGGTGTATGTAGGTGGGTGTGGAAAAAAACTACCAGCTGAGCGTAAGAGCGGGCCAGCTGCTTAAGTAGACCTCGGTCTCGGGGGTTAACGATGATAGTTAGCAGGCCTGCCACTGCGCATATGGTAGTGAGTACATTACTAGCCTACAAAACACAGCTGAAAAACTCTGGAAAGAGAGCTGATGGGCGGTGCCTGAAAAGGATGTTAGCCAGCTCTCTTGAGCGAACAACATCATTCATTGAAAACACTTGGGGTTTGCAAAAAGGTCCCATTGGGGACTAGTTGCTGACGTGGAAACGTCCCCCACCAGTACCAGTACCAGTACCAGTACCCTACCCTTGGAACTTCGCAGGGTAATGCGATTTATGCATGACGGTGCTCCTCCGCATTTTGCAATTAACGTACGTAATTATTTGAATGCACAGTATTCAAATAGATGGATAGGTAGAGGCAATGACGCACCTGCAAATTGGCCAGCTCGGTCCCCTGATTTGACATCGATGGATTATTTTTTATAAGGAGCTTTGAAAATCCTTGTGTATTTTAGCCAGTTAATACAGAAGATGATTTAAGGAGACGTATTCAAACTGAAATTGACGATTTAAGAAATGATGACGGAATGCTCCAAAGTGTTCAATTTAACTTTTTAAAACGTATTAATCTTTGTACACACGAAAATGGAGGTCATTTTGAGCATTTGTTGAAATCATTTTTTTTTTTAATTAAATGAAATTAAACTTATGTTGTTGATAAATCTCCTATTCCTATTCCTAATGACTATTTGTACTAGAGAATAAAATTACCAACACATTTATGTACCTACTTCTTTTTTTAGTGACGTTATTTTAATTTACCGCCTACGCTTCAAATGTGTTCAATTTTATTATTACAATAATTTAGACCTGGCCATTTACGAAGTGAATTTTTAAAATCCAGTTATCTCAAAAACAGCTGCTCAAATCAACTTTTACCACGTATACATTTTTTATGTAAAAGACGTAGGACAATCCGAATTTTTATCTAAAAATTAGATATGGGGTGACTCAAGAAAGTTATTTCGTTTTAAATGTATGCAAGGTTCCGCAGGTGGCGCCCTCTTAACTTTACAATAAAAATGATAGCAAATTCTAATTTCTCAACCAGCAAAACCCCCCCAAGCCGAATATTGTGACAATACACCAATTAATAAGGAAAATATTTATAAAAAATGAAAATCAAATTGATCTTTTGACACTCTGTATCTCTGAAATCATCCACTTTTGGACTGAGGTAAGTTGAGTTAGATCGTCATATTTACGCCTCAGGAACTTGTGGTAGCTTTTTTTCCGCACCTCTTAGGGACACCCTGTATAGTACTCGTCAGACAGTCCATTTAGCCGTCATTGGAAGGGCAAAATGTGAGATATTCGAGGCATTCTAGCCTATACGAATCGACTATTCGCGGTAGTCAAGGTCATAAGATGAGGTAGCGATGACTACGGGAAAACATCCTAATTTCCGTTGACATAGATTTGAGACATGTTTTCCCCAATGAACTCAATAATTCAATGATTTTCCCCAGTTTTCCCGTAGTCTTCAAGTTTTTAATATCATCGCGACGTCGTCTAAAGACCTTGACTACTGCGGATACGGATATCTAGGCGAAACGAATACTTGCTTCCTGCGTTGAAGTGCCAACAATGGCAACATTGGTAGTGACGTCAAAAATGTGACATCGAACACTTCGAATCTCGAGATCGAGTCATATGATTTTTGTGGATTTCTCGTCGTAGAGTCGTCGAACTTCAGTATCTGAATTTTTTTTAGTCGTTTGTGTGGTTGGTTGTACAGTTGTACAGATTTTCCTATAGTGAATATTCACTGAAATAAATATAGAATGGCTAGTCAAACTCACGGGATTCAGCAACTTCTAGCTGCTGAGAAACGCGCTGCTGAGAAGGTTTCAGAAGCCAGAAAACGTAAGATTGATTTTTTCATGAATTAGATATCGACCTCCATAATAAAGGGTGTTAACAAAAGTCACGAGGCAATAAAACATTTTCACGAGATCTTTACAAGCAAAAATAATGTAAGATATTTAATTTCAAAGGACAAAAGACAAATTAGCTGCTAATCTTTCCATCATTTTCCACTTTTATATTATTGAGAAGATATTCCCTGTTTCAAGATGCCACAGGTTTTCCAAAAACACTACACAAATCCTATGCATGTTATTATTGCATAGAATTTTTTTTGGCCTCTGAAGAGCAAATGGTCTTGGGTCTAATTATCTATGTTTCCTCAAGACTTGTGATCACAATCCCTGCATTAATCTCAGCATTATTAAATTTGGTATCACTTGAGTTTGAGTACATCTAAAACAACTGGAAGTTCAAGAAAGGTTAACCAAATTAAGCTCAAAATTAGCCTCTAAATCTGCATCCCTTAACCAAACTAGATTTGATGTTATACTCCTTTTTATAATATGAATTGATGGCAAATATGAAATAGTTGGAAATGGTGTTATGAGGAAATGTGTATCCTCATCCTCCTACACCTTCTGCAAAAGGAAAATCCAATTAGTAGGATAGGAATGCAGGAATAGTGTCAGTATACTGGGTGACACAGACTCATGGTATCCCTCCTTTCTCATTTGTTTTTCTAGCAATATTTCTGAAATTTGGAACATCCCATTATGCTCACTAGGGGACACTTTCTCACATTTCAGGCAAAAAGGTTGATAGAAATGACAATTCATTGGCAGAGGAAGGCATAGTTTTCATGACATCACAACATCAGATGATGACCTTGACTACCAGGAATATTAAAAGTGCTTTTTCTGTCACACTCATTGATCATATGGAAACTTTGAATGCAAATATCTTGGTAACCATTTGAAATAAACCAATCAAACCCAGTATCCTTGAATTCTTTATAGAAACCCTAACCCATTATGGGAATACAGGGTGTTCTATTTGAAAATCGAAACTTGATGTAATTTCCAGGGAAACCGGATGAAAAAAATCCTTAAATGTGTGAAAATATAGCTAGAAAAACAAAGGAGATAAGTGGGGTATACCATGAGTTTGTGTCACCCAGTAGACCACCCCCACGCTTCTACTTTTTTATCGGAAATGTTAAAAAAAATCCACGCATGCGTGAAAAAACTTCACAACAGGAATACGCTCTTGTGACGTTTTTCAACGTTTTTCGTTTTGATTTGACGCGTGCCTGGATCTTTGAGAAGTTTGTGATAAAAAAGTAGAGGGTTAGGGGCAGTCTATACTTGAGAGTGTGGACACGCTTATCATGTTGTTGAACAGCTGAACAAGTAACATGAGACATGATTTAGATAGATGGAATGTCATGTACCCCTTCATTGAAGGAGTGCCTACATATTCTTATATGAAACCCCAACAGTGGTGTAACACGAAAGGCACATAAAGCTCATTTGGTTTTAAATTTTCAATATAATTCAAACTCAAATAGATGCAAAAATTAAGAAAATTATTTTAATGTTTTTTTAGTTGGTGCCTACTTACCTATTGTTATGTAGTTAATTCATCACAAAAAATTGTTTTTCGAACAAAATATATTTTCTTTCCAAAAATTAGAAAACATGAATAGTAACTGAACACATTATTAGCAGCCAAATTCCTAACAGCAAGAATACCAGCCAAATTCCCTGTCATGGATAAGTCCTATAAGATAAGTATACAATTTACATAACAAATTAGAGTGAGAAACTTGTAACTTAGTATTCATAATTTATTTTATCAAGATTATGGTGAATCAATAAGAGCTTTTTTGCATTTTCAGACAGACAGAATAGACACTTGTTGCTGGGTTCCCCGACTTCTTTTTAATTTTTTTATTATTGGGAGGTTGCTGCTATCCTCCAATTGAATGAGGAGAATTGTTTTAAAAATAAATAATAAATAAACAGTGATTCCTATCTAGGTAAATCTAATACTCTGCACACTGAAGCTAGTTTAAAAATAGTAAAAATAAATCAGCCTTAATATTTTCAATGTTTTACATATAAAAATAGGCATACACATACGTTACAAATTTGGGTCTCGATCAGGCCGGAGTTCCGGCGATCCCGTACGGCCAGAGGCCGGAATTCCGGTTCCTGCCGGATCGGCAAAGTACCCGATCCGGTGCATCCCTAGTTACCATAATTCTTCAACTGCAACTCATTACCAAACTAGACATATTTCAGAACTGACGTTTCGAATCTGAGAATGATGACATTTCAGAAATGTCAGCGGTGACAAGCGTGCCCACGCTCTTTAAAGGGGCTGTAATGATATATTTGAGGCACTCTTAATCTATACATTGGCAACTCACATGGAAATGTTTTCCTTTGATATAATTAAGGCTCAATTAGTAGGAAAGAGCGTCGGTAGACCACCCCTCTACTTTTCTGTCGCAAAAATCACAAAAACATCATGAAAGATCCACGCAAGCTTGAAAATACTTTAAAAAATTATCACACATGCCTGAGGCTCTTGTGACTTTTTTTTTTCATGTTTAGTCAATGCTTTTTGATGATTTGACACTTGTGAGGATATTTCTAGACATTTGTAATAGAAATGGTCTATAATAGTCTGTACATTTGCAAATCTCACGGAACTGGTTTTCTTTGAAAAGGCTCAAGCAAGTAAAAACTTGAGAATTGTCCCTAACAGTTTCACCAGTAAAGATCATTGTGTAATCTGAAGTATACATACTGTAAGAACTTGTTTAATTTCATTCCATTATTTGTACTTGACCCGGTTTTTTTCTGTTCCTATTTTAAAGGCAAAGCAAGGAGGCTGAAGCAGGCCAAAGAAGAAGCCCAAGATGAAATCGAGAAGTACCGCAAGGAACGTGAACGTCAGTTCCGTGAATTTGAAGCCAAACACATGGGTTCCAGAGAAGATGTTGCTGCTAAAATCGAAGTTGATACTAAACAAAGAATTGAGGAAATGAATAAGGCTGTTTTGAGCCAGAAAGCACCAGTAAGTGTTGTTTTGAGAAGCCACGAACAATTCAATTTCATAATGATTTTGTTCCTAATTTGTGGTAGTGCAGCAATAGTACTTGAAATATTTAAATTGAATGCTGTGTATATGTATTAATTCATTCATTCATTTTCATCAATAGGCCAGTGGATAATTTTTTTTATTTCTCAAATAGAATCATCACTCAAATACCTTTTAATTTCACATTTTTTTAGAATTTACATGACATTTAGAAACACCCTGTATATCAAGCAGATGTTTTCTCCTCAGATATTTCTAAACAAATACCATGAACCATAGAAATCTGGTGTTTTAATTTTCATTTTATAACTCATGCCTTTCAAAGTAGCCTTTATGTTACTTAACAAACAATGTTTTTTTCAGGTTATTCAAGAAATTCTCAACTTGGTTTATGATATTGAACCAAAAATGCACAAGAATTATCGCATTTAAGATCTTCAGTATTTTCCTTAAAGGAAATTAAAACTAGATATTAGTTGTTATACATGGTGTTGCATATAGATGTTCATTCCATTTTACTGTATATTCTTTTTTTAGATACGTTTATTTACACTCCTAAGTTTTACAGGGTAAACTATGAAGTATTCCCAGAATGCCTAATATCTTGAATTCGTTTATTGTAAATAATAATAGCAGAAAAATATACTGTGTACTTAATGTTGATGCCTATTTACTTTTGAGCTACAAATTAAGAAAACCCCAATTTATATCACCAGATAGGAGACAGAATATGTTTCCTGAGTATGGGTTACAAAAAATGTCAAATTAGCTAGAGCTAGCACAGATATGAGGAAAAACATCATTTAATAAAACTTTATAATCAATTCATACCATATGAACGAATTTTATGTTACAATAATATACAGGGTGTCCCAAAACTCCACGTCATCTTTTGGAAGGCTGATGATCCAGCTCATGAATGACCAGGATATCACAATATGACATAAATGAGATACCTATGTATAGTTTTGGAGATATTGGCACTATTTGCTAAATGACAGGCATATGTAACATTAAGCCATGTCATATCATGAATAATGAAGCTCGATTGCTCGAAGACTCCGCGATTGGAAGACTCAATATTGTTTCTAGTCTGGATTCCTGGCCACCCAGTAAGGAAAGTTAACGAAACGGCAGTTCCTTGCAAGGGATGGTGCCGCAAGTAGTTTATTCATTGGACCAGAACCTGCCATTATTCAGCATCGCACCAAGTTTTGCCAAACATATTATACTGAACACCTGGACTGCAAAAAGTTTCAGATTTCTGGCAGAATCTACCAGGATTGGCTCATTCCAAGGCATATCTACATTCCTCGAAGAATGTTAGAATACAGCAGGGATGACCTACGCTCTCAAACAGGCCTTCTTACAGGCCACTGTCGTCTGAATTATCACATGTCAAGTCGGATGAACCGACTTGCCATATCTCTCCCTTGAAGATGATGAAACAGTAGAGCATGTACTCTGTGCCTGCCTGTTCTGGTTGTATTAAACTAATCGGCTTCATTAAGAAGCTGGATCTACTTGGTGAAGAATGAATTAGTGTGAGCCACAATTAATAGACCCTTACGGGTCGCAGTGGAGGGCTGAATAAAACCACTCACTTTTAACCTAACCATGTATGCACAACGTGATTTGGAAGTATTTGTGCAACATTCTTCAAAACAAATTCAATTTTTCTGGGTGGTAGACTGTCAACTTGTGGAAGATGTGCCATATCGGATTTAAATAACATCTCGTGTCACCATCTTGTACTACCATAATAGCACCCGCGTTGTTCAAGAATGTTTGCCCGATCAGTACAGCCATAGTCTGAATATCATCAGGTACAATCAAGGCTATCCATTAATCAGCGTAGGGTATGTTTTCCAGGTGTACACTCTGTTCTTGGCCTTGGACAGTTTCCATGTAGATGTCCGAATTGATTACAGTTGCAGCATTTCCCACGTTTCAGTTTCTGTCTCAAATCTGGTTTGTGATAACTGTTCATTGGTTTTATCAGGTCTCTTCAGTTGTTCTGGCCTTGCACGTTCTAAAGAAACGCTCAAGGTCGATAAGTTATCTCGATACAAATCTTCAGGCTTTCCATATCGACCTGCCTTGGCACCAGACTGTATAGATGGCTCCTGGTTACCGTCTATAATCTTGGAAACTGAATTCCTACCAGATATCTCACATTGACGAAGTAGCTGTATTTTGTCAAACATTCGGTCCAAGATTCGTTAGGCATTTTGTGTCTTCCTATAACCTGTTTGAGAGCTGATGGAAAGTCTTGGTGATCTGGAAATGCTTGCAGCATCGTGTTCTTCCAATCATTCCATGAGTGCTTGTAATTATCCAGACTATTGTACCACGCTTTAGCCAAACCAGTTAACCTTGACTGCATATGGTAGATTTTCGTTGTTTCGTCCCAATGATTTATTTGAGCTAACTGGTCGATTTTGTCTAGCCACTTTTGACAATTATTAACATTCGGATCACTAGGTGAAAACTCAGGAATGCAATCAGCTCAGACGTTTTGCCGCGTCTTTCTTTGTGACTTTCGATCTTCTTCTAAATCGACCGGCACAATCACTATCCGAATCACTACTTGAACTGTTCAGTTTCAGAATGACGCCGACGTTTTCTCATTTTCAACTCGCAGCACTAGATTCACTACGTGAACAATGTCTATTTAAATATCTCTCCGGATTTAGTGGTATTATCCCACCGCTGCACTATTATAGCACACAACAAAACAGTATAGATTTAAGTAGTGTATTAATACCAAAAATATAACAATAGTTAGTACAGTGTCTTCGTTTACGACTCGCTAACAACTGCCTATATTCGATGCTTCACGTTCGTTGATCGTTACACAATAACAAGTACCATGTGTCAGTACATGAGTCAGTCGAATATCTCAGCTACAGAACAATGCGGGGTGATGTCTTCGATTAGTTATTTATATAGGTACTTTTTTACGAGAAGGAAATTAAAAATACATTTGAAAAATAAATACAGTCCACTCAAGCACAAAACAGAAACAGTATTCTGATATTGAAAAATTGTACACTTTAGGCACACAAAATATATAAAAAAGTGAAGTTTTTCAGACAGTTGTAGGAAGAAGAATTGTTCAAATTGGTCCAATAACGAAATTATTGGAGCCTATTCAATACAAACAAACAAATCTTCGCTCTATAATAAAAGTATAGATACACAATCACAACTATACACCCACACATATACCTTTTCTATTTTTCTTATGTTGAAGCCATGTTTGTATCCATTTCTGGGGGAATTTGTTTTCACATTATTTCATCAATGTTCGTCAATTTATAAACAAATGGATCCCATGGATGAATTACACGGCCCTTCACCTACAACACTCACTCTTTTTGAAACAGATGTTAAAGGTTACCTACCATTCAAACACTAACTACCTCAATATTCTCATCATAAGAGGTTCAAAGCATTGAAATAAAAGTTGATGGAACTGATAGAAACTTTTAATAGCCTATCAGGCAGGTACCTCAATAATAATCTGTGCGACAGGGTACAATGTTACCAAATCAGCAAATTATCAACATCTTATTTCACAGCATGTATAACATCTTTACTGATGAAATATTACATGTTTTACATAATCCATTTGGAATAAAAAACACATATCTACAAAATGATCATATAAATTCAATAATCCTGGTATTGCAAATGCCAAGTTTACCTCCGAAAGTTATATTTTGAAGGCGTATTCTCTGGACTACAAACATGTACAGGGTGACACATATTCCAATAAGAATGACATTGATTTTTTCAATGACCCAGGGTTGGATGAGAGTTCGTAGGGAAACGTAAATATGGTGAAAAAAACATTTTGTAGGTGGAAATCACAATGATAATACTCACTAGCCAAACGTGCCAAGATATACTGTATATACAGGGAAGTGCACAAAAAACGGTCAGTGCTGTATCTTCTGAATCATTCGCGATCGAATTTCCAAAACTGGTGGGTAACAAGCATGTAACAAGTATACCAAACTGCTCATCAATTGAAAAACCGATTTTTGTTCAATTACTTCCGGTTTCACCGGAAACGAGCAAAACTTTTGATTTTTAAATGGGACACCCTGTATTTTATTCCATAGTCGGTTGGGGATCATTGTGACAAATTCAACGATACCGGGTTTGATAGAGTTATTTTGAATGATCATGAAGATATTTGGGTTCAAAATTTTCATATGCTCAATGGGTGTGACTTTCTCTGTCACACTCATTGAGCAAATGGAGACTTAGAACGCGAAAATCTAAGTATTCGTAACCCAACTATCATACCCGGTATCGTTGAATTCGTTATGATAATATCTAAGCGATTATGGAATAAAATACAGAGGGTGTCCCGTTCAAAAATCAAAAGTTGGGGTGGTTTCCGGTGAAACCGGAAGCGATAAAAAATAATTTGTTTTGTTAATTAATGAACAATTTGGTATACTTGCTACCCACCAATTTTCAAAATCCGATCTCGAATTATTCAGATGTTAAAACATGCACTGGCTGTTTTTTGTGCACTTGTGTATATCATGTATACAGGGTGATCCACGGGGTGGATGGTCTATTAGAAGGATCTGGAAAACGAGAAGACAGAACATCCTGAAAATTGGGATGCTCTGGTAATTGAACATTCTCTATCCGTCTAGAATATTCTCATCGATACAGTGTTGCCACTTCTTTCAGAGACAACTAGCAACTTCGTTATTTTAAATTGATCACCCTGTATTTTATTGCATTTATAGATTCTTCTTGAAGAACTGATTTCATCACTGCATCACATTTGGGGTCTAGCAGGAATGATTACAGAGATATAGGGTGTTCAAAGTCGAGATTTTTCAATTTTAGGATTTTTTTTTTGTCGAAACTATTCATTATCGATCAAAACGGCTCACATGTCCCTATCTTAACTCTCGATCTACTGACATTCAATTGGAACCGCTACAGGCGGGTGATCAGAATTCTGAATCTTGAAGCACCCTGTATTTTTTCCAATTAAATTCCAGTATATAGTGAATTAGAAGTTAAGATAGGGACATGTAAGCCGTTTTGATTGATAATGAATAGTTTCGACACAAACAAATCCAAGAATTGAAAAATCTCGATTTTGAACACTCTATATCTCTGTATTCATTCCTGCTAGACCCCAAGTGTGATAAATTCAGCACTTCAGGAAGAATCTAAAAATGCAATGAAATACAGGGTGTTCCATTTGAAATAAAAAAGTTGCTAGATGTTTCTGGTAGAAGTGGCAACACTGTATCGATAAAAATATTTTAGACGGATAGAGAATGTTCTGTCTTTTTGTTCTCCAGATACTTCTAATAGGCCATCCACCGTAGATCACCCTGTATATACCCAACATATAAGGTCATATTTTTGAAGAAATTTCAAGCATCCTTCATATTTTTTGTACGATTCAGAGGATACAACTTCAGAAATAAAATCAAAAGTGCCCGAGGTTTTATGCAGATGTATTATTGGAAATATCATAGAATTTATTTGATATTTTTAACAGAAATTTTATTAAATAACAAAATATATGTATAACTGAGCAGGTTTTACTTTACAAAATTGAGTTGACCAGCAAAAATGTGAACTCATAAATCATGTAAAAGTACTAATTTTGATACCTTATATCTCAGACAAAAGATGTATATGAAATTGGTAACATCCTTATTTTATACAGGGTATACCGTAAATAGTAGATAACCCGTCGACTGTGGAATGGTATCGCCATGACGTCCGCGAATACAGTAAATCGTTTTGGTAAATCACATTTTATGCAATATAGTTGACCAAATTTATGAATTCGTAGGAATGACAATAACATCTAGATGCCAAATTTTCGAAGACAGTTATAAATGCGAATAATTCGAAAGTCACAGTACTTTTTTGTATTCTGTGTGTTCATAGACACCCATGTTTACAGTCTATAGGTTCTACAAGGGTTCTATTAATACCGTATACCATATATTCCATACATAAAGCAATTCCGAAAAACAAGACAATGTTACTTCAAAGTATTCAAAAACATAAATGCAAAACGAATTACACAACTCAAACAATATACACTTCCTCATGGTAAAAAAATTGCAAGAATTTATGTCCAAACCAAGATGAGTAATAATATTTCGCTACAGAGCAAAAATATACCCATAAATATTCCATTATTGATTGACTGTGATGAATATAATTTGAGAGATCAGAATACAATTTTTACCATAAATAACAACAGTATGGTGAAGTGAATAGTCAAATGTTTTCAAGTTATATGAAACAATTGGAAACAATACCCTAACCTTGGAAAATATTCAAAAGTATTTGTACATAAAGACTATCTCTTTGTAAAAATACTGCCTACTATTTGTACACAATATTTACAAGCATCACAAACTAGTGATCATAAAGCGTTTCATTCAGCAGGCATTATAATTAAATGGTAACGAAATACAGATCTAAATATTTAAAGAACTTTACATTATTAGAATGGGAATTTTCAAATTTTTTGCTGAATTCGGAGAAATAGACAAGAGAAGACACAGAAGTGTCGTATTGTTTATCTTTTTCCCCAGTCATCAGAATTGTATATCTAATTTGTATTTTCATTTCTTATTAGTATGTACCAATATACCAAATATATGTATGTGGGAATATCCTGTTACTGATGAAATAATCAAAATAAATACAAATACTATTTTCTTGATTTTTTACAAGTGATGTGAATTTGTGATTAAACAATAATTATTGGAACTAAAAAAACAGTATATTTGTTGCATCACCCTACTTATTTGAGAGGTAATAAAAATATTGAATTGAATGAAGGCTAACATTTTCACTCTAATCAGTTGGCGCTACTAAAACATGAGGTCAATGTCAAAGTCAAAATTCTCAAGATTTTGCCGGATAGCCCTAAATATACTAAAAAAATTATGTAGAATATTTGAACAAATAGAAAACCTCAATTTATCAAAAGACGTTTGCCGTCTTTTGTTTTTTCATTCTCAATGTGGACAATGATGGAGTAAGGTATGGTGCTCGTATTCGGCCATTATTACGTATTGAAAATTCAGAAAAATCACTCGAACGCCAACTATGATTTCTCTACGTCACAACGAGCGAGACGTTGATTCTACATTTTCCCGCTAGATGGCGATGACGAGTGGAAATAAAATCTGCGACAATTTCAAGACTGACAGATGTCATAAATTTCTGAAACAAAAGCGCATCAGTAATTACACCATATCTTACTTCCATCATTATGTGGACGTTTACGACCAATTCTTACATAGTCGGAGAAAAAGATATCATAGCAAAAGGAAAAATAGACACGAAAATGAGAAGTATATTTATGTTTCAATTCTACCAACCCTAACCTCATGTTTCGGTGGCGCGGTTTGGTGGACAATAAATAATATTAGCCCTCATTGAAATTTCCAATGAACCTTCTTCTTTTGACAAACAATGGAACACTTCCCAGTGTTCAAAAAACGACTTAAATCTACTGCTGGTAATAAAATATATGCAGAATAAATGATCATTATACACATGAGAATATTTGAAGCAATGAACAAACAGAAATTTGTAAATAGGCCGTTTCACCTAGATGATATTTTGAAGCGCATGCGCTAGGTTTTATGACCGAATTCTGATTGGATATTGCAAAAATGAAGTCTAGTTTTGACCACAACCTGATATTGGTCCATTTTGTTGTTACATAAAAATGTAAATAACCATCAAACTCAATGCCACAAGACTTCGTTCATTTCTTTTGAAAATGTTTAGTGAAAATTGTTGTCAATGTTCTATTTATGGTCAAAAGTACCGTTCACCGCCATTGTGCTTGGTTCGCAGATGTGAATAACGATTGTCATTAGTCATCTAAATGAAAATACCTATTGGTCAGATATATCAGTATAAACAATTCGCCAAATACCTACTTGAAATAAACTAGTACACTCGACCAAGCATACTACTGAAAATTTGAACTGACCCTACATTAATTGTAAAAAAATAAAACAGGAAAATAGTTATTTTATGGAACTTCACAGCCTAGAGATTAATCACATCTTAAACATTAAATCTTTCTGGATCTTCCAACCTAAAATCAAGAAGAAAAAAATGGAGCATAAAGTAAATCAATTCTCAATTGAATAAATAACGAACCTAAGAAGTGCAACGTCTTTATTGATGAAAGAAACATCCTGAGGTGTCAGGAACACGAACTGTAGCTGTGGTCTAGACTTCGCGTGATGCAGAAGTATATCAATAACTTTAGTACGATTTAGCTTGTCCTTTAAAAAAAAAACATTGTCCATATCTTGAAATAACTCACATGATGTATTGGTTTTATAGTGAATGGATTATTGAATAACAAACAACAATATTTAATTGTATACCAATGCTTGGAAATGCCGTTTTAGTTTCGAGAGAAGGATAATCTCGAGGTCACTAAAAAGTTTCTCGGCCATGGTATACAGGGTGTTTCAGAGTTGTGGTGACAAAAGCATATGGGAGATTCCTCTCTACAAAATATGAAAAAAAGTTCATATGAACATGGGTCCGAAAATGCCTCGTTTGCGTCCAAGTTCAAAAAACTGAGTTTTATTCTTTCAAGAATCACAAAATTTTAAGATCGTATACATTTTAGAGAGGGTATAGAATTTTATGCTCCTTTCTTTTCATAAACAATAATGGATAATATCGAAGCATACTCATTTTCCCCTATGGAGTTCAGAGGAATGCTATTGTACGTTTTTTTTCGAAAACGGAGCAAGATACGAGAAAATAGCAAGAGACAAAACTGCTATATGATTAGTGGGTTTATTTGAAAATTCAGGAACAACCGACTTACTCGATGGGTATGCCCCTGGAAATTCTGAATTAACTCTAATTGGTCCAGTAAATGTCTGAAAACTGTGTAAATAAGCATTGAACATTTTCAAGATGGTAATAAAAAGCTCATATTTTTCCAAACTTGGACACCCTATATTTCGGAAACGAAGGTGACAATATACTGGTACGATCATCGTACTAGTATATCACCTGACGAAGCTACTGTGTTAGCGAAACATGTCGTGTGTTTGAGAAGTTTGTGGAAATCTTGCAGTTACTGTCCAAACATAATACAGAATTGCATAGCAATATTGTTATACTTCATGATCAAAACAATATTGTTGTCTTAGCAATGTTATAACAAGATCTGAACAGAATCGACCCGATTATGCGAGAGTTGAATACGAACTGTATCTGTAGTATTCAAATATTGAAGCAACTTTGAGAGTTCACAAATAAGTCTTTTAAAATGAGATCTTATATTGCAAAATTACTACATCTAATCTGAGATGTTGATGCCATCAAAAACGTATTGAGAAACATTTCCAAAATGATTGACAAGCAACTTATAAATTATGATGGATGAGTATCTACGTCAAATCTAATAATTGCAAAATATTATTAACTGATGGTCGCTACTATCCAATCAACAATGCATATTTGATCGTTCTGATTGGTTTCTTCTTTTGCAGTCGGAAAACTGTCAGTTCCTATTTTACGTCACTCATGGTTGAGAATGAAAAACTACATTATCTTGGTGTATTTGATTGATTTTTTTCAAATGCGTGTATTTCACAAAACTGAGCTGTGCTTCAATAGGAATAATATTTGAATGTTTGAAGAGAAACAGGTATATTGAAAAATATTGAAGATTCACTCAGCTTTGGACTTTTCAGGAACAAATCTGATTCCTTTTTCAAGAAAAAATGGAAAATCATTATCAACACATTGTCTCTTTGAACGATGTCACATTTGATGCGAATTATCAGATTTTTTTCTTACTGTGAATATATTGAAATAATACTAATATTTCTATTTACAGGAACTAGGAATCCGAAGATTTCACAGAAATGAATACTTATATTTTTCAAACATAAGCTTACCATATAAACGTCGAATTCATCGAGAAAGTAAAAAGGAAATTCCATGCACTGCCACAGAGCATATAAAAAGGCAACTGTAGAGAATGACCTCTCTCCTCCAGAAAGGTTTGATGTAGTAGTTAGACCTTGTGAACCATGCTGAGGTATCACTACCAGCTCCAATTTCTTCTCGTTCATATTAATATCTATAGTTCCCTGTCAGATATATAAAAAGTCAATAAAATTTTTTAATTTCTTGAAAGAAAATAGAGATTTGAAGGACAAGATATCTTCCCCTTAATTCTAATAAGACCCAAAACATAATTTTCCATCAAAGAAATTAACAAAATATTGATTTGAATATAAAAATGAAAAATGAAAGATTGAAACAAACTGCCTATACTAAATATCTTGGTATTTAGATTGATGAAAAGTTAACATGAAACAAACATATTGGCATGCTCCAATAGTTGGTGCCCTAAGAAGATGTCCAAAACTTATCCCAAATATAGGAAATAAAGTTCTATACTCTCACATTCTTAGTAAAATGAACTATCTCATAAATATTTGGGGTTCATGTTCCAAGAATAATTTTAACAAAATATCTGTACTATATAGAAAAGCATCGAAAGAACATCAACTTTATGAATAAACAAATACATTTTCTTTGGAAGAGCACTATCTGATAAATAGTCTCAAAATTTCTTTTGATATTAAAAACACCTCAAATCTAACTTCATATTGGTAAGAAATTCTCAAATTCATGAACATCATACTAGACAATATGACTTGTTTCATCTTGATGCTGCTAACTCTACACTTGGTCAAAGAAAGTTTACTCACGGAGCTATCTCAAAATTCAAAAATTACCTGATGATATAAAAAGTTTTACAAATATCACCCAATGGAACATATGCTTTTGCAAAGAGAAAATCAAACCTGAGTGAATGATTTCTCATTCACTAGCTTTTAATTGAGTAACGCATGAATAATCTCATACCAGATATGAATCTGTCTGATTATTCATGTTATTTCATTGTAAATGTTATTAATATTTATATGAGATGCAATGTAATGTTTATAGCAAAGAATGGCTGAAAGAGATAGAGAGAGAGATTAATATTACGCACCTTAAACTGTCGATACTCTAATATTTTCTTGAAGGAATACTTCATGTATGTTATAAAGTAACTTTCAGTAAGTTTGTAATGTCTATTTCGTTTCTCCAATGCGATGGTTAACTCATTCACGTCAGTTTGTAAGTTCTTCATGATATCAGCAGACTTCAAGAATTTTTCAGACAGCTCGTTATATCGGTCCTTCACTTCTTCGAAATTTTCCGTGTCAGTTTCTATTTTGGTGATTCTGTGTTTAATTTCATTTATCTCTTGTGTAATGACAGGTACTCTCCTGTAATGAAAAGTAAAACACTTTGCACCATCCAGGGTTATTATAGTATGGGTGCGTTCCAATTAACACCGAGGGAAAAACGACAGGTTCAAACCATCTACCATGTTGTGCCAAGAGTTGGAGTTAGTCCAACTGATCAAATACCTGGGTGTCGTTTTGGACCCAAGACTTTCATGGAGATCGCACGTAGATAGGATGGTGCAAAAACCAGTAGTAGTCCTGTGGTAAGTAAGGAGGGTTGTTAGAAAAACCTGGGATACTAACCCAGAGATTATGCGCAGCTATACACAGCCGTTGTAAAACCAAAGATTCAGTACGGATCAGCATTGTGGTGGATGGATGGCCTGCCTGGCGATTACAGAAGCAATGAGGATGACGCCGACTGCAGCGCTCGAGGTACTGCTGGGGCAGCCGCCGCTTCCAATCTGATTCGAGAGAAAAGCAATGGCGGCCTATCCGAGGATGCGGAACTTTAGATCACACGAAAATCGCAAAATTGGTGGAGCAGGAGATTCCTACCCTCAATCTGAAGAACACTCAAAATAGGCTGAGATGGATTAGAAGATTCACGCTTACTATTCCAAGCAGGGAGCAATGGGAAGAGAACAGACTGGAACTCCCAAACAGGCAACTATAGGAAGAGAAGATAGTGGAATTTCGCCTAGGGAGTCAAGCATGTTACACAGACGGATCAGGTACAATTGATAGTCAAGAATCTTCCTAGAACGAAGAGGTATAAGAGAGAGCTCTGTCTAAGGAAAATAAACTACAGTTTTTCAAGTTGAAGTATTTGCCATTCTGGCCGTAGCAGAGATACAGGAGGTGAAAGAGGGACCAGGGCAGAAGACCAAATCAAGCTCAATATTCGTGCAGGAATGCGGTGATGTTCTTGAGAAACTAACTGAACTGAAGGAAGTCGAACTATTTAGAATGGGTCACAGGGAGGCGACCGGGAACGAAGTAGAAGACCAACATGTACTGGGCATTGCAAGAAGCCAAGCTCCGTCCGCTTTTGAAAAATGGGCGGACAAAGCACTAGGAGAACATCGGAGACATATGGGCGGCCGCAGTGAATGAAAAAAACTGGTGGTAGGTGCAAGCAAGTCGAAGACGGCGTGGTTGCTTGGCAGGGACCGCCAAATACTGCGCCTTCTCATAGGCGTACTGACAGGACACAATAAGTTGTGCAGATACCTATCGTTCATAGATGTAGTAGATAGACCAACTTGTGAATGGATGGATGAACTACAACAAGAAAATTTGATAGAATTAGAGTGGACGAACATCCTGGTCTTCATTAGAAGATCAGGGAGGTTCAAAAAGGAAACTACGAGAAGGACGTGGAGAGCAGGGGTTGACAAAAAATGCTCAAGAGGGCCTACTTTCCTGGCATTTGCCACCCCACAATACTACTACTACTACTACTGAACCGTTCCACAAAATGATTATTTTGTGTTACGAATGATTACACTCTTCTCATTTCTGTCTTTTGCGCAATGTTAACGCCATGCTTGTATGGATCATTCAAGATCAATAATAATCGACCAAGACTCCGTTCCATTGTGAGTCTTCACACTCAATAGACCTGGACAACCATGCAGGCCCAACTTTGATTTCGGTCGTCATAGCCTTCTCGCGACTTTATCAACGACCTCAACGAATATGGTTGGAACAGCAAAATTTGCATTACAATCGTTGTGGGCCATTAGTGGAACACAGAGTTACAGCGTGAAAAGGTTTAAGATTGCGCGGGGTATAGAGGTGAGATGAGACGGCACACTTTTATGTTTTGATGGATAAAAAGTTCTATATAGATTTTTTTTAAATGACTGGTACAAATTGTAGTGTGAAGACTGTGAGGGGATGATAATAATAGTGCAATTTAGGTAATTTATTTTTTCACATACAGGGTGTCCGGAAAGGTCATGTCATAAATGATTGGGCTTACAGTGAGCCAAAATAATGTAAGTACTTCATAGAAAAAAATGTCTATCACGCTTCGTTAGGGAGTTATTTACCTTGAGTTAGAATTGAAAAAGTTGATTAAATTTATAACTTGCAAACGGTGGCCATGGTATCAATGATATTCGGGCAGGTAAATGAATGAACTCAAACAAATGCTCCGTTCCATACGTAAACCCGTAAACGGCTTTTCAGTGAATATGTTTTATACAAAATGGGACGTATTTTTTCACGGGTGATAAATTTCACATTTTGCTTGTACCGTTTGATTTCTTCATCTTTTATCTAAAAATATAGTATACATTATTTTAATCGATATCTTGTACCGTTCTAGCGAAAATCACATTTAAAAACATACATTCCAACCATTTCAGAGGTAATAAAAGCTCCATTTACCTATTTAATGTCAGTGAAGACGAAAAGAATATCAAAAATGGTTTTCAATATGTGCATCTACTATGAGAAACTAATATGAGAAACTACTTGACCATTTATCTGCACTAACCTCAAATCTGATAGACGTTCTCCGACTGAACTTGCTTCCGTGGTACAATTTTTGACAGTATTTTGTTTCAATACCATTTGGGACCGAGCATCAAGTAGCTTTGTTTCATAATCTCTGATACGTCTTTGGTCGAATTCACCACTTGTCGATATTTCTTTCTGTTTAGTTTGTGTCTCTCGAACTTCATCCTGTTAAGAAAATACAATGAAATCAGAGGAAAAAATTTAAACATTTGAAATGTGGATAACCTTAAGTGATTGAAGTCTTTCTTCTAGTCCTTTTGTAGAACCCTTCAACTGAGTCAAATTTTGCTCTTTTTCTGCCATGGCACTGCGTATTTCTCTTATTTGTTCATTCAGCCCTTCCAAAGCAGCAGTTTTTTCATTCAGGGATTTTTTTATTTCTTGTAATTCTTGTTCCTGTGATGAACTGATCAAAATACTTCTAAATGTTGACATTTACTTACCAAAAACTGAATATTTTGAACTTCAGGTTCAGCACTTGAATTCAACTCTTCTAACTGTCTTCTTATTTGAGCACGAGCCATATTAACTTTCCTGACTTTCTCTTCCAACTGATTCTTTGAGTTCACTTGTTTTCTCATATCCCTGGTAAATTCATCCAGCTGAGTTTTCACCGTCTGTTTTTGGTTCTGTAAGTCTTGCAACATCTGTTGTAATTGACTGAAAAATGATTGAGAGAATGTATTTAGGATAACAAAAATAATATACTTGTACATCAGAACAAGTAAATGTAGTGATGTAACACTCACACTATATATTCTTTAGTGTCCACTTGCAGAAACTTTGCTCTATGGTAATTGGAAGCATAAGTCCTATAACTTGGATCGGGATAGTACTTGTCACCTTTGGCTGTAACACCTTGGTGACAATTTCTGGGTACACGTTGTCTATCTGAGAGCAACTCCTGAGCCGTGCGATCATCAGGTATCAGAAGAATATTTTCTGGACTACAGCTGTCGACAATGCAGTTCGAAACAACGGGATCGGAAACTTCTAGTGCGTTATAAAGGCTCACACATCCATTTGGTTCGTACACCATATTACGTGTCACATCATGTTTCTATGATAGACAAATAAAAATCAACTTTCAATCGGAAAAATAGAACGTATGAAGGATATTTCTTCTTCAGAAACAGAAAGCTTGGATCAATTAGAAACGCCTCAGTGATTTCAAGTGAGCCACCAGGTTCTCCTTTTTTTTTTTAATTGTACATAACATATTATTTTCATTTATTCTCGGACAGTTTTTATTCCAAGGGCTAAAATGATCGTACCGAAAATGTCACGATTCATCTAACATAATATCTCGATTGACTAAATTATTTTCAGTAACAAGAATAAAATTCACTTCAAATTAGTCAAATTGTTAAAAAAAAAGAATGGGAGAGGCCTGAATTGCGGTTTTCGCGTACATTGGCTATTTTTTTGTGAAACTCACTTCGTTTTTGAGATACAGGGCGGAATTGAAAACATTGCATTTTGGGAACCTCCCCTGTATCTCGGATATAATATAACTCATAGGAATAGAAAAAACAGTGGCGTAGTGAGTTTTTTTTCAAATAAGGTTACGTTATATTGAAGATATATATTTTTTACTGTATTTTGCCGTATAATCTGTCAAGTTTGGCAAAGTCCTTCCTGTCAAGTATTTTTTGAACAACTGAGATGAAAAAAATACGTTTTTCTACAGCTATAACACGAAATTGCTCTTGTTTTACTGTGATCGATACGTCAATAAGGTACTTTGTATGTCATCAATTTTATTTCCGTATCTGATATCACAATGACTCCATTTTGTTATTACTTCAAGAAAATCTCATCGCTCATGGAATGTCAAATTTCAAGCAATGACAGCTCTGTCTAATAGATGAGCATTACTTGACAGGAAATCAGATGGCTACAAGACGAAAAAATCGAAAATGCTGCTGTTATCTATTAAAGCCGCAGAAAAATTATAGTGTATGACTTGCAGGGAATGCTAATTTCCTACTCGAATGATTGCAGCATTCGCTCATGCTGCAAACTTCATTCTCGTAGGAAATTACAATCATTCCATGCTCGTTAAACAATATACTATTTCAGTTCATAGATATTGACTGTATTTTGATTGATGATGGCCATTTGGATACTTGAAACATGTTTCATAGTTGAAGCATGATTGACTGCACATTAAACAATACATTTGAGGAAACTATTCCAGGTTTCCTTTCCTTAATCGCCCCACTCCACTTTGAGTATGGAAGACTTCAGGAGATTCATCATTCCACTGTGAAATGAGCCATTTAGAAAATCTGTTCTTCAGAAAAATTGAAAAGTAGACGAACTACTTGAAATGTTACAAATGGGTGCTACCAATATGAAAAACACACTACCTTGAAAATAAATTTCGAAGTGATGACTTGCGGTTGTCTCTGTTTACCAAGTACTTTGGTGAATATTTCCCTCAATAATTTATTATCTTGGTTGTTATCGACTGCGAAGGCGCATAAGGTAGCGGGACCAATAAAACCTTCAACCGCCACTGCCCATTGTTTATCTTTCAATTTGATGTAGGCTCCTGAAAAATGTCTATATAGTTGCGATACTTTGCCAATAAACACCTACCTAGAGGGCCTCTGGGTTCTTGTTGAAATCTATTTTTGTACTGAGCAATCATTTGTTTGATTTTGGGTACATCACGTCCATACAGAAGAAGGTTATTTCCTGATTCTGCCTGAATGGCATTTAGGTTATTTCTCTCATTAGCTGAAACAAATATGACATCAGTCACAAGTTCATCTATACAATCATTTAGTTTTTAAATGGTCATATTTTTCCCAATTACATATTGTTTTGCATTCACATGAAACCTGAGGAAGGCAATTAGTCATGAGTTAAAATCAATGATTGATTACTTTTCCCAATGCTATATATTATGCTAACAAGCAGATTATAATCTAGGTGAATTTGTCAATCAAGAATATAAATTTTGTACCAATTTTACTATCTATCATAGTGATTTCAGCATGTAGATTTTGTTCTTCACATTCCCTTCTCGACAGATCACTTTTGATTTGAAACAAGTCATTCTTAGAAGTTTCTAAATGGTCATCCATTCCTTTGAGTTTATCCTGCAGAGCAGCCAAGTTTTTTATCCTCTCAATTTTTTGTTGTTCAACTTTTGACATACTAAAAAAAACAATTCAGAAAATATCATTCTTCAATTCATATTAATTATAAAAAGTATACCTACTTGTCATTTGCAGAAGAGATATCTTGTTGAATTGACTGAATATCAGAATTTTTCGATTGTATTGACGTCTGAATTTGCTGTTTTTCACGCTTCTTCATACCCAATTTCTGAGAAAGCTCCTCCATTTGGGTCTTCAAATCTAGCTGAGGTCGTTTCTGCACTTCAATTTGTTCTTTCACTTCTAATATCTGATGTTCCAAAGTTCTAATTGATATAAACATAGTTAGTACAAGTATGAGAGTTGATATCAATACATTCACCTTATGTTTTCCTTGAGTTTATTTACTCTATCATTACGTTTATCTGAATTTGCTTTGACATCATTCAATTTTTTCTCAATTGTTTCCACACCAAGTTTTTCTTGCTCCAATTCTTCTTCCACATCTCTTACTTTCGCCCAAATTAGCTCTCTTTGCAATAAACCTTTCCTATCTTTCAAAGAAATAATTGATTTGTGGTTTTCGATTTTCTTTTTCAGGCGTTTGATTTCATCCTGTAGCTTTCTAAAGTTCTGAAAATAGGTTGGAATATAAACAGATCAACAAAATAAACGCCGTGGTCCAAAATAACGGACAGAGAGGCATGGAAGGAAGGACCTCCTATCAATGCAGACATTGCTGTCTATACGGACGGCTCCAAAACTGAGGGGCCAAGCCAAAGACAAGAATCTCACTGAGCTTAGGTAAATACGCGACGGTGTTTCAGGTAGAAATTATTGCAATACATCATTGCGTGAAAGAATTGATAAGGCAAGAGTTTAAAGGCAAAATATTGCAATCTATTCAGATAGCCAGGCGGCAATCAAAGCAGTCAACTCTATGCAAGTTAACTCGAAACTGGTGTGGGACTGCATAGAAAACCCTAAATGAAGAGGGCAGTCAGAACAGACTGACTCTAGCATGGGTACCAGCACATACAGGGTACGAGGGCAATGAAGAGGCAGACTCACTTGCCCGAGCAGGAGCAAACAAAGCTCTGAATGGCCCAGAACCCTTCTGTGGTATTGCGAAAGCAATACAAAAAAACTAGTATCAAATCATGGATACACATGAATCTCAAGAATGGTGGTTCAACTCACCAGGAATGAGACAGGCAAAAGAGTTTATTAAAAAAACCATCGCCTACATTCACAGAATATCTACTGAGCCAGAAACGAAGTTCAACTAGAATACTAGTGGGACTTCAAGACTCACAGGGCATTGTAGGCTCAACAAACACATGAGTACGATAGGTCTGACTGAAGAACTGCTGTGCAGGTTTTCTCAGGAAGAGGAGGAAACAGCAGTACACATACTTTGCCACTGTGAGGGCTTGTCAAGAGTAAGGTTCCTCACGCTGGGTGAGGAAAAACCAGAAGCCCAAAGATACACAGGGGATCTGAAAGCTAGCCTATCGGGTCTCATAGAGAAGGCGGGGCTAGCCGAAGAACTCTAATCAATTTTGAGGGCAGATACAATAGATCTGAAAAGGTGTGGAGGCAGACAGCCCGAAGGCCCCATTCAAAATCTAATCTAATCTAAAATATACGCCGATTTCAAAATCGAATTATTCCTCATGACTAATTTCTATTCAGTTACTCGTCAGAGCAATATGGGACTACAAACATTACAGGTGAGCGATCTACAATATGGTAATTGAAGTAGTGTGAAATAGCAGGGGTGTAGTTACGTTCCCGTTTGAACAAACATTTTTATATTTTCTTTTTCGACCATAATCATGAAGCTTGATGTCTTCTCTCGAAACAATTTCGAATTTTTTTCAATTAGACCCTTTATGTGGAAGATATATATTTTTCTTCAAAATGATGCATTGTATCATTGAATAATTGAACATCATTGAATGTTTGTAATGTTTTTTGTAAAATTTACATTATGTGGATAGTTCTGGATAATGATGATTTAAAAATTATTGTGAGAGTCGAAGGAGAAAAACATATCTATCTTCAAATGACACATGGTTTTCTCAATTCCATAGATGAAATTATTGAGTTTTATACCATAAACATGAAGTTTGTTGTCTGGTCTTGAAATGGTTTTGAAATTGTTCAAATCTTCAATTTTTGAGGCGAATTTGCTGACTTAAACTTTCCCATTTTTCAAAAATTCACCAAAATACATCATTGTGCATGAAAAATCATATCTCCATAATGCGGATTCAGATTCGAAAAACTATTTCGAGACTACATGTTTATGGTATAAAACTCCATAATTTCCTTTATGGAATTAGAAAACCATGTTTCACTGAAGAGAGATATGTTTTTCTTCATCGAATCTCACAATAATTTTTATATCAACCTGTATGTACTCCACTTTGAGTATTCGTATCAGGACACACTCACATTATCCAGAACTATCCACACAATATGAATTTTTGAATGTAATTCAATTATTCGTTTTATTTATTCAATTTTGAAGAAAGATATCTCCGACATAAAGGGTCTGAATAAATACAAAAAGCTCAAAGTCAGTCAAAAAGCACTAGCTTTTTGTATCTATTCAACATTTTATTCCATTTTGAGCATTGTGGCTATTTCGTATACCCCTATAAAGGGTATGATTGAAAAAATTTCGAGATTGTTTCCAGAGAAACATTATTATGTATATAACAAATATTTCCTCGAACGGGAACGTAACGCTTCCGCTGCAATTTTACACTACTTCAATTATCATCCTGTAGATCTTTCATCTGGAATGTTTGTAGTATTATATTGATCTGATGAGTAACTAAAAGATTGAGTTAGCTAACGGGAAAAACCGAATAGCAATTAGTTATGTGATCCAAGAGTAATTATATTTTGAAATTGACCTATATTTTGGACCATGACGTTTAGATATTAGGAATTAACTTTTTTCAAATCATGTTTTGCTAACAGAGTAGCTTTTTTACGTAAAATAACTGATATATTTATTAACGTTATGCCGATATGTAGCAAATAACGTATGAGGTTGATAACAACCGAATCCGTTATTAGCGTATCGGCCGTGTGTCGTTCGTAACTTTTCGTAATCCCGAGATTACGTTTTGATTCCGAGGAAAGAACAAGCCACTCATGTACAGTTGTATGCATAGACAAGTCGTTCAAGGTTTGTATGGTGTAAAACAGATTTCATTGGCCCTGCAGTGGTGACCTGCGGTCTCTCAGACCGACCAGAAACTATTTTTTTGAATTTTGGCGCTGTCGCGCGGTTCCCCCTTTACTGCTTCCCTCTAGCTTAACCTTTTTTGGGTCTTCACGCACTGTGAACCCCATAGCGCTAGCGTTAGTAGTTATTGTTTTCGGACTGTTAGACCGTTGTCACCTGTGAAGTAACAAATCTGCTATATTATTATTTCGTCTTTTAATGCATTTTATGTGAAACGGAGCGTGTTAAATCAAAAATATATATTCTTATAAAAATAAAATATTATTTCTAACAGAAATCATCCATATTAGAAGAAAACATGTGTGACCGATGAAGAGGATCTTGAATTGAATTTTGTCAATAATATGATGTAATTCTCAATGATGTTTCCTTTGATCAGAATCATATCAACTGACACTATTTTGATTTCATATATTTTTTATCACAAAAGAATATTGAATGTCTTTCAGACCGACATCACCGCTCCTGTTTCGTAAAACCATGTCACTACTGGAGGGTTAAAAAGTAGTACACATGTGTACGTGTACTAAGCGTTACTGACAGAAATAGTTTGAATCTTGACACTCCCTGTCAAATTCGATAAGAGTATCAATCAAAATTGACAAGCCTCACAATAGCCCATAACTGATGTACGACTTGTTATGCACACAACAGTACCAGTTAATTCTACAGAAAAATCCCAACATCGTATTGTTATATGGAACAGTTAACGGCCGCCGGTCGTTAACAAATCTTAACGGACGTAGGCTGTTAACATTAACTTTTCAATTGCCATCTGAATACCGTTAAATCAGAATAACGTTATGGGATGACGAAAAAATCATCAACACTCAAATAATGAGATCAAATAGTGTTCATAGAAATGAAAATATTTCCGATTTCAAACACTTACTTCTTCTTTTTCTTCCATAATTCTAACAGAGTCTCTCTTATTTCCCTGGACTTTCTTATACTCTGATTCAAGTGTCTCTAGCCTTGTAGCTCTCATGAACAATGTGAATTTGTTTTTTGGATCATTACTGCTCAAAAAGTTTCTAGATGTATCCTGATTCAAAATGCAGATTGGATTGTCGACTTGTATATTCAAGCTGGCTGCAATATTTTGAACTTCCTTTGCTTGTGTGGATATCACTTCTCCATTCTCAGAACGAACCCTGTAGGATCCTCCTCCACTAGCAGTCAGATTACGTATAACATGAATTTTTTTGCCATACACACTAGGTCTATACGCCATCGGACCCTCATTGCATAACTCAATCTCGATGCTTGCAGACTGTCTACCAGCCTTAACAAAACCTAATAAACGATATGAAATCAAGAAATCTAATAAAGTCGATAATGAAACGATTGAAACGAATGTGACATTAGATCTTCTGGTTTTGTTGAATTTGTTTAATAATAATTTTAAATCATCTTGCATCATGAATATGAATAAAATTATTCCATCATGAAAAATAGATCGTTTACCAATACTTTTGTTTACTTTAAATTATGTAGAGTTTATTTATATATAACATTTATTAACATTTAACATTAAATTACATTATATAATATCAACATCAGTAAGTTTTTCTAGAAACTAACAATTTGGCATATTTGTTAAGATACTAGTTCAAATCTGATATGGGGTACAATACATTATAAGATATGAATCAACCATTATTATAATTTCCTAATACAATGCCTTGAAACAATAATTTCTGATAAGTATTTTCCCAAAATTCAACACCATATGGTTCACAAGATGATGGAAAAATGAGTTTTTTCTCCACAAGTCACCTCGTATGAGAAAATAAGATATGAATATAAATATATTTGTTAAAGTTCTGAAATATCCTCCTACTTAACAACATAAACCATAAGAAACATAACTGAAATCAAAGATATTATGCTGGACAAAAACAGTGCATGATAAATCCTTGAAGGATTTGTGTGAGTACATGTCAATAATATATTTCAATTACAACCATAATAATTCAGGTATGTTCAGAACGAAACATAAATTTATTAATTTTGATCGAAATATGATGGTTGTAAATAAAATAGTATACAAACCTCGGTAGGGAGTTTCATTCCTGTCTCGAGATTATAGCTAACTAATCTCACGACAGGAATGAATCACTTCCCACCTCGGTGTGTAATATACTATTTATGATTTAGGTTTAAGGACTTGAATGTGTATGCTATCTAGTAATTCAATTTTCAAGTCTCATAACTATGGACTGTATAGACTTAATTAAAAGCTAAGTTTGATATTTTCAATATCGTCCTGGCAGAATAATGAAAACAACATATTTTGCCATACATATACATACAACGAAATCAAATTTAGAAAATTTCCAGGTTCTTATAAATTCATTGTTGGTTCTAGAAAATTTACATTAACAATTCAATTAATTGCTTTGTCTTATGATTCCATCAGTGGTTTGTGGTGTGAAATATGTATACTTTTCCTTCCCCAAACAGAAATTAAATATTGTGAATTCGAATAAATAGGGCATAAAATAATGACATACTGTATTGTCGCGCGCTATTTTGTAGAGCGCTGTTTTGCCGCACGCTGTTTTGTCTGGCGCCGTTTTGTTACAGAGTCATTTCAAGTACCTATCTTATAGAAACAATCCATCTGATTTCGAATAAGATGCCTATGATTGTATTAAATTCATTTCTCAAATGATCTAGGTATATGTTTAGTGAACAATTTGCTTATCAATGTATGTTATTTGAAATTCTGTTTTTTGTTTTCAATGAATCCGGATTCACCGAAGGTGGCTGAGCTTTTGATACAGCGTGATCCAATTTTAAATGTCTATGTAAGCATAACTGTCAGATTGTTGTTGTCAATAAATGCATGATTGTAATAACATATTTACGAAAATAATGCTGCTGTGAGTGATGATATAGTCGAATTGTCGAATCGATACTATGTCTGATGACTTTGTAGCATTTTAACGCGTTATGAGGTAGTTGAGGAACCCATTTCGTTACAAACAAACATTTGTGACCTGAAACTACATGATTTTCTAAAATCCTATAACTCACATGTCAATACATCAAGCATCATGTAAGAAATAGTTATATGTCCGATAAACCATGGATCATATTCTATTAACTGGTAATAAACATGTTCATAACCTATCAGAAAACCAGAACTTGAAGGTTTTTGCGAAAAAAAAGAACAAATAGGTATTTTCATTTCCTATGGACCTTTGTACAAAATGTTTTATGTAGTCTGTAAATGACTGCTATCGAAGATCTGCCTCCTGCGATTGTTACAACTACTATTCAGTATTTTTTATGGAAAATAATAATTAACAAGAAACGCTCCTCATCAGCATGAAACATGAAAAGTTCCAATATCTCGAAAACCGTGAGGTGTTTACTAAGGTCAAGTTCTGGTTTTTTGATAGGTTATGAACTTGTTCATCACCAGCTAGAGTATAATCCATGGTTTGCCGTACACCCTGTTTATTCGCACAACTAACAAAAAAAGGCAATTGGCCTTTCCAGTATCGAAAAATGTGACCCTTTTTCGCTATTATGAAGAGAAGCCAAAAACGTTATCCCTACCACATGTTTTTCGAAAATACCGAACAACAAATGAATTATTTGATATTGCAAATGCAATTTCAATATCTATGAATTCAAACGCTACTGAATTGTGATGTCAGTGTCTCCTTGCAATCTGATTGGTTGAAGTTGGGACCGCTGGAAAGCGCTGTTGCCAGGTCTCTATAAAATCCTTATATTGATCCTATGTGCAAGATGGTGTCAGGAATGCCATGATTCGAAATTACTATGTAGTAGGTGATTAGTTGATTGGTAGTTCACTGCTGATCTTATTCAATTTACTTTGAACTCCGAAGTATTCCATTAGTTTCAAGATTAGCTAGGATGAAATGTGATGCAGGCATCTAACAGTAAGACGCTTTTTATTTTAGATTCGTTTTAGTTCTAATGTTGAAATTTCGACAAATTAAAAAGAAATAGAACCATGTGAGCAATTCAGTATTGATTTATTCCGAATTTGTTTCTTTTCCTTTGGTGGATAGGTATAGGTAGTTACATAATAGGTGAGTACCTAAACAGGAAAGTATTCACAGGCAGGGATTTGAAACTGAATGACATGAATATCTGCCCTGTAATTCAATACAAAATGGAATTTCACTTACATGTTGAATTATGCACCAACAGAAATCGACCATCTAACTAATTATGCAATACAATTTTTCATTACCACGAATTTTCGGTAAGTATTCATCAGTTGAGATATCTAAGAGCAACTGTATTAATATGATATAATAGAAATGAATATCCGACTAATCATAGATTTCTGTCCAAATTGGCAACATTGTCAAGTCCATTGTGCAATTGCTCGCGCACTGACGTCACAGGTTTCACAGCCATGTCTGATCGTTTGAATTCGTTCGTTCATTTTGACGTTATCAATAATTTTTTACACGATGAATTGATGGAGAAAAATCAAAAATATATTTCAAGGAATTCCAGAGCCATATATTTTCAGATAATTTTTTTCAAGAAATGACTGGAAAGGCCATTGTAAATAACTGGTTCACAAGATCAGTTCATAGTTTCTCATAATCAACAATTTTTTTTTTTTTTTTAACCATTTTAGCATACATATCAATAAATACATCTAGCATTTTGTTCCTCATCAGCAACATGCTGGTGACGGAACATTATAATTGACATATGATTCAATAACAATTTCTGTAGTTACCATAATATACATTAGTATACACTAATATATTTATACACAAACAACAACAATTACAATCTTAAGTATATCATAGTACAGTAGTTTGTTGATCTATGTGCTGAATCAAGTTTATTTTAAATGAAGAATAACTATCTATATTTTTCACAGGATTTGGCAAAGAGTTGAAAGTTTCTAGACATTTGTATATAGGATTATTTAGTGCCAAGTTTGTTCTTACATTTGATAGATAAAAATTATTTTGATTTCTAGTCTCATATGTGTGAGTTTCGTTAACTAAGTTGAATTTAGTATTACATTTTTGTTGATTTTTTTGTATTTTGTAAGTGTATTTGCATTGTTCTATTTGTAATATTTGTTCCAAGGGCATTATTCCTGTTTCTTTATATATTTTCTCTGTATGTGTTCTGTAGCTATATCCAAATAAAAATTTCACTACCTTATTTTGAAGAGTCTGTATTTTCTTAAATTGTGTTGGTCGACATATACCCCAGGTTGTTATGAGATAGCGAAAGACTGACAGAAAGTATGCATTGTAAATCATAAGCCTATTTTGAGTATTCAGATAGCTACCACATCTATACAAAGCACCAATCATAGGGACTACCTTTTTTGAAATATGATTTGAGTGTTCCTGCCAGTTCAGCTTATTATCTATAACCAGTCCTAGATATTTGGTGTATTCGACTATATTGATTTCTTGGGAACCAATTTTTATTGACAAATCACGGGTTTCCATATTTTTGTTTTTGAACAACATAAAAATAGTTTTATTCATATTTATTTTAAGTTTATTACTTAGAAGCCACTCGGCATACAGTTTTAAATCATTATTCACCAACTGTTCCAATTCAGTTAGGTTATTTCCTTCATAGACAAGAACAGTGTCGTCTGCAAATACAGGGTGGCCCATCGAAAACGTACCGCAAGGCATTACAGGCTGGGAAATGACGTTTCGATAAATTCCGAAAACAGGTCAAGTTTGTTTGTCAGGGGGACACATTTTGACGTGATAAGCATAGTAAAATCTTCAACCCCCTAAGTAGGGTGGTCACCCCAAGATTTTTTTCAAATGGGAAGGGGGGTCAAGCGATACCTCTTTAGAAGGGGCTTGTCATTTCCTATACAGTGCTGCTTAGATTTTTCAAATCGATCTACTCTTTCAGAAAATATGGAGCGTTGAAACTCCAACCATCATGTGGGACGAAAAATACAAAAATCGGTTTAATTGTACTTTATTGCAATAAGTTCTTTCAAATGAATTCGCTGTTTTTGCCGATGCACAGATTTGTTTAGGCTCATTTTAGAGAGTAAAAAATGAATAGAATCCATTTCTTCACGTTTGACTTAGGTCAAGTAGTTGCTAGATACCTGTCGTGGTTGAAGTGTTCAAGAATTGTTGACTTTAAAATTTATTATTATGGTCTATTCAATTGCACACAGAGTGGAAATCATTGAGCTTTTTTTCAAAAACGATGAATGTGGAAATCGGGTCGCGGAGTTGTTTAACCAACGGCATCCTGACAAACATGCCTCTGAAAAAATTGTTCGCGAATTGGTGAAAAAATTTCGCGAAACAGGTTCAGTTCATAACAAAAAATGAGAGCTTGAAAATCCAGTACTAAATGAACCAACGGAGATAGCAGTATTGGGGCAAGTTGCAGTTGATAGTACGCTAAGTACAAGACAATTGGCCATTGCCACGGGGGTGTCTCGTACCAGTGTCCAACGGGTATTAAAAAAATACAAATTCTATCCTTACAAAATTCGCTTAGTGCACGAACTGAATGAAGATGACCTTGATCGACGCTTGCAATTTTGCGAAATTATGAGTGAGCGAGCGTTACACAATGGTAATTTTCTATTCAATGTGTGTTTTTCGGACGAGTGTTCCTTCTTCCTCAATGGTTTAGTGAATCGCCACAATTGCAGATACTGGGCTGACACCAATCCAAGGATTCTCCACGAGACACACACGCAACACCCCCAGAAGTTAAATATGTGGGCTGGTATTTTCGGAAATTCTATTGTAGGACCTTTTTTCCTTCCTGGAAATTCAACAGGCGATATGTACTTGGATTTACTACAAAATGCCATCAACCTAGCTCTAACAAATATCATTGAGAACGATCCCGCATACAATGAACAGGAACTGATTTTTCAACAAGACGGAGCTCCTCTTTATTATTCCCAAAATGTGCGCAATTATTTACATGACACATTTCCAGGACGATGGATAGGACGACGGGGCCCAATAGAATGGCCACCTCGGTCACCCGACTTAAGTCCTTTAGATTTTTTTTTGTGGGGATACATCAGAAGCCTTATTTACAAAACACCACCAGACACATTAGAACAGTAACGACAAAGAATCATTAACGTATGTCGCGAAGTGACACCCCAAATGCTCCAGAATGTACGACAACGGTTTGAAAATAACTCATACTTGACTAATAAATGAGTTGTGAAGTACATTTGAACCGATTTTTGTATTTTTCGTCCCACATGATGGTTGGAGTTTCAACGCTCCATATTTTCTGAAAGAGTAGATCGATTTGAAAAATCTAAGCAGCACTGTATAGGGAATGACAAGCCCCTTCTAAAGAGGTATCGCTTAACCCCCCTTCCCATTTGAAAAAAATCTTGGGGTGACCACCCTACTTAGGGGGTTGAAGATTTTACTATGCTTATCACGTCAAATTGTGTCCCCCTCGCAAACAAACTTGACGTATTTTTGGATTTTATCGAAAAGTTGTTTCCCAGCCTGTAATACCTTGCGGTACGTTTTCGATGGGCCACCCTGTATATAGTAGCGAGCTTTCAATTTGGCTTTTTTAAGGTTTAGTGTATGTAAGGAATACAACATAGGCCCTAAGACTGACCCTTGTGGGACTCCACAGGTAAAATTTTTTAGTGCACTGTTGACTTTATCTAGTGACACATACTGTTTTCGGTCTCGTAAATATGTTTCTAGAAGATCTGCACATTTACCTCTTATTCCCAGTAAGTTGACCTTATTTATTAACATTTCGTGGTCAACTACATCAAATGCCTTTTGTAAGTCGACAAAAATCGTTATGACATATTTTTTGTTATCTAGATTGGTTATAAAGTGGTTCAAAAAGTCCATTGTGTCGCTCTGTGTGTTTGATTGCTTTTGGAAGCCATACTGGAATCTGTCTAGCTCAACATATTTAGTAAGAAAACAATTGACCCTTTTTTTGATGATAATTTCTAAGAGTTTCGACAATGCACATACTACAGTTATGGGACGATAGTTTTCTACTTTATTTTTTGATCCTGCCTTAAAAATAGGAGTGATTTTACCAATTTTCAAAACATTAGGGAAGATTCCAGTTGTGAACATTTTGTTGACGAGTTTGACTAAGATGGAAATGGAAGGACAATTAATATATGAGGTTGCGCGAAGAACTTTTACGACCAACAAGAGAGCAAAATTGGTTGCGGCACCTGCGCAGTATCTATCAAAGTCATCACTGCATTTCTTTCATCTCTGTTTTGGAGTCTTGTTAGAACGTATGTCTATACTAGTAAATTTCATCAGAGCCCACTTTGCTGTAATCTTATTATCGAATATCAATCGTCCGTCAGCCATTTTTACAATGTTTGTGTTAGATGTATTCTGCAGGATGTGTCTTTTTGCTAGTGTTTTGCTGTTTTAATAGATATATAGTATGTTTCAAATTATTCAAGGCCGGCTCAGTATGATATAAATATTGCACATACTCGTCAACCACTCTTTCCAAGGTAATCACATGGTCTGCGTAAGTTCAATTTAGCATTTCCTAATACAGATTCAACTTAGATTTGTTCATCTCGCTTGTATTACTGACCATACTAACATAACATAATTTTTTACCTTTCACGCTACTTCCTCTGTTAGTTAGCGAGGCTTTTCCTCCAAGTCCAACAATTAATGCAGTCAAAATGGCACTCTTTCCACTGCCATTCTTGCCAATGATAATGCTAATGTTATTGGTGAAATTTACTTCAAGCAATGAGTGGCACATGAAGTTTTTCAAAACCATGAAATTTATTGTTCCAGCACGTCTCTGTAAGTAATTGCATACAAGGTGTCTTCATAAATAATGAAAGAACAAAATAAATAAGTAAATAAGTGAGGCTTCATCAATGAGGATCAATCGGTACACAAAAAAGAAGCTTTTTCTTTCATCTTTTGGAGGACACGAAAGGATATTCCAATTATATTCGAGGAACATCCTGTGTACCTAGGAGGGATAGGGAGAGAAGGTAGGCATTTGAATTTTCACAGGTTATAAGTTCTTTGGAATACTTCATTTGGCAATAAAAATCTGAGTTTTTCAGAAGCAGCTTTTGCAATGGATCTGGCATGATTTTTCCATGAAGAGTATTACTGATGGAAATAAAAGCATGGAATATATGGCGGAGTTGATGGGAATGGAGCTACCAGACATTGTAATATCAGACATACTGAGTTCGGTTTTTTTAGAGAAAATGGAGGCTTGAGTTTGGATGACGTTGGAAGTTCTGTGGTTGGGTCCCCAGGCTATAATTTTAGCGAAATCTTCATTGACAGCATCAACTGAATTTGGAATTTCGGGAAAGAACACAGTATGGAGAGTACTGGTAGTTACTCTCAACAGATCATTGATATGGAGTAGTAACAATGTTGGTACCAAAATGGACCCTTGTGGGATGCCGGAATTGATGGCAGACTCCGTCACCAACACATGGAGCGACCTGTCTGAGTCCTCGGTGCCAAACACAGTCGAATTCTCTCGATATATCTAACGCCACAGCACAGCTAGAAACTCCCTATATTTTACTAATAAAGTTTCCATATGGTTAACATAACGCCATATTATCGATCAGTTGTGATTCCTGAGCTGTCCAGCTGATCAATGTTATTAAAAAGTTGTTACAGCCCTGTCGTTGAATAAAACGATATCCAAATTAAATATTTCATTTGATCTAACAGGATGAAGCCATGGTATTATAGTTATCAATTTGTGACTGTTTCAAGCAAGCACCCTGTTGAAATATTTCTTATACTCCATAACAAAACATCATGTAAATGTTGACTTGGCTAGAGATATGACAATGATGTGCTAAACGCTGAGAACTGACAAGACAACGCCCACGATCCTGTGCTGTCACGTTTACTGGACAATATACAGGGTGATCAGTTAAGGGTAGCGAGCGGCCATATCTCATAAGATATTGGTCGCATAGATTTGAGAAAAAAAAATCATGATAAAAGTCGCCAAGAGAAATTGCTGGAAATTATTTTAGAGTTTATCAAACGTCCGGTAGAGGGCGTAACGACCAACAATAAGTAGAAAAATGGGATTTTTATAGAATTTTGTCTCATGAAAGTATGTCGATGATATCATTTTCATATTTACTGACCATTTCCCTACATTTTTTGTTTCAAACGTTTTGTTCTAGCTATCAAAATGAAGCGGTGGGGGAAGTTCAATTGTTTTTTCAAACAAACCAAGATTTCTCCCGTTTATTTCGACAGATTTTAGCAAAGGGTAATATAAAAAAGCATAATTTGCCCTACAAAACGATTATTTGGTTTTGAATTTTTGACTTTTGCTGTCGCCGCTAGATGGCGTTAACTGAAATGTTAGCAAATTTTTTAGTTTTTTTCAAAAAAATCAAATGGGAGAAATGTTTCGGGAGAGAAACACAACCTCGAGAAGAAAGTACGAATCAATATTGAGAAGATACTACATCATTTTGAAATCTGAAAATTATCGACGTGAAATTTTAAATTTTCAACAGCAGGGACACCTGCGTTGTAGGCATCTTCATCATTCTTTTGAAGTAATCAAATATCTGATGTCACTTCTGACAGTCTTATTCTGTGATTCGATTTCAAATAATCGCGAATTTAGTGGTTGTTCAGTTATATAATAATATGTAATATATGTAATATATTGACTCATTTTTGGGAACTATAGCACAACAAAAGCCATCAACAGTGTATATACAGTGTGACCCATTTAAGATGGAAGCACCCTTATAAAACTTACATTTTTCAACCGATTGGAATGATTTTTTTTTTGTTAGGTAGATATTCAAAAAGTCTATTAGGACACCAAATATCATGAATAAATCTCCATTTCCAGGGCCAACTAATCTGATTTTTCAAGGTCAAAAATCTAAAAAAATTACTAGCGATTTTTTTAGAAAAAATCTGACTACACCACTGGATTTGTGACATTTTCAAATGGGTAACATGTAAATTACGTTGAAATGCGTCAATCAATAAAAAAGTTATAAAGGAATGAAATTTGAAAAATATGCCGTTTAATCAACCCACCAATTCATGTTCAGGAATTTTATGAAAATTCTGTATACTCCACTGGATTCAGGATGTCTTGAAATATTACTGATCACAGTTTCATCGAAATCTGTTCAGTAATAAAAATTGATGGGTTGATTAAACGGCATATTTTTCAAATTTCATTCCTTTATAACTTTTTTATTGATTGACGCATTCCAACGTAATTTACATGTTACCCATTTGAAAATATCACAAATCCAGTGGTGTAGTCAGATTTTTTCTAAAAAAATCGCTAGTAATTTTTTTAGATTTTTGACCTTGAAAAATCAGTAGTTGGCCCTGGAAATGGAGATTTATTCATGATATTTGGTGTCCTAATAGACTTTTTGAATATCTACCTAACAAAAAAAAAATCATTCCAATCGGTTGAAAAATGTAAGTTTTATAAGGGTGCTTCCATCTTAAATGGGTCACACTGTATATGAGATATATATCCGGGATAGAAGTACTCACTTTAAAGTAATTTATGAAAAGTGACATTTTATAACCTGCCAACAGAGATGAAATGCCAACTTTTTTCCCGTCACAGAAAAAATACATTTAGTGGTTAAGATGAAGGAATATGAATAAAATATAGACCTGCCTTATATCATGACTTATGACGTGACCTTCAGGCGAGGGCGGCGATATGGAGGGGTAATGGAGGTAATTACCTTCCTCCCCAAGAATAATAATTTGTAGGTAATAGGTATCATAAGTAGACATTTATAACGGTTTTATTCATGATTTGTTTGTTCAAAGAAGTTTAGGTTTGTTTCTAATCCTAATATACAGGGTCCTGCATCTCACCACCGGTCTTCTATGGCTCAGTTATCAGTTGAGTCAGGATTTTGATATTATGCAAACTACAATTATTGTCTCATAGGGCGTATACCAGGAAAATAATTTCGATATACAGGGTGTCCCAAAAAAGTGTGACATCATAATGATATATTTTTTTAAATGACATGCCATATATTTTGTTGCACATTTGAGTGCTTCCAGTGGTTACCTACATATTCCTAGAATTTAATTGGAATCGGTTCAGAGATATTCACATTCAAAAAAATATAACAAAATAACTCAATTTTCCACCACTGGTCAAAAAGATTATTAACAAAAAAGAGACTGCCTGGTCAATACATGAGAGATACATATCAAATAAGGCCTAAAAGGATCACTTAATCACCCTGTGATTAACAGGAATCATCACAGGGTGTGCAAAATTTTCAAATTTCAAAGCACTATTTTTCTGATTTCAAATTGGAGCCCCTGTACCCCCTTTCTTATTACAACCCAATTGAAATTGAATTCTCATCTCATCAAAAGTTATTTGCTGAAAACTCAATAGTGATTGGCACCAATGCAGTTAGATGAACTACAATGTTTTTACATTCCTTTGTGACATATATCATTTCCTTATCAGATGATGGTTAAAACTTGGATTAAAATCTGCAGGCAGCACTCCTTCTATTTGTTTTGTTGCTTTAGAAGCATTTTGATGGTACTATTTGTTTTAGATTTAATATTTCAGTTGACAAAGCATGCCATATAGGTGATTGAAGAGTTACAAACAGTTGATTCTTTGTTGAGTTAACAAAGAGAATCATGCAACCAACCCTGGGCACCTTAATTATGATTTTCGAAGGAACCTTAGTTCCCAATAAAGCTATCTGGTCAAATGTTAAGTTGGTAGAAACATTAAATTCATTGCTTGTGTAAGGACTGTCAGGCCATATCTGTGCAAGAGAGTGAACTGGTAATGAAACAAGCAAGATCTTCCTCAATAGAAGGAGCTGTGGTAATGTTGACTATGGTGGATGGGTTATCTAGTAGTAGGAGAGATAATGCAAATATTGGCAGATTTGCAGACTCTCAAGTAATTGAAGAAAAAAGCATTGCTTGTACATTCAGTGGAATAGCAATCTCCAGAATTAATGCTGCAAAATATACATGAATACTTACATGACAATCACTAGAATTATTATTGGCAGTATCCTCAGGTCTTCTAGACTTTTTTCGTGCTACAGTATTGCTTTCATCCTCAGAAGCAATCTGTGTAAAGGGTTTTCTTTTCCTAGTGGACTGAAAATAATGAAATGGATACAAATTATAAAAATGAGAAACGTCATAACTGCATCCAAAATAATTGATATATGAATTTCTTCACCATTTTTCAGAGATGTTCTTCAACCAATGATCAAGTTCAACAGCAGAGACAACTATTCAAGAAATTGCACTCTGCAGCTCGTTCATACAAGAGAAATACAAGTTGGCGCCTTCAATCTCCTAAAAAAAACATAACCAAAAACCTTCCAAAAACATAACGGATGAAATGAAAACAAGTGACGCAAAAGAACGAGAAGACCAACTTCGACTATAGCCATTATAGGATCTTGGGTCTATCATCCTGAGTTGATCGTGTAACTTGATGGGAACCTGAGCCCAAACCTGAGCCATCAGAAGAAGAAAAAGAAGAATTCAGAAGAAAGTTTCAACATTAACCTAAAAAAGTAAGTTAGTTTTCAAAAATGAAAATGTCGCTAACTTTCCTAAGAATCTATTTATCGCGGTCCTGTTTCCATACTACTTGTATTGAGAATAGTTCCCGTCAAGTTGGAAATGCAATGCGGAAAATCCTGGGAACTAATAAAAAAAAGTATGATACATTTTCCATCAAAATCATGCTGTGTTTCAAGTGATGTATTTACAGGAAATTCCATTATAATGATCAGGCTATGGTATCTCCTGATGGTTTTACCAATGGTTCAATGCAAAAGAAACCTCCTAACTCTAGGCGAACCAGTGTTCTAAATAAACTATTCATGAAACATATTTCAGACCAAATGGCTACAGGAGAGTTTGCTTCTGAGGTGTTAGGGCATGGAATAGAAATTAACAGAGTAAATAGATCAAATAAGTAATTATGGTTCATCAGTACATGGTCATGATTATTTAATTTCACACAGGTTAAAATTGCACCTGATTTCAAAATATTGAATGTATATTGGACATCTAGAACAGCTAATGATGACAAAATCGATCTTATCCTGAAGCAGAATGCAGGTGTTCTAAGACATGAATTGTCACAGTTAAGAGTTATGGGAAATGTTCCAATTATATCATTTGTCAAAGGTAGTAGATAATACAAAGTTGAATTGTCTCAACTATGACATAATTTATAGATAAGCAATATGCTCATATGAGAGATATTGACAGGAGGCTTGCTGTTGCTGATTTTGGTGAAGATTATGTGCCTGTAGACCCATCAACAAAATTCCAGGTTGAGACAGAATTCTTTCTATCATTAGAACAGGATTTGAGGGTGAGTGACTACAGTTTTGAAATGTTGTAATTATTTCATTTCCAGAAGTAATTATAGGACAAAATTGGTAAATTGGATGCTCATCAATATGATGATGATAATAATGAATCATCTATACCTCCCATGCCACAAGATACTTTAGGATTAGATCATGCAGCCATCATGGATAGGGTATGTAATTGTAGTTTTGCTTATTTCCTTCTGAGAAACTGATCTATTATTCATTTTTTCTGGTCAATTTATGGATTCATATATTGGTCTTCAAGTTGCAATTAATCCATTTAGTAGAATATTTTGATATCTGCTCACTCTGTATGTATATAGATGTATATAAGAAACAAATATTATTTTCATTTGTAATTGTCATATTATACCTCCTTGCACTAGGTCACCTACTAGTAGGTTTTCATTTGAATCCACAATGGTCAAATTTACAAACAGGTCACAAAAAGTGTCACCTTCACTGGGCATAGTTCAGTATGCTATGGGTATATTTACCCAGACAGCACTGGATATTCCTAGAATATTCTCTAAATATGCTAAAAAGGAGTATATTCGGAATATTCATTGATTATTCCTAGAATATATACATGCCTCTGGAACATCTAAAAGGAATATTCCAAAGTGAATAGTATGATATGTTCAGGGAATATTCAGGTATGAATTTTCCAGGAATATTCCCAACTGAATATTCTCTGTTGTATATTCATGGAATATTCCTAACTGAATGTTCTGTGGGGTATATTCATGAAATATTCTCGACTGAATATTCTGTGTGGTATATTCATGAAATATTCTCAACTGAATATTCTGTGGTGTATATTCATGGAATATTCCATGAATATTCCTATGTTTCTCAACACATAAATACCAATCATTATTTCAGAGATCATCATATCATTATGATATGTAAGGTAACTCAATATATTTTATCTTCAACAGATCAAAAAAGGCATGAAAAAATCAGAAGCTTCTCACAGATTTGGTAATAATGATGATATTGAAAAATTGGAAAATGAAAGTTGGGCAAAATTCAAATTGAACCAGCCTATTAACAATGATCCAGTATCACTAAGTAATAACAGGTCACAAAGGTCAGAAGCTTTTAGGGAGTTCCTACTACAGCGCCAAGTTGAGTATGAGTATTTTGTAGGGTGGCAAAATAATTATATCATGTGTGTATTTTCTTTCAGTTATTGAAAAGGAGAGCAAAAGAAAAGAATTACAATCCTGATTTGGAATATATCAAAGAAGAACTAAGTGCCTCCGGACTGGATGATATCAGTAGGTTTGAGTTTGGTGTGATTCCTGATCAAGATTTCATCATAGAAGATGATGATGAACAAGAAAAATAAATATACTTGAATGTATTTACACTTGGAAATAAGTAGTAATTGGAGTAAATATTAGTACAAGTTATTGTTTTTCATTAAAACTGTTATTTATCCAATAAGTATACCAAGTTACTCTATTCATATTCTGATTTTTGTGTACAGAATTTGATGAATTTTTCTACAGGATGGCCCATTATTCTGTCAGGAAAACTCACCCATTTTGCTAAAAAAAACAATATTCTTCAATTGAAGGTTATGTTATAATACTACCAAAAAAAAGGAAAACATTCCATTGCTAACCACCTATCTTCTTGGAATTCTTCCTCTCTAGGAAGTTGCATGTCAACATAGGCTACCATTTAAAATTATTTCGAAACATACAGGGTGTCCCCAAAAACCATAAAACACTGAAGTTAAACTTTTTTCTATCGAACACACTATATATTATTTCATTTTGAGATTCTCCCTGATGAGCTGATTTCAACGACCCATCATACTTGAGGTCTAGCAGTTATAATTACTGAAATATAGGGTGTGAAAAATCGAGATTTTCCAAGTTCAAGAATTTTTTGTGTCGAAACTATTCATAATTGGTCAAAACGGCTTACATGTCCCTATCTATCTATCTATCTATCTATCTATCATAGGGACATGTGAGCCGTTTTAACCAATTATGAATGGTTTAGACACAAAAAATTCTTGAACTTAGAAAATCTCGATTTCTCACACCCTATATCTCAGTAATTATAACTGCTAGACCCCAAGTATGATGGATTGTTGAAATCAGCTCACCAGGGAGAATCTCAAAATGAAATAATATATAGGATGTTCGATTGAAAAAAGTTCACCATTAGTATTTTGCGGTTTTTGGGGACATCCTGTATGTTTTGAAATAATTTCAAATGGTAGCCTATGTTGACATGCAACTTCCTAGAGAGGAAGAATTCCAAGAAGATGAGTGGTTAGCCTTCTAGAGACCGAGGCGTTACTGTGGCCCACCCTGTATAGGAAAGAGTAGAAGGGTCATCGAAAATTAAAAAAATCTAATTATTGCAAATTGTAACGTGCAGTAATTCAATTACTGCAACTTACAACTTGCAATAATTCAAAATACTGGACCATACAACTTGCAGTAATTGAATTACTGCAACTTACAACTTGCAGTAATTCGAAATACTGCAACATGCAACTTGCAGTAATTTGAATCACTGCACCTTACAACTTGCAGTAATTCGAAATACTGCAACATGCAACTTGCAGTAATTTGAATCACTGCATCTTACAACTTGCAGTAATTCGAAATACTGCAACATGCAACTTGCAGTAATTTGAATCACTGCACCTTACAACTTGCAGTAATTCGAAATACTGCAACTTGCAGTAATTTGAATCACTGCACCTTATAACTAGCAGTAATTCGAAATAATGCAACATACAACTAGCAGCAATTCGAATCACTGCAACTTACAACTCCCAGTAATTCAAACCCTCTCCTAACCAGTATTAGCACTTGGCCTTGGAAAGCCTTGTCGGGTTTTGGTCAATGAAATTTTTGGCAGGTCAACACAGAACAGAAAATAAGGTGACAGAAGTCGAAGAGAAGTAGCCGTGCGTTTCACGCACAGACTCTGCCTCTGAGACGAGACATGCTTCAATGCAAAACGACGCCATAAAATTGAACCAACTCATCCTGATCCATTCTATTAGGTACCTATGTAATTGCCCCTGTAAAGGTATAAAAATATCAAAACAAGGTGGATGCAATCCAAGCTTTTGATGGTAAAACTTCTATATGGTGTTAATAATGGAATCTAGCTGGTATTTAAGAACAGAGTAGTTGATCTATGAGTTAACCTCAGTTAATCTTCTTCTCAGCCTGTTTTGTGCTTTAGTTACTGCAAGTTGTAAGTTGCAGTGATTTTGAATTACTGCTTGTATGTTGCATTATTTCGAATTACTGCTAGTTATATGTTGCAGTGATTCAAATTACTGCAAGTTGTAAGTTGCAGTAATTCAATTACTGCAAGTTGTATGTTGCAGTATTTTGAATTATTGCGAGTTGTAAGTTGCAGTAATTGAATTGCTGCACGTTACAAGTTGCAATAATTCCTTTTATTCTTTTATTTTTGATGACCCTTCTACGCTTTCGTACTTATACAATTAGAACAACAATTTTTATCTGCATTTTATAATTACTTGGACTTCAGATATTACAGTTATACTAACCCTGTTTCAAAAAAAGATATGAACCTATCAAAAGAAAATTTTATTCAAAATGTCAACATGTATACAAATATTTTTTGAATCAATATGTAATAGAACTTAATATTACACACTATGTAAAAACAACTTGAGTATGTACAGCTAAGACTATATCCACAGATATAATTGATCTTTGACTTTGAAATGGTTTCAATTGCTTTTGATTGGAATGAGACTCTTTCATTTCAGATGAAAATAATGTTTTGATTAATCCACAGAGTTAAAATTCTCCAATCATAAGCAGATGATGTATTCTATTTATTATAAACATGTACTTTGTTCAACCTGTTATCTACTTATGTCTAAATACAAGATTCTGGAAAAAAATCATAATATACAGAAATAGAAAAGATATTGAAAAATCAAGTTGAGTTCGGCTAGATCATCAAATTAGTTGGAAATATTTCAATATATTACTTTACCTACTAAATCTAATACACCAACTAGGTTAGTGCAATTGGACGGTTTTTATTGAGACTAAGTGAGCAGCATAATGCTCAAAATATTACAGTATATTTACCGTAGGTACTCTTTATACATTTTCAAATTTGTGAGTATTTGATATGCTGCAACTCTGAAATTTCCACTATAAAACTAAAAATATACATATAAAAGTATAAGACAGATCAATAAAATCAGATCTTCAGTAATAACTAAATATCAATGCCATTGTCAGCTAAACAAGAAGAAACTGGTTGGCAGGATATACTCATAACCAGGTATTCCAGCACACCTACCTTGGATATACAGGGTTGCCACTTTTATGGAATTGTATTGGTAACTTCCAAACCATTATAAACTACTCACCAGATGAAGTAGAACAGCCTAAAAATTGATTAATTTTGATAAGCTATAACTCGAACATTACTTGGCCGATGTTGGATTTCTAACCAAAGGTAGAAAGCGTCATCCTTGGGCTATGCGTCATTGGCGTCGGGTTTTTCTTTTTGCGATTCGTTCTCTTTGTACAGTGTGAATTGAGAGCCGGAAAAATTTCAAATATTTGACCAATAATTTGGAAAATGTGAGGGACCCTAGAATTCTTTTTTAGATGTTAGGTGAACGGTTGGTCCGATTCCTCGAGACGTCTTTGAAATTTTTTTGATAAAATGCGTTGCTATGGAAAAATCGCCATTTTATGAAATTCCGTTTTTATTTCAAAATGTGGTCTCTTTTACTTAAACAATAACAGCCAACATCTAAACTGCAACAATTCGCAATTCATCAAAAAAATTCCAAAGATGTCTCGAGGTATTGGACCAACCATTCACCCAACATCTGAAAAAAAATCCAGGGTCCCTCACATTTCCCAAATTATTGGTCAAAAATTTGAAATTTTTCCGGCTCTTAATTTACACTCTGTACAAAGAGAACGAATCGCAAAAATAAAAACCCGACGCCAATGACTTATAGCCCAAAGATGACGCTTTCTACCTTCGGTTGAAATTCCAACATCGGCCAAGAAATGTTCGAGTTATAGCTGCATTTAAACCTCTTATCAATAAATACTAATAAAACTGAATATATGATTCTTCAACAAAAAAATAAACAAAATATAAATTTAAATCTCAGAATTAAAAATGAATCTTTGAAACGAACTAATGAGAAAAAGTATCTTGGGATTTGGTTTGATGATAAATTGAAGTGGGACAAACATATAAATGTTTTGAAGAAAAAAATATCTCCTATTATTGGAGCCCTGAGAAGATGTCCCAAGCTGAATAAAAAAGTTGCAAATATAATTCTATATTCTCATATACTCAGTCGTATTAACTATTTGATAAATATTTGGGGATACTGTTCAAAAAACAATTTTAATAAAATATCTGCATTATATAAAAAGACATTGAAAGTACTGTATCGTTTACCATATGATACACCAACAAATCAATTATATAAAATAACTGAATCATTCTCATTAGAAGAAATGTTCAAAATCGAAAGACTGAAAATTACATACAATATCATAAATAAAAGATTGAAATCTAATTTTATTTTAACACGAAACAATGAAATTCATAATTATCAAACTAGACAACATCTTGATATCGCTAATACTTCTATAGGCCAAAAAAGATTCACCCACGCTGCTCTCTTGGAATATAACAAATTACCAGATAATATAAAAAATTGCAGAAATACAATAAAATTCAAATACCATCTTAAAAAATTTATTATTTCTGAACGAAATAGATGACTTTTTTTTTTTCAACTTTTGATTAATATTCAAATTGATTTTTGCTCACCAATATGAAATGATTTGTCAAAATTTAATAATTAATGTTTTCAAATATTTTATTATTCATCAGTTTATTATAATTGTATAGTTTTAGGTATTATTGTTAACTATACTTCCTTATACCAGAACTTGATTCTGACTGGAAGTAACATTTTCAATAAATAATAAATAGCTTATCAAAATTAGTAAATTTTTTGGCTGTCCCACTTCATCTGGTAAGTAGTTTAATTAGAAAGGTCGGTCAAATGGAGAAAATCAAGAAGCATCATATAGTGGGAAATGTAACTGAAAATATTAGGGCCAGTAGTTCTGGAAATTAATGGAGTAAAATTGAAATGATCTAATACTGTTTTTTCCTAAATCACAAGAACCGGCCCGATATTCCCGATTCGTTTGCAGGGATAGATGATGATTTCTGATACGCAACTTTTTCTTCATTTAACCGAACTTCTAACTAGTATAATAATGAAGTTTATTCAAAATGTTGACATAAAATAAAAGTATACATACTGGAATTGACTAGCAAAGAAAACCTTAGGAAGTATAACTTGTTGTAAGGTATATAAAATAAAAATTATGGTTATCAAATCAATTGATTAATTCGAGATAGAAGTAATTTATAAATAAAAATGTATTGATTTTCATTCAATCATTGGGTATAAGTACAATTCAGTAATGTTTAAAAATTTCATATAGATAGATATTGAATATTGGAAGTTACCAATACAATCCCATTAAAAATGTGTCCACCCCGTATGTGGAGACAAGGAACAGTCATTGTATTGGAGCAAAATGAAAATAAGAAGTCACTTTCTTCAACTTTCCTAAATATTTCAAATGATATGGAAAATTATAAAGTGTTTTTGTTGGAAAGTTAATTTTGAGTACAAAATTTACCAACTAGTCACTCCCGGTTAAATTGATAGTGGCATCGATTTTTATTTTGCTCAAATGATTTAAAATTTTCATCTTAAATGGGGATATTCTTTCAAAATAGGTATACTGGGACACCTGGTACAAATAGTGACCACAAATTTCTCATAGGTATAGGTACTTTATACTAGATATGCCAGCCAGTAGCAATTTCAGGGAATTCACCGTTATTTCTCTTTAGCAGACAATAAATGAATCCTACAAGTCAGTTCCACTCAATTGTTTTTCAGTTCTGAAAAAACATAGTTGCCAATTGAAAATAAATTTAAAAAAAAGTTACATAACTTAATTTAGCTTCTCTAATAGGCCCATATTCAAATTTATAAACGATAAATCACTTTAGAGAGCCCTTCCTAAATTCCATGAACACAAACTTAAGTAGAAACGCACCAAGAATAAAGAACAAGCAATTGGCAAAATTTGGTCATTCCCGATTTGAATTTGCATTGAAATTTTCGGGAAAACACTCAACTTTTTCATTTGTACTCAAGAGTTTTCACAATGGTAAACAATCTATAATGTTATTGATTCATCCGACAATACTTTCAAATTACAACTTCTCACTCTGTTTTCAATACAAATACAAAATTCATTAGCGGCGGAGCTACATTGACGCTAGTTACGTGATTGTACAAGGAATTGGCGAAGAAACGTCAAAAGATCACCAGAAACTACTGAAAAAACTGTGAAATTACTTTGACGGTTCGAGACCTGTTCACCTACTTTAACGCCAGAACTGTATCACGTTTTCACCATAAAGTTCTTCCTTGAAACCAGGTCATACATAATAGTTATTGATGTATTATGGGCGTAAAGTAGGCTTTTATGGACCGCAGCGTGTAATGAAGAGCCCAAACAAAGGCTATTACTACGCCTAGGTCCATAAAATCAAGTTAGGCCAGAAATACATACAACATTTTATGCTCGACCGTTTTAGACATTTATTTACTGTCAATTTGGAGTTTATTCATGATTTTGATTTCATTTGGCCAAATATGTATGCCACTGGCGAGGAAAGATCGAATGGTAGGTAGTCTACAAGAAATTACTGGAAAAACAGTGAAATTGATTCACCGCCCGCTATTCTCCTTTGTAGCCCTAAGTATTAATATTATTTTCCCAAGGTGTAAAAATAAATGAACGTGAAATACGTTTGTTCAACTTTCAGAAGAAATAGACAATTAATTCAGACAGTCGATGAATATCAGAACATTACCTTTGCACTATTATTAAATTTGCCGTTGATCAACAAGGCCACAATTCAATGAAAATTCCAATACAAATTCATTCTCGCCTGCGTAAGTTATATTATCAATACTCAACAATGTTCAACTTTCAGTTCTTTCTCAACTCACAATATGACCTCTTGGAATTGTAAGTGTCTAAATATCAGCATAACACTCGTCAACAACACGATATATACTGGAATAGAAACGGCTGCTGCTGCGTTGTATATGAAACAATATGGACATTGACTGCTACCGCACACTTGACAAATGTCCAGGACATACGATGATAAGGCATCAAATATTGTTTCGTTGAATCGTTCTGAGGAAATATCATCATGTTAATTCCCGTTTTGTGTGTTTTGTTATATGAAACTTACCTGGTGCATAGTAATCATATACTCTTATAGGAAGGTATCTCGACATATTGGCCACAGGATACCATCGCTCCACAGTGAAATTGATACAAGTTGGTTCCATATCCAGCTGAAATAAATATAACTTTCAGCGATCCAAGCATAAACGATACTAAGTGAAAAAAAATCTCAATCGATTTCCTCAAATGAGAATACTTCTGGTCACAACAGTTTTCAATACATTCTTTATTTTTAATTTAGTTACATAATTGATTTTTGAACACCACCCTGTATCAATGGATAATATGTTCATGCATCCTTTGAAGATTTTTACCCGCCGTTTGAACTAGACAAGAACACACTGCCAATAGAAATTAGAGCATAAAATAGCGAATAATGTATAGTGATGTAAAGGGCAATATTACCGAGGTAATGTTACCGGCAATTTTGGTAATATTACGTGATATTACCGCAAGATCGGTAACATTGGGAGTATTGTTCGTTTTTCGTTCTATATTCTCATTTATTTGCCCAGCTCTACTTCGCAACTGATATTTTGTAAACATTCTTCCTGTTTATAACTATCATAACTATTAGGTTTACTAGTTATATTACCGCTTTTTAAATTACAGGTGATTTCACATCACTAATGATGCATTCTCTTATGTTTCCAGATTGAAAAACTGCACAGCTTTGATCCTGTACTCTATAGAATCTCATTCTGACGAGATGCAATAAACATTGCCATAGTTTCTATATTTAATGAAAGGAACATTCAGAAACTGACATTAAAATTGATCAAACAACACAATTGAGTAGGATAAAAAAATGTTCGAAGTCTGTGACAACATTAGTGTAATTCTTCAACATACAAAATTCAATACCAGTATGGTCGCCTATTATATGAGAAAATGTTGTAATACTTACATAATCAAAGTAGAAGATAACTTTTCTTTCCAAGAACTTTGCCCTCTGTAAATTTCGCACCCTCCTTGTCAAAATATAAGCATCTAGATCTTGTTGTTGTATTATGTAGCCTGTAGGTATGGTAACATCAAGAACCGCTAAGCCAGATCGTTCTGACTCATTCAAATGAGTCCACCTAATGAAACAAAAATTTGACACTGTAGATCATACCACTTTACTTAATAAATTATATTCAATCGGTATCAGAGGAAGAATTCATGATTGGTTCATACATTATTCGACGAATAGAAACCTGTATCTTGCAGTGAATGATACTTGTGGCTCACTAGAGAATATCACATGTGGAGTACCGCAAGGATCAGTTCTGGGACCAATTTTATTTTTAATTTCTATTAATTCAATATCGACTCTGAAATCGAAAGGAAAGCCAAAATTATTTGTGGATGATACAACATTGATTTATATATTGAAAGAATTGAATGATATCGAACGGAATATTAAAAGTGATTTGGAAAACATGTCATCTTGGATGCAGATTCATAAGTTGACTCTGAATTATAACAAATCTTTATATATGTATATCTCCAAGAGATTAGTTAATATTTCGAATAATACTATCATTTTCAACAATAAATTCATCAAATATACAGACGTGACAAAATGGTTAGGTCTCTTAAGTCGACTATAATAACCGTCGAGTTCAATGAGCTTTATTTGGAGACTTTTTCTTCAGATAAAAAAAATTGTCTCTCAGATTAATCAAGGATAGAAGTTCATTATTATAACATGGTTTGTTACAGTCTTTGGTTGTCACTGTGTATGTGGAAGAGTTCTGGAATACACTGGTGATTTCATTGTGTAGGTTTTCAGGTTCTATAATATCATCGATTGTAACACTCAGTTCTTCCAATTCCTGCTTTACTTGCTCAATGTCGAATTTTATTATATTTCTCCTGGTGGTAACATTTTCATGTGTAAATGATCGGATTCAACTTCTGACATGATACATTCATGATCACTTACCGCACTGTTTATTAGTGAAATTCCGTTATTTATACTAGCTGACTCGGCAAAGTTGTTTTGCCATAAACATAGTTTCTAGAAAATATTTTTTTTGTTCACAAACAGTGACAGAGACAGGAGAATTTTATTTGTTAGATTGAAATTAGAGGCTACATGATCCAAGAGTGATCTGGAAAAATTTACTTCTCTTGTTGGATATGTTGGGTTATGCAGCTGGAAGCTGTTTGAAGAATCAATGTCCCTCATCAAATTTGATTCATTGCTATAATAGGCATGTTCTTTCTTACACCACATTTCCATCATTGATGGAAGTGATGCCAATTTTTTTTTGAGGTTATGCTGTCGCTGTCATTTCGAAATCCACCAAAATTCGCCCACCATCTCTGTACATTGGTGGAATGGTTTGCAATTTTGGTTGACACAACAGTAATAAATGAACGCGTGGTTACGTCAAACTGGAATCCACCATATGAACGCAGTTGGTGGATTGATGGAGCCACCGGTGAATAACAGAACGTCACTCATTCGAGAGCATACTGATCACTGATATTGAAGTCACCAAATAATATCCAATTGAAGTTGTTTTCGGAACAATTCTGTAGTTCTTCGTCTATAAATTTCAAAAATATGTCGATATTATATTTTGGTGGCCGATAAAGAGCGGACACAGGTCATGATTTTTCAGCTTCACAGCTACAAATGTCAAATTTGTGCAGATCTCCTCACCTTTGACACGTCACGTAAGTGATGTGAGACTGATTCCGGCCGTAGAAGTATTGCTTCGTCCACAAATCGAACGCCGGCACGGGCGGCTGCGTCTGGAAGCGCTCCACGTCGACGTTGTACTGCACGGACATCTGCAGGATGGCGTAGCCGGTGCCCTTGCCCTGTACCTGCGAATCAAATCGAAATTATGCTTCATTGTCAGAAGATGTGGATCTTCAACAGTTATAAGGCCCAAACTTACTCGGGTTGATTGGACCCAAGGGCTATTAGCTGGTATAAGGTTGCCTCATAGTATAGCATTAGATTGAGGGGGTTCGCGGAGGGAGGAACGATCTCTGACGTAACTGTTTCTTCGCCGAGTGATTGTGATTTCGGTTTGTGTCACTGTCAAATGGTTTGACAAAAAAAATTGAATTTGAATTCGAAAGATTCGCGAATTTTTGACTTTAGTTGAAAACGTGGTGACATGAAGACTGAAGATACCTTTGAAAGAGGGTGAGAGGCTGTATAATAATATGGTGTATTGTCAAAGCTGGTCACATTATAATATATTATGTGTTGAGTCAAGAGTGGATATAGAACAAACAAATGTTATGAAAGGCCTGTGTTTACAATCATCTGCTCTTGGGCAGCCTCCACATGGGATTCGAATAATTCCAAAGGAAAATGATGAAAAAATATGAGGCAACCTTATAGAGTTGAATATCCTTGGATCGGACCCGTAGACTGAACGTTCGGTTACCTAAATCGAGTCACCTAGGTCTGTTCGGAAACTTGAGAGGAAATGTTAATGTTCCTGTGAAGCAGGCATATCATGGTTTTGTAAACACATTTTATGGGGACAGGTAGGAAGGTGCACTTTCGATCTATCACACAAGTAAAAAATTAATGAAATTTCAGGAATGAAGACTTGGAATATGTGTTGTGAACAGAAAGAAAGGGAGTGGATCCATCAAAGATCTATTATACAGCAAAACCATTTCAAGTGTTCTGCCATCCACTTATTAAAGGAAGGAAAGTGACCCCCTAACACAAATGAAAGGAGAGTAACTACATGCAAGTATCATAATGCCAAAACAAGATCAAAACTTGTTGAATGTCTTAACGGATCCCGTTCATTTTGGTCCTTCACCAAAGTTGTAGGAAGAAACTTCACTTCCGGTTCGTTTCCTCCTCTAACCAAGGAAGATGGAACACTAGCCACAACTGCCCAGGAGAAAGCCAACATTTTTGCGCATTTATTTGCTGGAAATTCCAGTCTGGATTCATCGGGAAAACAACCTCCAAACATAACGCCAATTGACAGTCATATGCCCGACATCACCTTTCGCCAACGTACTATAAGGAAGATTTTATTGGGTCTCAACACCAACAAAGCTTGTGCCTTCGACGGAATCCCACCGATTGTTCTCAAGAAATGTGCTCCCGAACTAACACCTGTTCTCTGCAAGTTGTTCAACTACTCTTACAAATTGGGGATATTCCCATCCAACTGGAAAATTGCAAGAGTACAACCAGTTCCTAAAAAAGGCAAAAAGACCCTACCTAGCAACTACAGACCGATCGCACTGCTATCTATTATATATATCAGTACAAATCAGAAACGAACGAGGGAGAAATGTTGACAACATAATTATGGCAATAATTATTCTCGAATAACCAATAACCAATAACTTGGTAGATTTCAATGCAAACAAAACACAAGCATGCCTTTTCTCTGGAATAACCGATCTCACTGTGCCCAACATACGCTTGTCAGGAAGAATATATTTGGAGACATCCATTTCAATGCTTGGTATTACTATCAGCATAGATTAAACAAACAATAGATAGGCAATGTATATGGGCCGATTTCTGCACGTGCGAATTTGTCGCCATCTACATATTAGTAGACACACTACGCGTCTTTGAGGAAAAATCACAGTTTCCTATAACCATTAGGAGACAGCTAGTGAACATGAATGAATTAGGATAGCCAATGAAAACATTTTCAACTCCATTGATGAATGGTAGACAGGGGCGTGCTGCATCGACACACGAAAATTGCACACGAGCGGCAGTAGCGGCACACACATAAGGGCAGGAAACCTATGATTAAAATATTATATCTTTAAACGAGCAATACTTGTATAATGTGAATCTCGGAAACCGTTCCAACAATTTTCATGAAATTTTTATGAATTTCGTATACATGGGGTTTCGAGGGCGATAAATCGATCTAGCTAGGATTCATTTTCGGAAAATGTATATACCGGGTGTAACAAGATCATAGCACGCCAAACCATTTACGACTCCAACGATTTTCATGAAATTCCGTATACAGAGGGTTTCGAGGGCGATAAATCGATCTAGCTAGGATTCATTTTTACACTCTTTATGAAGTTTACATAACGTTAACTGATCAACTATGAATTCCATATGTTCTCTGCATTCAACTTCGTTATGAAAGATGGGACACTTTTTCGACAGCTTTCTGAAAATTTTATTCTTGATGAATAGTTTTGTTCTATTTATATATGGTTTCTTGAGGAAGGTTTTTGAAAAAGAAGTTGAAACTACATCAACCATAGTCTTGAATTCGTCAGTGGGGTATTTTAGATGTTGTATGTTCTTACTATAATCTTTATTGATTATCAATAATTGTTTTTCGTCATTCATTATATTGTGGAAATCGTTAACTATCAAATCATTTGCACAAGGATTACATTTGAATTTATCGATACATTTTTTGCCAAGTATATCCTGCAAAATAAGCATTCGAACAATCTTCCAGGGTTACAGGTGAATATTTATTTTCGAGTTTATTTTCCTCATTTGAAGAAGACGAGGATGATGGAATCACTTGATTTTCGAGTAAATTCTCTGTAGGAGGATTGTCAAGATTTTCCTCGACATTTTCATTCACATGACTAGTAGATGGAACTGTCATCAAATTAATATCATCATCTTCTTCACAATTACTTAAATCTGATGACTTCATTGAGTTCATTTTTGCCATGATACGAAAGGTACACCTGAAAGTTCTAACCGTTGGGTTTGGATTGAATCCGCCTCTTTGCCTTACACTTGAAAAAGTATTTTCAATAACATCTTGATTTAATCTGTTGTTAATAAATAAGTGAATCCTAATTCTTTTTTTTTCATTATAAATTCCCAATATTGAAGACAAAGTGATCAATATTCCATCAAGACAGTCAGGTCTAGAATATCCAGTTGTAGTAACCTTCTTAATTTCTATCAATGTATCTCTTGCAGAAATGATCGTATTTTCGACTATATATAGGGCGTTCATCGGACATTGCGCAACTATATGGATTCTTGGAATACAACTGCTTACTGTTCAAACAATCGAACAAATTATTCATCATCTGGAAGAAATCTGCTGTAGCAAGAGCAGTATCACTTTCTAATTGTTTGGTTTCATGACAAGTTCTAATAGCTGCGGCAATAGAATTGCTGAAAATTTGGAGTGCCAACCGACAATTCATTTTTTCGAATGCTGATGGATTCATGTGGGCAGGAGTGATCTTGAGTAAAGTCCTTCCTGTTGTACTACATGTGTCAATATTATATGTCTTCCTCACATCATCAAACGATACTCTCCTATTCATCCAGATAAAGTCATGGTGCAATAAATTATTTCTAAAGTTCTTGAACAAATGGAGCGGATCAAAAATACAATATATTCTTCGGCCTTCGATTTCAAAATATGGTTTTTCAATGGAGACATGTAAATTCCTCATTGCTGCCTGGTTGTTTGTTCCCTGGTCACACACTACTGCCTTGACAATAAGGCCAGTATTTGTCACCTGTTGAATGGCTTTGATGATCACTTCTTTCAGGATGGTATGTTTCATAGCACTACCACAGACAAAATATCCTAATGGAATCTTCCACTTGGAATATAGTCCTCTGGCCAAAAGTACCATCACTTGTGTCCCCGTCGTCTTAGATCTACCACCTATTATTCCTAGGTCTTCGAATCCTTCAATTGTGTCCAATAACTTTGAATATTCAAATTTTCTTTTGATTTTCATTTCATCAAATTAAATACAAAATTTAATACCTTTTTAATGGAAAGTAAATTGCTTCCCAACCACGATCTCTCTTTTCGTAGAAAGGAGTAATCAAAAATCATGATGGTATTTAAATAATATCTATGAATATGTTGGGTTGAAATATTCATCACTTGTGTATTTTTTCGTCCCTCAAGTTATTTCAATGTTACAATTCTATTTTACTGGCCCACTCTTGAAATATTCTGAACTGACCACGAAGAGTCCGAATTTACTTTTTTTTTAGATCGATAATTGACGTACTATTGATCCACCCTGTATAATAGAAAAATGGAAAAACCTATTGATGACTGAATTGCTCAAATTTTAGAGATTTAAAAAGTGTAGATTCTGGCTGGCTGTCACTGTTGGAATTCTCTAAATTCAATATCCCACTTGACTCGCCCTGTATATTCGATAATAGTTTTCAGTTATAGATTATTTGATAAAGTTTCATAACGATATCAAATGTTATTTATAGCTATTGTATGCTATTATATAGAACCCGAACTCAAGCAATCGAGGTGGACGTATATATATACAGGGTGGTCCAGGTTAAACGTCATTAAATTTGATAGGCGACAGAAAAACGGGAAAGAAGTAGACTTTCATGATAAAACTTTGGTTGAAAATGCTTCCTAACAGAGATACAGGGTTTCAGAGTTTAGACACCTCGATTGAGTTCTCGGCGGCCGCGTTAAGTTTGGAATCATCAAAATCAACAGTGTAATGTGTGCCTACTTCATTAACATTATTGAAAACCATACTAGTACAGCCTGTACAAAACCTCGAAAATTTTAGCCTTTTTGATGCAACCCTCTAAATTCGAATAAGTATCTTGAAAACGAAGCCATAAATCAAACATTTGCAAAGGTATTTTTATTCTCTAAATTGAACAAGAAATCCAAAAATGTAATCTTTTTGTAAAATATTTAGTGAAACCGAAGATTAGGTGAGGGAGAAGGATATGTCGACCCCCATTATCTACGCCACTGAAGAATTTCCTCGAATAACCTCAATCATTACTCAGAGATGAAATACATTAGTATCTGTGCGAAATTTGATCAAAATCGGTCGAGTGGTTTGGAAGTAATGATGAGAAATCTAATTTCTGCCCACAAATTTGACACCCTGTATCTTTGATGGGAAGCATTTTTAACCAAAGTTTTTCCATGAGTCAACTTTTTTCCATTGTTTTATTGCTTATAAAATTTAATGACGTTCAACCTGGAACACTCTGTATATATGTAGCTCCCAGATTTTCTCGATTCTGTAGATATGGAAAGGTATAGACTTAGGTGTATTGTAATATCTTGAAATTATCGGAATCGAAGAGAGTTGCTCAGATTTTAGATATTTGAAAAAGTGTAGATTCCGGCTGTAACTCTTGGAATTCTCAAAATTAATATCCTGTATATTCGATAATGATTTCCAGTCAGAGATTATTTGATTTGGTTTCATAACGATATTAAATGTGATTTATAGCTATCATAATGCTATTATAGAACTAGAACTCAGGCAATACGAAGAGAACGTACTTATTATAGCCCCCTGTATATATTATGGAATATCCTAATGGCGACTGATGAGTTGATCAGATTCTGTCGATTCTGAAGATTTGAGAAGGTGTAGATCTCGGTGTAGATTTAGTTATCTCTTGAGTTCATCGGAATCTCTTCAACTCACCCTGTATATTTATGTCATGATTTGAAATTACAGATTATATCAATCATTGTAGGTATCAATGTTTTTGAATAAGATACCTGCCGTCAACGAACTCAAGCGATCAAAAAGGCGTACGCATATTGACCCACCCTATATCATAGAATAACCCATTGACAAACCATAATTATGTTATTCAGATTCTCGATATTTTGAAATTTTAAAAATGTTCGATCTACAATTTTACTCACTCTGTATATTCGATAAGTTCCAGCTATTTAGATATTTCAATTTATTTTTAATCTATGTTTAAAGTATACGTTTCAAAATCAAGTTTCAATTCATCTTGACCTACCCCGTAAAAAAAACAATGAAGACTTCCTGAGATTTAAGTTTGTTCAGGTGCATGCCTATACACGCGCGTGAATAAAAATAACCATCGAAGGAACCATATCTACCTCATCCACAGTTTAAGAATCTGTGGTTTAAGGAATGAGTATACAAGTTATTTTCCTACCTGTTAAGACCCTTTCATGTTGTGAGCCATAAATCATGATCCTTATCTTGATGCGACGCCCAAATACTATTATTCTTTCACAATTTTACTACGAGTCGATCGATAAAAGAGATAGAGCGCCATCTGACATTTGACGATAATACTAATGTGAATTTGGCGTACAATTTATGAGCGTTACCAATTTGTACAGGGATTGTCTATCTATTGTTTGTTTAATCTATGCTATCAGCAATAACCTTTCTAAGGGAAAATAACGTGAGATCAATTGCTCAAAGTGCATCCCAAAAACTTGGTTTTCTGCAAGAACACCAATTTCTACATCATTTCCCTTCTCACGATGTTCTCTGAACATTACAAGATTTCCCTTTTCGTGGGAACCAGAACATTAAGAAAAAATCTGTTGTGTGTCTACTGTTGCAAGTACTAATAAATATATTTGTATTTGTATATTTGTATCATACCTTGACCGTGCCCCACGCGTCCGGTATGTCGACGTACTGCAACCTGGCGCGATTCTGGTCGTTGACGTAGAGCACCTGCGGCCGGCCGGGCAGCGATGTCGCCTCGATCGTCACCGACAGGCTGGAGATGTCGCGGATGCGCTGCGCCGACGTGTACTCGATGAGCGCCTTTGTGGCTTGGGCTGTGTCCGAGGTGGACGCCCAACCGCCGTCGGTCAGGCGCTGGGTGTTCAGCCATCTAAAGGGAAAGTTGTGTTACCGTTCAACTCTTTCGCTACTGTATTCTAGAGTCACTGGATGGTATTAGTTAGAGTTTCTAAATGTACTTGACACTGTTGTTTTGACGTTTTTTGTATATCAGAGTACGGACACACTATGACAAGCACTGACAATCAGACATAACCACAAATAAATTGATGAAAAGAGCAGGTACTGACAGTACAGGGACGTACATGACATAAATTTCAAAGGTTTGACAAATTGAGAGAATTAGGAGAAATACGCAAGTCTCTGCAGTTTCCAACTGTGAGAACACGAAAAATCAATTCATTCTATTCGAATCTCTATCGGATAACGTAATTCTACAATAATGGAAACAGAATATGATGCGGCCGGCACGGAATAAAGGTTCAGGCCAGAAAATTTGCGAGGTATTCAAATTTCTTGGTAGGATATAGAACATTTTACAGCGTATTTTTATCAGGTACTCTTCAGAACGGAAGATTTGATGTTGAAGAATAGGATCGTATTGAGAGAAAGAGCCGAACCCCCAATTTATAAACACGAACGCTTAACGAGTCCACCATTTATGTTAGGCGAAATATTTTAGGTATTGAAAATGATCTTTCGAGGACCGGGTTCAAACCAATGTGACCCTTTAGCAATGTGAACGGCGATCTATAGTGAGTCGAGCGCTGAAGTCCATTTATACCTACTTTCGTATGTCTTGGAGAACCTTTATTTTTTATCCTAACTTAGCAAACACTACCGCGTCATCACAAACAGTCGAATTTCTTCATTGCCCCGCGCAGCTCGAGTTTGTAGACATATATCTATCAAGAGCGGTTGTACAGGTGGGGGACTCGTAAACAATTGGCAACGCAGCCTCTGTCCGCAAGATAGGTATTATTCATTATTTCCATTTTAGCTTTTCTTTCTAGTAGCGTCAGTGGAAGCGTAGCTGAGATGGGAGCAGTGGCGTCGTTAGGAGCTTACACAAAATATTGTTTCGGTTGCCTTCTTCAGTGCTGATGTGCTATACCTAATTACTGAACACACGAAGTAGACAGTCGAGATGTTTTACTGAATTACTTAGCAAAAAAATTAATTGGGGAATTCACGGAAAAAACTCACTTCGCCTTGAAGTATCACTAGAAAGTAGATAATCTGAAAATTCACTAGTAAATGTTCAATAAGTGGGTATAAAACGAAGCTTTGATAATTAAAAAAAAAAAACGGACTTCACAGCTAGTAGCCAGATGAATTTCATTAGGTATTACTCTTTCTACCGGGTGGTTACAAGAACCGCGGGCAACCCCTGTAATTTTAATGCCGTTCGAGATAAAAATTTCAGGAACAGCCAGGTTCTCGTGGCCATTACAAAACGATTTTTCTTATTATATTTCATAATTTTGCATGGTCCTCAAGTGCTTCCTAGAACATTCTCTGATTTCCAAGCCTCTCGGTACTCTCGGATCTACCAAGCTCTGGCAAGAGGCAATTGAAATAAAATATTTTCAATTAGGGAACCATTTCATTTTCCCAGAAGTTATAATCTCTCTAAAAAAATATATTGATGATCTAAAATGTATGACGGAGGATATATGATCAATAGTTACCTCTTCTACAAGGCAACCTTTTGGACTCCATATAATGAAGAAACATTTTTCCCTTTTGCGTTATTGCTAATGGCCCTTGGACTTGAAAATAGTAATTATGTTTTCTATTCAGTACTAAGGTGTTGTTTTCGAGTTTGCCGAATTTGATCTTTTTCATCCTAATTCCCTCTTCTGGGCATATGTCCTTGATGTTGAAGGGACACTTTATCTCCACAATGGCATTTTCATCCACCAACCCATCAGAACTGGCACCCAAAAAATATTTTTTATCAATGAAAAATCCACTTTTCCTAACTTTAATATTGTTTTTGACTTCGAAATCTTCGATGGCAAAAGGTTCGTTCAATTTTCCATATTCGGTCGCTTTGCTGCCTTTGAATTTAGAATATAATAATCCCTTTATTGTATTAATGCTGCATGTGTTCGATTTCATTTCTCTTTTCTGGTAGTTCTTTCTCTTTCACTTCTTCGACCCATTTTTCTTTCCACAATTCTCAATTGATTCACTGTTAAAACACGAATGAGCAAGGAGCAAGCACCCAATACTTTATTTACCTACCCTACCCATTGAGGGATTAGGATTTCCAATGAATAATTATTGTTTTCAGGTACGCCTATGAAAACTATTGCATACAACCTAATCTACTAAATGCGACGGTCCGGACGGATTACCAAAATTGGTTACCAGAAAAAGACAGCAACACCTAATCTTGTCGATTATTAACAATATTCATTTCGCCCTAGGTAGGAAGCTTTTCCAACGTTGCCAATTGGGTCGAGGTTCGTTCGAGAGTTATAAAACGACATAGGTGGCAGCGCCAATCAGATACAAATGTCATGATCGTAGAATCGGTTTTTCGTGAAAACTATAGCTTTTTTGTGGAAAATGTTTGTTTTGATGGATTCAGAGGCCTCATCAAAGTTCCGGATCTTCATTATTTTTTTCATTCATCAATTTTTTTTTTTTGAAAATTATCACAATAAAAAACCAAGGAAGTTCCGGAATTTCGAAAAATGAAATGCATCAGTTGCTCTAAGAATTTTCTTTTTGAAAAAAAAAAACTGAACGCATAAAACCGATTCCCGTTTTATCAAGGTAGTGTTTGCTCTTAAATCAGCTGTTATTGTTTCCATATCATCTGTTCATTTATTAATAATTACTTATTACCTACCACTCCTGTACAAGTGAAATTGTTCCATACAATATAAAAGTATGTTTCATTGGTTGAAATTTATCAGTTTTCACCCCATTCTGAACTTTTGTGATAAAAAATATTCAACTGAACGTATATATATATACCTACATATAAGAGACTTATTTCATAGGAATAGTATATGTATTTCGTTGGTATATATGTACATACCAACTTGATATCGACCTCCATTGAGGTCCTTCAGCCTTATCATTCGATATTTCGAAATGAAATATTTTCAAATCAATTCATCGTACCCTTTTACCCACTCGAGGAGACGCTATGCACTCTCATACGAAAATCAAAGACAGAGAAAGATATATGGATGTACTCCTCCCAGGACTTGTGGAGGAAGGAAGATGCGAGGATCCTTTATCTAGGCTGAAAACATATTCTTGTCCTTGTCTGGCAAAACATATGATTTGCTTCAAAATCGTTAGTGGTTATGTTTGATTGTCACTGCTTGTATAGTGTCCGTATTCTAATATACAAAAAAACGTCAAAACAGCAGTGTCAAGTACATTTAGGAACTCTTCTTATAGCTAGTTCCTTATTATATGTAAAACTCTACCCGATTGTTGAAGTTTAAAACATGAAGATTGTGTTGATTTTACACCTTTTGCTGCATTAACTTTTCATAGATAAATTTTGAATTTGGTCGGTATTCAAAACGCCTTTCGATGATATTATATCACGTTGCAATTTACTTGATCTCCTCTGTTTCTTTCTCAAATTTTCAATTTCATTATGTAGTTTTGCAATCAATGATAATTTTGTTTTGCATTTCGTGTGATGATAATATTGAAATTTTTTCAATAGTGTGTTTTGTAAATCAATGAAACAGCAGATTCCCACAAACTTATTAATCTTGTGTTTGAAAATGGGCCTGAAATATAGTTCAATTTCAATCTGCTATTATAAGAAGTGAATTCAAATGTATGTACTTACCTCACAAATTTTACTTGTCTTCAAATTAATTTTCCATCCAGGTCGTTTCATAAGGGAATGGTTGATATTATTATTTCCTTTGGAAAATTGACAAAATGATATCGCCACACCTTTCAGAATTCCCGATATTCATTACAATTCTGACGTTCATAAAATTTATTGTCAAATTCAAACAATTTTGAATGAAAAAGCGCGGAACGACTATGATGCAGTTGTCACAATGCAAGGTGTGTAACTTAATGAATCTAAACATTCAAAAACACTAACAGTTGTCATTTCTGTGTCCGAACTCTTATCTAAGTAATACCATCCAGTGACTCCACTGTATTCAGTAGGCAAGTGGACTATTTTTTTATAAATAGATTGTATAGTACTCGTTCAGACGGCACCGGATGGGTATTATTCCATTATTCTCAAATACTATTTTTACTGAGATAAATGAACTCCTCCACAGAAAACGCCATTTGACGATGACGTGAGTCATTTTGTAGCTGTAAAACTACCTGTTCCTCAAAACCATACTTCATCTAGTATGCGACCGTCACAATTTCTGTATGATTGTTGGGTATTTGTCACACGAAAATTCGTAAGATTTGGTAAAATTTCGTCTGAAGAAACCACAATCAATAGAAAAAAAAAATCTATTCAGTATACTACAGGAAACACGAAATCATCAATGAAGGAAATTATTATTGTTGTTTATGTATATAAATAAACATTGATTTATCTAGCCAAAAAAAACACTTGAACTTTTTTAATTGGATACATTTCCTTACTAACTCAAACATTTTCCATCAGTAATTTCACTCGAAAAACTAACATTAGACAAAATTGCGAGTCCGTAGGTTGAGCAAATATTTCATTTCAATTTCTCACATATAGTTACTGATTGGCAAATGTTTTAGTTAGAAAGAGAAATTTATTCAATAAAAAAGCTCTTATGGTTTTACTATTGACACATACATTTGAGTACATATATTTAGACGATACTTGAACATTCCGAGTACGGTAAAACTTCGGATACATGTGTCATACAGTTTTGCTTCCGGACCCCGACTACAATAAACAGGAAAATTACCAAATCGGTCACTGATAGCACCTACATTTCAATGGGAAAGTTCAGACTAGCCTCTACAGATATTGTACGGGATACCAGAGGGAGGGTTGCAGGAGGTATACAAACACAAAGAGATAGGTCACCTCCACCATTAGTCTACTGTACGGCACTGTGATAAGCCGAGAACTAATTGACGTTAATAAAGAGTATTCACTAGTATCTAAACTATCTACCCGTGTGAATATTGACATTGAATTACAGATTCGTAAAAATGTCCAATTCAGTACCATCTGAACCATCTGGAAAACATACCATCTTGGATGCAAATTCATAAGTAGATTCTTAATTTCAACAAATCTTCATATATGTATATCTCCAAGAGATTATGTAATATTTCGAATAATGCAATATGTTTCAACAATTGTAGCAAAACTGATATAGAGTAGCATACAACCTTCCAATTTCATCCTTTTCATTTCTGGATTTGGCTTATCACCACCCCACGAGTACTGCACTGGAGCTAAATATTTCGGATTACTATGTGCCGTGTGGTACCTACGCCAGTTTTTATTTAGAGCGTCGAAAAAGTCTGTTCACTTTTTTCACGAAATTGTCGTTCTTCGTTATCCTAGTGAATCTCGATTCATTGTGTATCAGAGAGTGTCACTTACGATTATTAATTCCTTTTATACCCAGCGAAGTGTCTGATATTGAATAGACTGTTGTGGTTTCCAACTGCGCTGAGATACGTTTATTTGAGTAGCAGTGTGCCTGATCTGTCAGGTGAGTTGATGCTAATAACATCTTTATAAAAATTAAGTAGTGGACTCTGCTAAGTACCTATTTTTTTTTTCATTTAATTGTAAATCAGTCACGCAGCAAAATTTAAAGTTTTATCTGTCAGTTTGCAGATACCTAACAAGTTTGGAAAAAATGAAACTGGTTTGTCTGACTCGGCTTGTTTCTTTGGCCGCAAATATATACAGTGTGAACCCTAACCCAAAAACCCTGAGATTTAAAAGAGTTTCGCCGCATAATAGATTCACTAAATATTGTTGTTGTTGTTCTTTATTACCCCAAGAAACATATTTGTTTATAATAGAGATACATAAACATATAGTCCAAGTGAGGTCATCTTCAGTACTATACACTGTAATTTGAATTTTTCATTTTTTATCGGCCAGGATAAAATAATTGTATAATAATGGCGGTATCCAAAAGACAATACCAATTCACATGAAGCTTTGGAGGGTTACGGTCCTTTGTGATGAAAATTATAAACGAAAAGAAAAGAAAATCAATCCCTGATAAAAGCCACTCACCTAACAATATTGTCGACGAAGATTTCCTGCCGCTCGACGTAAACCAACAGCGCGTATGCCGTCGCCTCGATATTCTCCGAGTCGTACTCGTAAGGCAGCCGCGGCAGCAGGAACGGCTTCTGGTTCTCGATCTTGTAGGGCGGCTGCGGTATGGCGTCCCTGCCCCAGTACATCAGCCCGCCCTCCATGCGCGACCTTTTCGACAGCTCGATGAAGGCCGCCTCCGCGTTGGGCGCCTTCGCCTTCATCAGGGCGTACGCGACGATAGCCACCTCGAAGGGGCTGCCCTTCTCCTTGAGCAGCTCCATGTTGCGCTCGAGCCACTGGATGGCACGCTTCGAGGCGATCGCCACTTTCGAACTGAGACCACCTGAAGCCGAGATATCAGGCTTGATAACAATAGACAGACAGCGCAATCATAAATTAATTTTAAGAGAAAAAGAGAAAAATTAAGCAGCAATATACTCGTCGCCGACGAGGCGACTAGTATATTATATTGCTGCTTGCTTTTTATATGCCGCCTCTTAACTCGTCGCCTTTTGAAGCAAACGCGAAATTAGCGACCGCTGGCAGTCGGCATCGCATCAAATGGTCTAGGTTGGGATACATAACATTCACTAATAAAGCGTCAGCGGAGGGGTAATATGGTGATTCGTCCTACTCAATAATAAATAAGAAAACCAGAGTTCAATATTCAACAGGTTGTAGTTGGTAATGGTAAATATTGAAACTTGAATTTGAAAAAAGAAGGTGGTGCATTCTGGAAACGGCAGAAGATGATTAAACAAGAGAAGTTGGATCAAGTTGTCAAGAAATGCACAAAAATACTATTTTTTTTTCTCAGTTCAAATGAGACAGAATTAAAACTGACAGAACCGTCTATATATTTTTATACATTTGGTGAACGGATAATCTGAATTTTGAATCTGACAATTGAAATTTTTCATTTATTTTTTATTTAGCGACGGTATCGTAATAGTTATCCCCCGTCGTAAGTGGGTAGAAATCCGGCACTGTATGAACTAACAATCCGAAGCACCATACACGAATAAATGAATAGAATCGCGAATGGAGAGGATAGAGAGAATTGATATTCTTCAGATATATTTTATTTATATTGAGTTCCTGATGCAAGTGAAGCTGAATTTGGACTAGTTTGTGTGAAGAGACGTAAAGTTCTCTCCAAACAGCGACTAAAATGGCCCATCCAATCGCTAGGGATCATTAGTTCAAAGAAAACTGGACAGAATCAGTGATCCTCTTCCCAAATTGAATTGTTAGATTGAGTTGCATAAATAATGTGACAGACGATTAAATATTAAATTCTTGTTCGACAGCTCGATGAAGGCCGTCTCCGCGTTGGGCGCCTTCGCCTTCATCAAGGCGTACGCGACGATGGCCACATCGAAGGAGCTGCCCTTCTCCTTGAGCAACTCCATGTTGCGCTCGAGCCACTGGATGACGAGCTTCGAGGCGATCGCCACTTTCGAACTGAGACCACCTGAAGCACATGTCTCAGACTTGATAACATTACACAGACACCGCGATTCATTTATAAATTATTTGAAAGTACAAGCTAACGGTCCTAAACGCCAAACACGAATAAACGAATGCAATCGCGAATGGTGGGGATAACTCTGCGGAATCATTGTCATATATATTTTATTTGAAGCACAGAACCTCACAAGTGAGATAGAAAATGCGTACAAAATTGGAGAGATGAAATAGCGCAGTTTCAAGGGCCTCCCGCCTCAATGCGCATGTGCTCTGGTATATTGACATCCGACAGATTAGGGTCCCTTGATGGAAATTGACGTTAAAGTCATCTTAACAGGGTACGGACAGATCCTCGTCTCCTCTCACTCTGACGCGTTTGTGAAACAGTTATATAGCTCCATCATTATTCAATTCTGGGGATAAACACTAGATTTTTGACATTCGTTGTTTTTTAGGTTATATTGAGGTCACTGGCGTATCATACGTGATTTTCATATGGAATTCCTGATTCAACTATACCAAGATATAGATGAACAATCCTCTAGTTTCAGAGTTCACTACTTCAGCATAATCTTGTAGTAGGGAACATATAAATTGTACTGAAAGCTCAATATATCCCACCAAGAGAGATTGTTCCCAGACTGTAGACCAGCGGTTGACTGAATTGACTAAATGCATTCTGATTTCAAGCTGAACAGAAGTTAATCTATGAGCTGAGCTTTATGATTGAGAAATGGTGGAAACCTCGATATGGGGTTATCTGAATTACTGTACTCATGTCATGTGTGCTGGATATATTTTCGGAAATCCAATTCGGAGAAGAATTTATGGAGTAACAATGATGGAAGTAAGTTATGGTGTAATTACTGATGCGCTTTTGTTTCAGAAATTTTACTCGACCTCTCGAGTGCAGCGAGAGCAATGGTTCCGTTGATCTTCTAATAGATGGCGACATTGCACAATTATGACTTCTGTCAGTTTTGAGATTATCGCAGATTTTCCGAATCCAGAATTGTTAAATGCCACTGTTACATATGTTCCGCGTACCTAAAATGGCATTTGCCATTTTATTTTCACTCGTCACAGCAGCAATAGCAGCATCACTATCTAGCGGGAAAATGTTGAATCAACGTCTCGCTCGTTGTGAGGTAGAGAAATCATAGTAGGTCGGTCGAGTAATTTTTCTGAAATTTATGGAATATGTAATAATGGCCGAATGCGCACACCATATCTTACTTTAATTTACACTATGTATAAAACTTCGTCTGGGACGAAAAGTAGGCTGATAAAAAGTAATACGTGAAAAGTGCAGGAAAATAAAGAAAAGAATATACTTATGATTTTTCCGTCTCCCTTAAATAAAAAGTCATCTTCGAATAATTCATTGAATTCTCGAATTTTGACGAAACAATCATTATCTCCTACCCCGAAAACCCCTAAATACAAATTTTGATAAAATCGGATCATAATTACAAAACTCGATCGCCATATGATCTTCTTCAACAATTTAATATCCTGTACATACCTATTATTAGAATTTTGAATGATTTTCTGTAGCGCCCATGGATGTGACATGACAGCAATGTCAGGGATGCCAGTGGACAAAACCAAATTCTCTAGATCATTAAAAAAGAATGCAGCTATGATCTGTAAAGATGACTTTAACGTCAATTTCCATCAATGGACCCTACGACAGATGAATGTTCATTGTTTATTATTTCATTATTGCAAATGGTTACAATTGAGGTGCTTAGGGCGGGTTGTTCAGTCCATGAAAAAATCCGAACATAATTAATTTCTTCTTAGAAAAATTCTTCATGAGTAACTAAATTAATGGGAATGCAAAGAAAAAACTACCTTCTGGAAATTTTTTGTTTGAATGGAGGTGAAAATACACTCACAACCAACTCTCAACCTGCCTAGATATTTATTTATGAATACAACATCAGTAAAGTTGATTAGAAGTACCAATGCAATAAAAATGTGTACTTAATGCTTGTACTATTAAAGCTTCATCTATCTCCTGATGACAATTTTAACACTTGTAAAACAAATGTTTCACTGCATTCGGAAGGAAACTCCAACGAACATTATCTTGTCATCTAACCCTACTTTATGCTTCCATAATATAGTCATTTTTTGCAATTTGACGCCATACCAGTGATCAAATAACATCTCTCAAAATGAATTTATAGTTTGTTGATCATGCCCATTCCACCCCGATTGTTTTCAATTTTTTTTTTCTATTAAAATGTTATGAATATAAACAATCTTCTCCAGCACCAGTGATTTGAGTTTTTGAATCCATTACCTCGTGAATATATCAATAATAATGAGGGCCATTTCCTGAATGTAGGAAGTACAATTCTCAAATGGAAACAATGGAAACTAGTTGCAAATATTTCTACTTACTCGTCAAGTCTTTGACAGAATCCAATGTGATAAGGACATGAGCAGTCAAAGTAATGTTCCTGTGCCTGATGGGATCATTTTCGATGTTGAGAGTCGAATTGTATTTTCTGTCGGGTAGCCACGATTCCTCCCAGAAGGCCCCTTCGGGACCTTGATGTTTCAGAATCCATTCGACGGACTTCGCGATAACTACAGGATCGATGTAGATGTAATTTTCCCATTCGTAGAAACTGGCTTCCTGGAATACTCTTGCACAGTAAGCTGTAAGCCAAACTGACGAAGCTGATTGGTTCCTATAATCAAATAATCTATCAGTCAAACTATCATTAGGATAAACAATTTTGAATGATATTTGAATTAATCGGTTTTCACCGATGATTAGCCTAACCTCTTGACAGTTTGTGGTGGCAATATAAAACTTCTGTAATTCCAGATAACATTGCTACAGGGTGATAATTGATTGGGTGTGAAATTGCATCGTGGTATCCACCTTACCGTTTGAACAGATAATTTTTTTTTATTTTTTTTTTCACTTGTATCCTCCAAATTCAGAGCTTTGATGATCCTGTTATGTAAATTCATTCAAAATGATGCATTTTTTCAACGACTGATTGAATGAAATTGGAAGTTGGAATTCTTTTTTGAAGAATCAACGTTGAATGTAGTCTATTCAAAGTGATACAAGAAATACTGAATGATGGAATGGAGAATAGCGTAGTCTTCCGTAGATGAAACATGATTTTCTCTGTGTTACTAGTGAAATAATGGAGTGTTACTTCGTCATGAGGATGTATGGTGTCTGACATCGAAATGGTTTTGTAATTTCTCGGATCGAAGGTCATATAATGAATGTCATGTCATCCATATAGAGATCATAAAACATATCAATTATTTCAATCATTCATTCACTAAAACAAGGATCAGCTCACTCAGAGAATTACTAGAATAATAATTATACCTATACCAACTACATTTTAAATGTAATGTAATACATTATGGTTTATTTTTTACTGTTCCCTGTTATGAACATATACTTGAAAACGAAACGGAGTTTTTTTAGGTCGACAAAACCGGATTATGAAAAACTCTGAAACACGTTGTAGCGAAACCAATACGAGATTGCTATATTCCAGTCATTTCCCAAAATTAATTAGTTGTTTCTAGTTTTTGTCGAATACCGAAAGAAGCGAGCTCCCGTTTTTATAATAAAGTGAAAATTTCGAACGTTGTGGCTCTTGGGAGTGTTCAGTACGTAAAATATATCCAAGCTGATATCGTCAACCAAAAAGTTTTCCCCAATTTCGGAAGTGTTTTCCATTGACTGCACAGAATCTTTGTGTTCTCATATGTCCTGAAATATAATTATTTCAGCAATAGTGTGCCTGATCTGTCAGGTGAGTTACATCATTAAAATAAATTGCTTATAGTTTACTGGGCTCGATTATCTTTGCTACTTATTTGTCAATTGTATTCGGATCATGTCGTGGAAAAAAATGTTGTATTTGGTTTTCTGTCAGTTTTTAGACGCATGCTACGATTGGGTGGAAGTGGAATTAAAACGTGGTCTGTCCGACTTAGCGAGTTTTTCTTACCCAGAAACCACATATACAGTGTAGACCCATATAAACTACCCCTGAGATTAAGAGAGTTTCGCCGCAACGTCAACTACATTTTCAAGGGGGACATCGTTCTAAAATATCTTCAGCCCAGCGGCGTTGCCGCTTCTAACGAAAAGAATCACTTTGTTATTTCAAATGGAACACCTTGTATTTCATTGCATTTTTAGATTCTCCCCGAAGAGCTGATTTCATCAATGCATTTCGTTTTCAAAGGGCCACCCTGTATATCACACATAGGGTTTGTATACAGTGGGTCCGTTACATCAAGGATTCTCGTGGAGTAGTCAAAATGAAAACAAACAACTGATAATGTGAATCACAGAACTGATACCAGATGATTCACGATGGATGCAACATTAGATGTATCTGGGGAGCCGTTAGAGGAAGAATGCATTTTTGAAAATGTTAAATAAAGTATAACAAATTTACTCACGCTACCGGAATTTCAAAATGATACTTCCAACCGCAGAGCTTTTAACGGTTTACGAGATACGTCTAATCTTCTATTCACTGTGAAACACTCCGGATATTATGTAGTTTGGTAATCACAAAGCAAATATTGATTATTTATAGATATTTCTGAGAAATGATCGGATAGGTTGATTTTCTCTTATTCGAATAATGAGTTTCGAAATATACAGGGTGATATCTGAGAGTACAGTACAGATGATAGATATCTTACCAATCACTTCGGAAAGTACTAAAAGATCCATCAGGTTGCATGAACGACAACTGCCTCTGATAACCAATGTTCAGATGATAGAAAGCGTCTCGCTGAATAGTTCTGTTCTTCATTTGAGTGTACCTCATGTACAAGAGGGTGTACATGTTCACAGCGAATGAAAATATATTTTGCTCTCCTGAATCCTAAAACACAATAAAACCAATGAATGACAAATTCAAGCTAAACCCTCTCATTTTAATAGGCAAGAACACTCATTTCTAGTAAAAATACTATGACGATCTACACGATGAGAAAATGCATAGAGAATTTTTGAATTTTTTTTTATTCCTTTTAGATTTCTCAAAATAAATTCACAAAGAAATGCTCCCGTTAACATTTTTTTTTTGGATGTATGATAAATTGATGATTCATCATACAGATTCGTGATTAGGTTTTCTCAATTCAGAATTTCTTTCCACGTCCTGTATGATGAATATAAATTTATCATACATCCAAAAACAAATGCACAGATGACAGTGGTTATGTCAACAAATTATAATTCTCAGATGTCAGTTCGTTTAGTTTTAGTTATATTATAGGGAGATGAAAATTGTGTATATCATGAAGAATGGCTGAAAGAATAATTGGACTTCAGGTTACTGATGAGGATTTGATATCCGAAATGACTTTTATTGGAGTGAAGTCATATATCCTGTTTGTGAGAGATATAATTCCCATATCACTGATACGAATTTCTTTTTTTGAAGTTCCAAGCTCATCAAGATCAGAGTTCATACAAGTATACTTCTCCTATACATTTCAATTCTCATTTCAATGTTGAACATATTGGTAAGTTATATTTTTATATCATAATACATCATATTATTCTATTCGATTTGAGAGATAATGTCAATTCTCAATTACACAGGATTTTGATTTTTCATGCTCTCTTTTTGGATATTCAACAGATATAATTCAATGTTCGACGTGGCAAATAGCCAGGAAAGTAGTTGTTTTCTGTTGAATATTCAGAATGATATTATATGAAGGAGAATGCAAATTCTCTACTTCAGAAGATTCTGTTTTCAAATCCATATCGTGTGTTCAATAGATATAATTCAATGTTCATGGTGGCATATAGCCAGGAAAGTAGTTGTTTTCTGTTGAATAAACCGAGAAAGAATTAATATTTTCATCACATGGAGAATGCGAATTCTCAATGTATATCTTTATACATACATTTTTTTGTATTCATAAATATATCTGAGAATATTCCTTTTTCAATAAAATAGGATTAACTGAAAAAATCTATTTTGCTTTCTTTGGATTCAGAAAATCTTTTAATTTCAAAAATATAAGTGGAGATATGATGAAATACATGAATGACAACAACATTATAGGTCGCGTGCACGATGACCGACCCTGGAGGCAAAATATTGAAACACAACCTCATTCTTCTGTGAATTATTGAAACACAACCTCACTTTTTTATTTGGTTACAGAGGAATCAAAGGATTGAAATAGTTTTTCACAATATTTTGGCATACGAATCGTGTTTCTTGCGTTATTCATTAATTCAAGCATGCCTTCGCATTGTGCTGTTGTACAATGCACAAAAAATGCAGCAAGAGACTAGGGAAAATGATTTTTCAGGTAAATAGTAATCTCACATAGTTATCATTATGATATGTTGTCATTCCTTATTAAAATTCCTTCTGCCTTCTGCCACTTCTGCAATACAAGCTACTACTGCTAATAGATTGAAAATGTCTACAACACACACGATCTTCAGCATGTCAGACCAGTCCACCCGATTGATTGCATGAATCCAATCTTCTTGCATTAGGTATTCTAGAAATTTCAGGTATATTTCTATTAGCTCTTATTGCAGAAGGAATTCCGATGAGAAATCAGAGAAATAACCAAATTTCAAAAATGAAAACTATATGTAAAAATTTTGTAAAATTTGTATATCGCTACTTCAAAGTTGGGAACCAACTCCCCAGAAGTCGAAACTTGTGCGGGGTTAGGAAGAGCGGGACCTACAGCTTATAGTGGAATCCGAACCACTTCTAGGGCATCGAGGTGCTGCCAGGATTACAACCATGAATCACACATTTTAAAGAAAAATGCTCAGCCGACAGCCGGATTCGAACCGACAGTACCTCTGCATCGTGAACGGCTATCTAGCGAATTTCAGCGCATAGACAAACTCGGCCACGGAGCCCAATATGTGAGTGACTATAGTAGGTCGTACTTACTTTTAAATCATAATGTACCATCCGGATTCCTTCATCAGTTTTTGTGCATTTTACAACAGCACAATGTGATGGCATGAGCGAATTGATGAATAGCGGAAAAATACGATTCATATGCCAAAATAATTGTGGAAAACTATTTCGATCACTTGTAAACAAATAAGAAAAGTGACGTTGTGTTTCAATGTTTTGCTTCCAGCGTCGGTCATCTGACAGTTCTTGCACGCAACCCATAGAATTATTTGGAGGACCTCATCAAATGGTGCATTTTAGCTTTGGATATTGATTGTCTTTATTACCCCAAGAAACATAGTTGTTTATAATAGGGATACATAAACAATATACATAATGTTATACATACAATTATGAAATTATAATAAGATATAACAAGTTAAAAAAAAAATGCAAATAATCATGCAATATCAACCTAGTCTTTTATAAGTAGGTATTCAAATAAGAAATGGAATTATCAAAGTCTCTGAAGCAGATATTTTTTTAAGTTAATTTTGAATCTAGTTGCTTCCTGTATATTCCTCAAATGACTTGGTAATGAGAAACTATTGGCGCATATCGGTAGATTCGGTCAATAAGAGCTGGGGTTTCAATAAAGTTTGTTTTGTTATTGAAAGAAAGTGTTTGGGATAATATTAAATAAAGGATGTTGCATCAAATACAATTTTTATACCTACAAAGTGGTACATTTTTAGTCAAAATCACTTACCATAGGAAGTTGTAACAGTGATGTGGCATTGACCGGCATAGTGGGGAAAACAGCGCCGACGACGTCACCCACAATGGAGATTCTCGCTTTGTTAGACCCATACACGTAGTAACGGTCGTATTCGTACGGAATGATGGGAACTTCAGTGACATTGACGTGCATGTATTGGAAGGCATATGCCCTGTTACTCAAATCGAGGAGCATCGACTGATGCCTGTGTTGCGGCAAACCATCCGACTAAAAAATTGATAATTCCGATTTGAAATAGTGTCTTGTATCTTCTAGAGAATCAAGCGGAAGTTTCTAGAAAATATCATTTGTTCGATTTAGTGTGGCTTCTTTCCCTTGGATCTATTCGAAAGCATTTGGAACTGTCAATCATTAACAATCTACTCGATGATTTATATTCAATAGAAATAAGAGATATGATTCATGATTGGTCAACTCATTATTCAACAAACAGAAAACATAATGTGACAGGATGTTGAAGTAAATGATACTTGTGGTTCACTTGTGACTATTACATTCAGTGCACCAAATGAATCAGTTCTGATCTATAAATCCAGAGATTTAAATGATATGGAACATTATATCAAAAGTGATTGAAAAACATTTCAAGTATATTTCAAAGACATTTTGTAAGATTGAATGCTATGTCTCCAGGTCTATATATTGATGATAAATTATTGTGGAAATAACATATAGATCATTTAATTCAATCATTGGCATTTTGCTCAGAATCCGAAATATCGTCCATGTAAAATATTCGAAGTATATTCATTTCTGTATCATATATTCAAGTATTTAATTTATATTTGGTGAAGTACTGATACTTCACGTCTGAAACCACTAATGAAATTACAAAATAAAATTCTCCACTGCATTTTTGATCTACATTTTCTACAACCAACGATAAATTTAGATCTACAAATCTTATAAGTTTGTTTTAATTTTATAAACTCAAAATATATTGTTTCATTCATTTTGCAAGGAATATATTGAAAATATCAAACTTAGCTTTGGATGGAGTCTATGTACATAGTTATGAAACTAGACAACTGAATTTAATAGGTTCTAGTTTTCATAACATATTAAAAATATTAAGCACCGATGAAGGATTAGAATTTCGTCCTATTGACAGTTCAACATTCGAAAACGCCAGCACATTTCCTTAATTTCACAAATTTTCTATCTCTAGAACTAGCTTGAAACATTATATATTGAAAATGACAGACAGTAACTTACTTCAACATGTAATTTTCTTGTAATCTGGTCTGTTCCTATGAGTGTCGAAGCATGAATACTAACTTCGATATCCCCAAGTCTGGTTGGGACGATAGGTATATAAACCACAGCTGCATCTTGGGACTAGAATGAAAAAAACATATCATTTGTCTGAATACGTCAAAATGAGTGGAAGATACAACTATAAAATATATACGACTTTCTTCAAACACAATGCCTAATGCCTATCTAGAGTAAAATGATGATAATATTGCTGATTTTAGGGTTCCAAAATATTGGGCGATATTTGTACAAGACAAATTCTTACTGTTTTTGTCATTTTGGTGGATTGTTCAATAAGATTTGACAATCAACTTTGACTAAAAATATGCTATCAGTTAGAGCAAGTATTCAGAATGTCCTCCGCTTTCACGACTACACAATGTTATCCTTTTTTCATAAGAATGCATCATTCATCTTAACGGTTGAGGATCAGCTGTTAGGGTCATTGAAGTGACTATCGCAAATCTTAACCTGAATTTGACCAAACTTTGTGGTCCATGTTTTTAGTCAAATAATTTTGATTTTATTCTTATGAATCTCTGTTTAACCAATAACATTATCTTTGAAATATTTTTGGTTTTCAATAAATCGGTAATACAATTTTTATGTTATAAAACTTACTTTATACCGTCATCAGTTATTACTTCAGGCAACTTCATATAAAAATATTCAGAAACCGGTACACAGTAACGAGTTTTACCAAGAGTACCTTTTTGGTGTGAAATTAAATGACGTTCAAGTTCACATAAAATTCTGATTAGAAAATATAACTAACTAGCGCTTTCTATGAGAATCAGATATAAAAACAAATCAATCGGATGTGTCAGATTCCAACATATTCATACGTAATTTCATTACAATGTTGCCAGTAATCGTAAAAAATGTGTAATCTTATACTAGTATTTTCTTACGGAATACAACTCTAGCTCCAATTAAAAACAGGAAATTTCTCGAACACGAATATTAAGATAATTCTCCCTGGTCTTGGACTCGGAAAAATTTTCAAAATATTCGTTCCGATTATAATTGATGCTCTCGTGCTAATAATTACTAGCTTCATAACAGTATAAATTCTTCTAGATGCAGTCCGACACCGGTCAATACATTGCAATTCGTTGAAGAAAATGTCTTACCTTGATAAACCTGGAACCTCAAGACTGAGAGAATCTAGGAAAATTTCGTGAATCGATTGTCAGTTAATAATAATACTAATAATATAAGTTTATTCAAAAACGTTTACAAAATATACATTGGAATAAACATACAAATAGAAGCTCTGAGGGAGCAGAAGAACGATCTAGCCTTCAGAGCCATCTAATAGCTCAAGTACTTACCTTAATGAATATGAAAAATTGATGTTCTCCAAACGACGTCCGCGGGTTGTAGGCTCTAACAATACCATTCTCTTCGACATGCACGAATTTGTAATCCGGTGATCCATTGAGAATCACCGTAGCTTCCATATCATCGGTCATGTAGTTGAAGACCGACACTCGTATACCCACTTGTTCTCCTTGCATGCATACGTTGGGCATTTCCACGTTTATGAAGAAAGGAAGCACCCCGAGGTACTGGAAAAAATAAAAGTTCAGTCTCATCAGCCTCAATTTTAGGGTGAGGTACAGGCGGGACAATTCAAGCACTGGTTAGGTTGGAGGTTATGTCAACTGGCAATCTTTGTTTGTTCAACAATTTGAAATTCATTGATGTTTTCGAAAAAGAGTTGAGCAACTACTACACTGCCAAAGTGTTCGAGGTCCACGAAAAAAATGTATATGCACATTATTAAAAATACTACTTAATGTGTCTCGCACCCTTCGAGAACATCTGTTATAAGCGCACGGCATAAAAGGTACGTTCTAACCTCACTTTCTGATTATTATGTGTTCTTGTAAGGTTCTTTTGCCTCCTTAGTGTCGTGTAAAATGCACTAAACTATTCATCAGCTGCATCAGCTACAGCAACGAATTTTCAAGAAAAAAGGGAATGTGCAATTTGAATCTGAAATTGTGATATTTTGAGTCATCATCTGTTCTTGAATTTGAGTGCAATTCAAAACTACCTTAAACCAGGTGGAGATAAACTACACTGGTGTGAAATGCACTTCTGCAAAGGATACTCAAATACATTATGGATTACAGGAAGTGTACGAAAGAAAGGACTTATATTGTCATGAAAATGACAGATGACTGAGAAAACTTCAAACCACACTAGCGCCACCACTTTTATCAATGAATCCAATTGGAAGATACGAAGGTGTCAAATGAATTATTTATTGGGCAAAAATGATTACTGAAGTAATTCAATCAATAAATAAGTTTTATTAGTAATTTTCATACAACTGTGAAGTTTGTGAAATTATAATACATACGTATTTTTAATATTTTTTGTAAAATCAAATTTCACTTGAGAAAAATTTTCATAAATCTCTTATTTGCTGGATGAAGTTGATTGCTAATAAAGATTCATTATGATATTTTGCAATGTCTATAATTTTTCACTTTCGTTAGATTACAAGACGAGAATCATAACATGTCAGTTTCTAGGAAAGTTGCAGATTGCAGTGGTTATGTATGTTTTTGTTTACCAGTTTTACTTGTGTCGATTTTTGATCGCCAGTTATGTGTTAGCCAATGTCTATAGAGTTTATAGTTGTTATGTTAGTTAGGTGAGCATCGCTATTTTTCATGATATAAACATCAACAATGACGCTAAGTTGTCGTCTTCTTCAACTTTTTTCATTCGTTAGCTATTCGCTAGCTAAATTGGTCATCATCAGCTGAATTCAGACTAGATTCAGAATGTACGTCATAGTTTGCCGCCCCAAAAATTGGAAATTGCTTTAGTTTGGACATTAAACTGAGGAGTTTCTTTAACGTCGGCCTTTTTCTGCTACTGAGGCTTATCACCGACGCCGGTGAGCACACTACCCACAACCGGAAATTTTGCCGAATCCTCTGGTGTTCCAACCCGAGTCAACATCCATGGCCTTGGGACCGCCGGCTTAACGCCCCATCCGTACAATATCTTGTGCTCTCGATATGCTACCTGAAGCTATGATATGCTATTTCGCTATAGATGTGCGGGCTTACACGGCATTTCCTCGAATGGTCAACCATCCAAGTACTAACCGCGATGCCCTTTTTTTCGATTGACATAAATTTCGTATAAATTGGTAATGCGCATGCGGTGTCCTTTGCGACTCTCGTGACCCTGCTTTTGAGTAGGGTCACGAAAAATCAACCCGAGTCAGTGATCGAGTTAGCAACACTCAAGTTTCCGAACAGAGGTAGGTGACTCGGTTTAGGTAACCGAACGTTCAGGTTAGGGATCCGATCAAGTTTTCGAAAACGCCTTAGTATGTATCGAAATATAGACAGAGAAACATTGAATAGATATAATATTGATGAGTTTAGTTGATCTGAACTTATCCAACAGTGCTTTGCACTGATGTTTGCATGTTTTTGAAAATCTAAACTTAACACTTGGACATCTTCATCGGTATCTGTTTTAATATTGAAGTGTTATGTGGAATAAACATACAAGGAATACACAGTCTTCATTTGAGGCCAATAATGCTTGATTCTTGGGAAAAAAATGTGGCTTATGCAAATTAAGAATATATCTCACCTCGATGGCTTTACTGATCATTCCGAAACCGAGAGACGGGCTCATCGAAAATGCAGATATCATCCAGTGTACCGGTCTCGCTGGTACGGGAACATTGAAAATGTATCTGCCGTGAGGGCCAATATTGACATCCTTCCATAACCAAACATTCTCGTACTGCCGTTGTATTCTGTTGAATCTGTATTTCCTGAACAGCTGAAGTTCTGTAGCATTATGATATTTACCTGAAAAGGGAACAAGGTTGTAATTTATTATGTTGTTCTACTTATGAACAATTGTTATTTATTTTAGTGATCTGTTAATAAAACTATTAATTATTAACATTAGCTTTATTACTCAAAAATCCATTTCAGCGGCCTCCGCCACACCCTAACAACCTAACAACATAACAAATAACAAAAGCACCATCCCCGTCCATCGCACACTGCGCATGACATCTTTTATGTATGTCTAGTTGCATACCTAACATCTCCTTTTTTTTCTTTTTTATTATTACATTATAAATTCAACACATTCTTAAAACCTACGAATATCCGAAACCGAAATCATAAGTTTAACCTGGACGGAGCCTTTACTAATCTACCCTTACTAGTAACAATTGGGTTTTCATACTGTTCCTCCTCCCTATCTGTACTGTGTGTTTCTCTTTCAGATTCAGACTCTGTCTCTCTAATCTCACTGTCACTTATGTCTATTTCCACAGAATTATCTAAGTTGTTGCCTTGGTCACTTTCGCTATCACTCAACTCTAAATAACACTTTTTACCTACTCCTTTTTCCTTTTTCTCATAAAAAGATTTCAAAGCATTATTCCTATCTTCTACCTTTTTATCTATATTGCTATCTGGAGGAACAGTTTTTATATAAATCCTATTTCTAATGTACACAGGCCCATTATCAGTTTTAACTCTATATGACCTATCTCTAAGCTTTTCAAGAACTCTTCCTGGCAACCAAATGCCTTTTGGCTTTAACTGTATGACCACTTTACTATCAGGTAAAATCTCTGGCAATTCTTTTACGCCTGGTTTATTGTAACTTTTATACTGTGCCTGATGAGTTTTTTCCAAAAACTTAGAATACATTTGGTTATCTACTACAAAAGGTTTCAAGGTTTGCTCAGTTACAGGAATAGTTGTTCTTAAATTCCTTGACATCAACAAATTAGCTGGGGATAGGTTTTCCACAACCGACATATTTCTATAATAAAGTAAAGCTAAGTATATGTCTTTGTGTTCTTCTAGAACTTTTTTGAACATGTTTTTTGCTGTTTGGACATTTCTCTCAGCCATGCCATTTGATTTGGCATAGGTGGGAGAACTAATAATATGTGAAAATTCCCACTCTTTACTAAATGTTTTGAATACTTCTGACGTAAACTGAGGTCCACCATCTGAAATAACAACTCTAGGGATACCATGTCTAGCAAACATCGACTTCATGATTTGAACTATGGTTGCACTGTATGTGTCACCAGTTATTTTTTCAATCTCTATGTACTTGGAGTAGTAATCAATTAATATTAGATATTTTTCACCATACAGTTCAAACAGGTCACACCCTACTTTATTCCATGGCAATAATGGTATGTTATGACATATTAGTGGTTCTGGTGTTTGTGATTTAGCAAATTTTTGGCATGTGTAGCACGACTCTATCACTTTTTCAAGTGTCAGGGTATCATCTTGAAGAAGTTTTTCTCTCAGCTCGTTGCTCCTCACACCACAGATGATCATGCACTTGATCAACCCATCCTCCAGGTTATCAAACTTACATTTTTGTGCTTGCTCCTTCAGAGAAGTAATAAATTGCTCAAGGGTCTGTCCTAACTGCTGCCTGCGAGTGAAAAAGATGTATCTCTCGTATGAAAGATTCACTTTGGGCTTAAAATGAGCCTCAAATTTATTCAACAAGGGTTGTAATTTATCTTTTTCCTCTTCTGGAAATGTAAAGGTACTGTATATCTTGAAACCTTCTTTGCCTAGATAGTGCAACAGCTGGGCACACTGTACCTCCTCGGACTTTCTTGTTACCTCTGAGGCTTTGAGATAATTCTCAAATCTGCGTCGCCAAAACAGCCAATTCTCTGCTACATTGCCTTGCATTCGCATTGGACTTATTCCTCTGCTGTCACCCATGGTATTTAGCTTATTTTCCTTACTTACCTTATTTTATATTTCTAATTACGTACTTAGAAAAGTTTGGGGCACATGGTTTTTCACCTCCAATTTCTTTCTTCTCAATCAGATTCTTTCACCGACTGCGCCATGTAATTTATTATGTTGTTCTACTTATGAACAATTGTTATTTATTTTAGTGATCTGTTAATAAAACTATTAATTATTAACATTAGCTTTATTACTCAAAAATCCATTTCAGCGGCCTCCGCCACACCCTAACAACCTAACAACATAACAAATAACAAAAGCACCATCCCCGTCCATCGCACACTGCGCATGACATCTTTTATGTATGTCTAGTTGCATACCTAACAAAGGTGACGAGGTTCAAGATATTGAATTGTCGGAACAGTTTAGCAATGAGAATAAAGAATCAAAATGACGGAGAGTTCTCATGTGAAAGTATATCCCTATTAACTAAAAAGAAAGCGTTAAAAACCAAAGGGAAGCATTGACATTTGTTTTGATCAATTGATATTGGAACAACAGTATACCTTCCTAATATGACATGTCGTTAGGGTTGAAGTTTTCTTAGTGGAAAGATAATCACATAAACACATTTAATTCTTGTATTATTCGATCGAATCCTGATAATAAATATGAATTCAGAGTATACTTCGAATTTGGCTCCATATTCTCTAAGATACCCAGTGTGAACATTCCATCAGAGGCTGGGCCACATAGTATTTCATTACTTAGAATAGCTGTAGATAATAAACCTGGATTTGGACAGACAATTGTAATTGAGCGACAAAATCCACTTAAACTGGTGTTTCATAGAATATCCATAAAATACTAACACGGACTAGAACGCGCATCTGAGACGTGAGGTCTTGCATAACATATGTATACTTAGCGATGTGTAATGAGATATCCGCTCAAACCGATAAACGGCCGGAAAGTATCCAAGTCGCTTTGGTGCCAAAGTAGCTTTGGACGCTTTCGAGAAATTTCAAATTTACCGATTTAAAAAATAACCTAAAAATAACACAAGGCATATGGCGGTTGTTTCTCACTGTTGTTTTTACTATAATAACTGGCTAAGGCGAAGGCGAAGATAATTGATAGCATGTATAAATATGCAATAATCAAATAGGTGTAGAGGCAACATGAATGAATTTTGCTGTTTGAGTTTGTTTCAGTTCCATAGATATGTTGTTTTATTCATCTATGAATTCTTATTTTTATATTTTCTTTTCATTACCTGAATGTTTCCTTTTTTCTTTATTTAATCTTTGTGAAAACAAAAACAAAAGATCATGCATTTTTATTTTCCGTTATTGCTTAGTTAGTCATCCTTGTTAGAAGATGAAGCAATACATTATACGTTCGTACAAGGCAGTTTTGATGGAATTGATTAGTGAATGAAATATACTGAAGGGAATATTAGTATTACCGACAATATCAACTCATTCAATTAAAACTGACTTGAAAATGTAATTTGAATCATGTATTTGGTATGGAAAGAAAGCGTACTGCTTTCCCCATCCATTTCCAAGATAAAGGAGTTCAAATTGAATGCCAAATTTAATGAAAATGTCGGTCGAAAATGAAAGCGCCGGGAGTTAACCCATCTCAGACCACCCTGTATTTGTCCCAATTAAATGTCAGTAGATGGAAATACAATAGTTGAGATAGGGACATGTAAGCCGTTTTGACTGTTTTGACCAATTATCAATAGTTTCGACACAAAAGTCCTAAAGTTGAAAAACCTTGATTTTCAATCAATCAATCAATCAAAAATATACTTTATTGTCGAAGATTTCAATCTTATTGACAAAGCATGTTTCAGTAAATTATATAATATAGAACATAACAGATGCAAACGAATACAATTAAAATAAGAGACATGTTAAAAGGAAACAATATATATATCACCAAAATGAAATTTTGGAGAGTTGTCAACTTGCAACTATCTCATATAGATAATACAATTAGAATCAGAATCACATTTTTCGCACGATATCACATTGTTAAAAATCATAACAGATTAAAATATATTAAAATATAACACAATTATAGAAATGGAAATTACAATAGAAACTAGAGTATGTCATTGTAATACTCCTGCAGGTTATAGTAAGCCCTCTGTAAAAGTATATCTTTCACTTTTTTTTTTAACTTCTTTGGGCAAGGTATATTTCTGTAAGCTATTGAACACCCTTTACCTCTATAATCATTCCCGCTAGACCCCCAAGTGTAATACATTGATGAAATCAGCTCTTCAGGGAGAATATAAAAATGCAATAATATATAGGGTGTTTCAATTAAAAAAGAAGTTGATGTCACTTCCGGTTCAGCTGAAATTTCAGATTGATGTGTCTTTTTGTTCTCAATGAACATCTAATTAATTAGGAACCAGGCTGTAGTTTTAATATTGTATGATATAATTGGACTTTGCATAGTATGGAATATGGAGGCATTCTGGTAGGATCCAGAAAAATTTTAAACAAACAATATTCCTATCATAATTCGATATATTACTTACACCCAGCTTCATCCGTTCCATCTTCACAGTCCCTGTAATAATCACAACGTTTCCTCATCAAGTAGCATTGCCCGTTCAAACACTCCCCATAACCTTGACTGGCATTACAGCGAAGAGGCTTCCTGGGCAAAACAAAGTCGCTGAACACCACCAAACCGGCATATTCGAATGTCCGGTTAGCGTCAATACCTACATAAATTAAATTGAAAAATCAAAGCCTTTCCTAGAAATTTTCACTACAATGAAATAGTAGATTGTTTTATTACCATCAAGTGTGACACTTAGTTTGACAAGCGAATTTTGCATTTGCGAGGCAGAGCGTCTAGCAAAGCCGAGCGAAAGCAAAATTTCCGAGTCAAACAAAGTCACTTTTCGAGAAAATTCGATAATTTTTTTAAATTTACCAGCCTGTATCTCAGAAATGGAGCGATTCAGGACTCAGGTAAGGCTACAAATCGGCTTATTTAGACCTCAGGAATATGTGCTAGAATTCTGTCCAGGTCTTTTGGGGACACCTTGTACTTACAAGAACATGAAAAGAAGTCATTCCGGCCCTGATACAAATGTATTCTTCATTTTTTTTTTTAGGTCACAAGAGTAACTAACCTCAGATTTTTGATAATTATTATACAGGGTGAGTTATTCTCACAATAACTCAACATAGGAAAAAAATAATATTCCTTTCCTGTTATTGGTTTTGTGCAGAGGGCTACTTGTTGAAGCTTTTGAGTTCAATTCATGTACCAAATTTGAACCCAATCGGGTAATCCCTGTATTCAATATGGCGGATAGAATTTTATGTCAAAATCCATGAATCACTCTGTATGTCAGTAACGAAGCGGTTTTGGACATTTGTATATGGCATTTTGCAATCATATTGACAGTCCCTATGACCCTATGAATTTTGTCGGTTTTATCTCCGGACACCCTGTATATATGCCAGTGAAGTGCTAGGGTGACAACATTTTGTATTGTACTGTAGTATACTGTCTATATAAATACTTCTCTTTGTGTGTTATATTATTCGCCATAGAAAATAAGCGTACGCCACCTATCGGAGTTCTCGAAAGCTGTCAAAGCGTCATGTTCACTTTGTTTTCATTGCTTCACATTTGTTTTTTGTTTGTTTTCATTGGTCATATCATCGAAACAAACCGCTCAGAAGTGTCCAAGTTGCTGCCGTCAGGTGGGGCGACGTGTTATTTTCTATCGCGAATAGAAGTAAAGTTTTTGAAAATTTGTTTTTAAACTGTAACAAATCTTTGTCCTTGACATTTTTAATCTGTAAAATATTGTTTTTTTTTCGACGTATTATCAATTTATTATAATATGGCGTAGAACAAAAGATAGGGCGTCGACGAGGAGTTTGGCTTGAAGCTCACATCATCAACGAACTCCTTTGTGGAGATGGGCCTGATGTTTTCATCGTTGAACTTAAGCCACATGTCTTCGCCTTCAGAGGAGGAGAGTAAATCTTCTGGCTGCTCCAACATAGGAGGTTGAAATTTTTTTCCACCGGAGAGATCATCAGCAGTTCGTATTACTGCTGATTCTACATATTTCTCTTCCAAAGTTTTACCTACATCGTGCCTACATCATGACTTGTCACAAACATCTCAAAATTTGTAAAGTGATCGAATAAATCTATTCTTTTCTATTCAATTCTGAGGGTATTATAGGCTTTGTGAAGGTGGTTCATTATTCGCTCGAATGTAAGATATCATTAAAAACTAATAATATTATTACCGTAAGTGTTCGAAGGGAAGTAAACCAATTCATCGGGGTTGCCCTCGTGCGAGAACCAGTCGTGTTGAAGGGTGCCGTTCGTCTGTTCATCGAAGGTAGACATTTTCGAGATCACTTTGGAGTAGGTCAATTCGTTGCCGGCTTGCATCGTGTAGAAAGCCCTATCTATTCCGGAGAGGCCCACATAGGAGCCCGGTTCTCCGTAGATGGCGACCTCGACTTTATGGCCTGTGCGTGCTTTTTTGTTGTTGATGAACACTTTGAACTGCAAAACAATAATCAATTTTAGAAATCACTAAAATTTTCATCAGATTTCAAGATGTCAAAATATGAATCCATCTAGGCCAAGATGCCTGTTTTTTTCAGTGATTGATAACAGGCTGAATTTTCGTGAGTAGGTTTCGTTCACGATACGCACAAGTTTTTCCTCTGTAAAAAGTCTCGATGTCGCACCTGGACGGTGTCAGCTTTCTAAATCACCACTGTAATAAGAACGCCTACACCATCCATATATAGCTGGGCAGTACACTAGTCTTCAGAAAACATGACGATCTGGTGGAGTGTCGAATTGTCTAACAGTCAGTTTTTTATAGAAAGGATAATATGTCGAAAAAACGAGATTTTTTGTATACATCTCTTCAAATATTGTTATAATGAAATGGCCGAATAGTCCTACAAATTTAGTGGGTATATGTTTTCCAGTATGTGTTGTAATCATAAAACATGCTGCAATTGAAATAGTATTCATGAAGTGATGTGAATATTGTTTGAAAGTGGTTTCGAAAGAATTCAGAGTTTCTCAAATAAACATGGAAAACATCACGTTTTGACGTGAATCACAATTTCAAAGAGCAAATCAAATGCCAATGATTTTCAATCTCTATAAATTAACCATCCAGTCATAAACGACATGAGAACTTGAGGAACAGATTATTGGTACTTAACCAATATACAGGATGACCAAAGATGATCAACAAAAAACTAAGAGATTGTTTTCACTTGGAAATTGATGCAACAACCACAATTAATTCTTGACAAAAATCTGCCTGTGTGAATACCAGATGAATGAATACTAGATGGTGCCGAGAGACAAAAGGAAATCAGCTGTTTATTTTAAAAATAACAGATAGGTACATGTCAGCATATTATATGTATAATATTAATGAACTTTTTTTTTATGAAATGGTTAGGTTAAAATTCCGCAACCATGCGAGTGGGTCAGTTTTGAATGTTGGATGTCTTCTCGAGGAAACCAAAAGAAAAAAATTCTCAAAATGTGAGAAAGTGCCCTCTAGTGGGCACTTTCGATGTTCCAAATTTCAGAAATTTAGCTAGAACAACAAAGGAGGAAAGGGGGATAAGCCACGAGTCTGTGTCACCAGGTATTTTTAGATTTTTTGTGAATACCAACTCACTTCAGCTCATTTTCTCATTTTCAAGATCAACAATTATGCTTTGGAAACAACCATGGGAGTTATCTTGGAATCAAGTTCATGTGGAACTACAATTCGAAGAGAATCAGTAGTAATTGGAAAAAATATTATATAAAACAAATTCTAATGCCCTTTCACATGGTTAATTGAGGGTTCTAGAAAACAAAAGACTGTTGGAATAATTTTGAAACTAGTTTTTCATTTATGAAAACAGTAGCTCACCTTATTGCGACTTATTCCATTCACAGGGAACGTCAAGCTATCAACTTGTAGATCTCCATATCTTCCGACATGCCAAACCACGATGGTGGCCACAGGGGCCATTTCAGCGCTCAAAGCAATGGCCATTGTGCTGACGTAATCACCCATATCTTGATCGCCCGTCAACAATACGATTCCTTTGGAAATTATGAGGTAATTGTACTTTTCGATGAAGTAGTTGCTTCTGATGTGGAATATCATGTATTCTCCAACCTACAATTGAAATGCAGAATGCTCCAAAACGTTAACAAGTCAAACGGTTTGCAGCCTAATGCTACTAAATTCATTTTTAAAATTTCATATTCATCAGGATCTATAATGATTGTAGAGTTGAATAGTTTTTAAAATATGCTTTCTTCTGTAAGCATAAATAGGAGAACAACGGGAAATGAAAATATTATTGATACTAGATGGACAAATAACTGAAATGGGATAGTTATCGTAAAATATATCAAATCCAACATAACATAACTTCTCTCTGTCAAAAACTGCACTTACTGTAGGGAAAAGTCTGTTCTGAATACCGTATTCATATGAAGGATTTGAGGGAGAGGTGGTGACACTACAGACATGTTACTGTGAAAATGATATAAGTAGGTAAGGCTTATTGTCATACCAATATGGCAAACTTTTCATGTCTAGAATCAAGATGTAACAAATATTTCAGGACAAAGGTTTTGAATATACTTAAGAAACTCATTACGTTTCCTGGATTTCTAAAACATGAACCTATGAAATTATGTCCATAATATTCCTTTTTTAACACTAACTAGGTTGCTAAAGGCTCAAAGTACACATCAAGCCATTGTTAGGTATGAAAGCAACTTGTTTAAATGTTAAATAAAACTTCTTCAAATGAGCACACAAAACAGGTAACTTATTGAATCTGGATTCCATAACCTAACAAAGTCAGAATGCGACAACTCTGTGTTGAGAAGATAAAGAACATAAGAACATATTTACTATATTTTCTTCTGCATATATTATATTTATTAACATCATAAACTTTTCTTCAAACGTCAAAATGAAATTGCAGTTTGTAGTAATCGCATCTGTTTCAAGTGAAATTGTCTGTATTAAAATTTTTCTGTAATCAAAGTAACAGTATCATGGTATTCAAAACAGACTTAGTACACAAAGCATGTTTTTTAGACATTGCAGAAAATCACAATTGTCACTGGATTCTACTGTATTATTAGGTATTATTGAGACATTAGTTCAGAAAATCAGAAAATATTCAGCCTGATACAATGATTTGGATAGTTATTCCATCCTATTTATCAATTATTTAATAAGGCAACAGAGTTAGACCTCAAAGAATATATAAAATGAGAGGTAATAAGTTGAAAATGATAATCCAAACATCATAGCAGAATTGATTACCTTTGGTGTAATAGTACTAGTGATCACTTTTATATGCTGATCGTTAACACTGTAGTGACCCAACATCAGAAGATCTGTATTTGCTAGCTGTTGTCTAGTATATCTATCTATCAAAGTGGCTTGTATTTTCAGAGAACCTGAAATCGAAAGTTGATATTACACTCATCAAGGTTTCAACCTGAGAATTCAATTTTCATTACTATAATAATAATCAATTTTCATCATGTTTTGAACCTCAGAAATCAATTTTCAATGTTAATAATACAGTTTTGCTACTAAATTGACATCATCTATCCTCTCTGAAAGGTTGTTTCATTCAAAATTTAGACACAAAAGACAGAGTATTGATCAAATTGAAGGTTCTTTGGCATTCATGAAACGAGTTACCAATATCTATCAACCAAAATGAATAATTCCAAGAATAATAATTTATTTCTGTGACGGGAAAAAAGTTTGGCACTTCATCTCTGTTGGCAGGTATAAAATGTCACTTTTCATAAATTACTTTTTCCCCGTGGGAAAAAAGTGAGTACTTTTTTCCCGCGTACATATCACATATATATACACTGTTGATGGCTTTTGTTGTGCTATAGTTCCGAAATATGAGTCATTAATACCGTCTCCGAGAAAGAACTGCAAGTCTTTTTATCTTCCATTCGACTTCACAGTTCACGGTTACGTATATTACTAAACAACCACTAAATTCGCAATTTTTTGAAATCAAATCACAGAATAAGACTGACAGAAGTGACATCAGATATTTGATTGCTTCAAAAGAATGATAAAGATTCCTACAACGCACGTGGATAATTTTCAATTTCAAAATAATGTAATATTTTCTCAATATTGATTCGTCCTTTCTTCTGTCACAGAAAAAAATAGTGTAATATACACGGGAAAATATTAGATTTTAGCTCACGGTTTTTTGTCTCCCTTCGCTACGCGTCGGGAGACAACACAACCTGGAGCTAAAATCTACTACTTTTTTCCCTTGTATAATTAATCACTATTAAAACTGAAAAAGCGAATTGCTGTTTGTTTTGACTTGCATAAATGAAATCAATAGGTAATATTATATTAAATATTTAATTCAAATATCAGTCAATCAATACAACATACTATTCAATAATCGCTGATATACCATTCCCATTAGGTCCTCAATACAGATTTCACTGATTTCTTCAGAATATTTTTTTATAGGCACCATATTGATATTAATAATAGTAATAATAAATCTCGTCTTTATGTAAGCTAAATTTAGCCAATACTATTTTTACATTTAACCGATTTTGAAATTAGTAGTAATTTATTTTAGCCATATAAACACATAATAATATATAATATGTGACTTGTTATAATAATATGTCTTTTTAACGAATCAAACACTTAGGGCTTTAACAATTTATTCACTTCGACCGACTCGTTACCCTGCACAGTGAATACTGACTTTTATCATCCCGTCCAGGAATGCGTGACTCCAAAATGAATCACCGTATTGCATTGTATAACTTATTAATCAGTTGAACATTCCATCACCTCGTTTATATTAATCGTACAACAAAATAATAATAGTAATGATATTTAAACAATGAAAATAATAATAATATTGATGATACATTTCTACAATACTATAATAATAATTATTATTCTTCACAGACTACAAAATATTATATTACATTGCATCCATATGTTCACTTCTGATGAGATATTTTGACATGATTCTTGCATATATTCAGTGGAATACTGGTTTATTATATTCCACTTCACCTATATAGAATTCTGAACGCTGCGCCCGTGTTTTCTTTGCTTAATTCACAACAAAATTATCTTGACCTCTAGAATTATAGTGATGGCAGGCAGTTTTGAATTTTCCCTAGTATATTTTTCAGATATTGAAATTACTAACTTAACCTAATCTGACGTTAAGTAACGTAAGCTTCACCTAATACAAAAAAGAAATGTGGAATATTTATAAACTTCCTGTTACACAATATAATATAAACCACAAAATTGAAATGATCTATGAATCAAGATTTCAACAAATCATGCTTCAATTTGTATTTGAATTTCGTGACGGGTAATCATTTATGCGCAGAATTCATTTGATCCTACAAAATAATTGTATTTTATGTGAAAGTTTGCTTGAACATTGAAGCAGGGTATACTGAGGCATAGTACTTTACTTTTTATGCAAAATTCAACAGTTTATATAAATTCAAAGTAGAAACGATCTACTCACTTATTTGACTCAGTTCTTCATAAGCCCTGGCACCAGTCACATTCAAATCTCGTTTCAAATCAATCTTGTACTCCCAAACACCATCGTTGTTTTCCATTTGGTACAACTCCCGTAAAAAAATTTCTCTGTTGCCACCTCCTTGCGAAGTGACCGAGGTAGTGACTTCGACAACGCTGTTATAAAGAACTTCGGGTTTCAAGGGAGATCCATCATGGTAGGAGGCTATCAGCTACAATAAAATTATGAATGGACCTCTAGAACTTTTAGACTGTACACAAAACATCCAAATGAATGACCAAAATTCACTAAAAATTGAGTGATCTATGATATTTCACAAAGATGAAATCGGGTGGCCAATGGGCGTGTACACCTCAGTAGAACTTTTAACTCAAACCATGTTTATAATGATCCTTTTATACATAAATAATGATTGACGACATAATTCGATAGAAAAAATAACTGGAATGTTTTATTTTTGGACATAAATAATAGTACCTTCTAAAAACGGACCCTCTTATGAAACCTCATCTCGCCATAGTTGAAAGAAAATACCAAACGCCCGACGGAGACTAAGGCAACTGATATATTAATTCTTTCAACTGTGATCTCGCGCTAATTCACTCTGACAGAAATCATGTATCATTCATCTCTGTCTGGAATAGTCTTGTTTCAGTATTAGGGTTTTGACGTCACATCATCGCCTCGTTTTCAGAGGTCCGAAAAATCGGGGATTTCAATAATTTTTTATAAAACGTAGGGAGCTCACAGCAAGAAACGGTTTGCGGTGGTGAGCTAGTTTTGGTGAGTTCTATCGAATTATGAAATAATTTTTTTTTGTGATATAAGCCCATTATACTTTGATCCATTTGAAATATTTACATTTCTGAAATCATAAGATATTAGTTGCAATTCACTGCTCACTTCTGGCTTTACCAGTTGGATAATTTTCCTATCAGTGTCACTTTTGCTTCAATGGTCAAATACCCAAAGAACCAGTAAAATGTGGAACACAGAAAGTATGGAGGGAGATCAAAATATATTCATATATTTCTGTTGGTTTTAGGTTGTAATGATTAATGAATTCAAGCTTTTTTCGATATTTTCTCATCAGTATCAGTAAAAACGACATTTTCATGACACTTGATTCAAAATAAAGTTTCAATCTGTCAAGCGTTTTTGAAGGGATTACTTTTTTTTATAATTCAATTCAAATGCCGTGGCTATGCATTGTCAACTTCAAAAATCATTATAATTTGATGAAATGAAAATAATGGAGATTCCGTCAATTAAGGATAAAAATACATGTGGTATATATTATGGCATTTGGATTGAATTTTGGCATTTCAGAATCTATATGATTTAAAATAATCATCTAAATATGTACATTTCCCTGTTATAAACATTTATGTTTCTTGGGAATAATAATGATTATTGTAATATTATTCATATGTTACTTACGTATGTGGTTACTGGCATGCCAGGTTTGAATACTTGAGGAGAATCCCCCAGGAATTTCAGGTTGATGCTAGAATTGAAAATTCTCGCTGTGGAGTAGCCCTCGATAACTTCGTCTAAAAATCGATCACCGACTGTGGCGGTTACAACGACTTCCATGCCATCTAGGGTGGGAACATAATTTAAAAGTTCTTGTAGAGGATATCTGAAGTGGTAAACACCTTCAAACTAAAAAAAAAGAATTATTTCTAATATATTTTTTTATTAGATTTACCTGTTTTATTCCACTTAATAATTGAATGGGTTAGTGAACTGATACTTTCTCATTTTTGGGGCCGGTTGCATACAGCTCTCCGTTAACTTAACGAGAAATTGACTGTCCTTACTCATCAGCTGAGGCATAATATGTTACAGGATGTTTCATTCTGAGCTCAAAATATCAAGAATCAACCCAAATCACCTAGACAAAATGTGTCTGCTGTCTGAGTCACAGGGTGTTTTACTTGATAATTTTAAAATTATTTGTTCCTAGTACTAATTGAAGTATCATTGCCATATTTGGTTGAAACTGTAGATAATATATACTACTACGCAGGAGCATACTTTCATGTATAATTTTTTAACATCAAAATATATACATAATGATTCCCTCCAAAAGGCATACTGGATGAAATCACGTCCTCGGATCTATCACTACCTGCCGGTCTAATAGCACAGATGCCATAAATTGAAATACAAATGGAAACTTCAGAAACATTATTTCATAATTCATAAATTCTCAATTGTGTATGTATTAGCAATATCATTAATTAGCTATAAAGCATCCATTGTCTCAAAATTGTCCCTCTTATATGTTGTGTTAACTTCTATCGGAGATTGAAACACCAACGTGGGTAATTCAACAATTTATTACTTTCTCACAAGCACTCTCATACAACGACTGCTCGATACTCCACTACAATTCATACTCCCGACTGACTAAACATCTAACTGAATCATACATTCTTCATCCCATGACGACTCATACACTTTACTCATCATTATACAGGGTGTTTGGTAGCTGGGTGCAAACCTTGAAGGGGGTGATACACTAGCCCATGTAGAACATATTCATACAAACATTTTCATTTTCTAGCGCGTTTTTGATTTTTAAGGGAACTTTTACGATTTTTAGTACAAAAACCCAAAATTGAAAGAAGAATTGAAATTATGAAACAGGAAATGCAAATGAAAGTAACCACAACTGAAGTACGAAATCGTTGTAGAAAGTGTATACGCAATGGTGGAGGACATTTTGAACACCAACAATAAATTTTTACAGTACAAAACATTTTTTTCTTCAATTCCAAAAAAATCTATATTTACGACCTTTAACTGGTTCAGGTACCATAATTTAAAAAGTTCAGGATTTAGCTAGATGAATGATACCTCAAACGAAAGAGCAATAACTACGCATTTTTTTAAAAGTGTCTGAACACCTGTATGTATTTTATTTATTTTTTTAATTGGCATCAAAGGTCAGAATTTTCATTTTCTTTCTTTTTTTGTAAAGTTTAAATGCTCTGTACATAACTTTTTTGGACACAATGGTGCTTCAGACTACTTTAGTACGATTTGGGACACATAAGACTACTAAAATAAATGAAGAAAACCGGACATTTCTGATAAGATTAGAAGTTATTAGCATTTAATTGATAAATGTTGGGTATTTGTACTAAAAATCGCAAAAGTTCCCTTAAAAATCAAATACGCGCTAGAAAATAAAAATGTTTGTATGAATATGTTCTACATGAACTAGTGTATCACCCCCTTCAAGGTTTGCACCCAGCTACCAAACACCCTGTATAATTTCGTAACAGTTGTGTCTTATTGCTTATGATGAATTTGTGTTATTAATAATTATATTAATTCACACTAGAGGCACAGCATTGCCAAGTCTCTATAGCCAATGTTTTGTTATGGAGTATAATACATATTTTGACAAGCTGATTGCTCTAAAAAGTCACAAATTAATAACTACAATATCATGGCTTCCTCCTATTAGGTCAAATGAAAGATTTTATTTGGATGTAGTTTTATTCAACAATAGGGCTCCAACAACTTTTTAATAACTTGATTATAATTGTTGATCTGACAACCTTGCTTTATGAGTTACAGCACATATGAAATGAAGTTTGAAATTCAACAATTTCAAACAACACAGTCAAAAAAAAACGCGTAGGAAGTGCTGAAAAAATCAATTCAGGTCCGTATCGCCACAGTGGAGTAATTGAATGCCAATTATTCAGTACCAGTCCACTAGTCCATTCGTGACGTATTGGCCGAGTTTAACGGACATTTTGGCGAGGTTGGCGATATTATGTATCTTTTCGGTCGAGTAACCGACAAACATTATGACTCACTCCTATGTATCAATATTAACAACTAACTAATCAACATCATACCGTCGAATCAGGCAATTTTTAATAGCGAAATGGCTCATAATTTGCAACAAAAAAAACATTCGAATGGTATGAAAATTCTTTTGAGGTCTATGACAATACAGTACAATTGTTTTGCATTATTATTTATAAAATATCGTTTCAGTTCATCTTCAAAGTCTTATGATGACTAACATTATCGCTTAAATTTTATGATTTTCACAACTTCACTGTGAGGATGGACTAAGACTAAGAGCAAATATTCTTGAGAAAAAAAAAGTGAAATATGTGTTCACTTTCCTCCATTCCATCCTGAAATTCCATTATATAAGTGAAGCAACACATGGAAAGTAATTTCAAATCAATGAATGTTTATAAATTCAATTTTGGAGCAAGGCACATTTCTTCATTCAAGATGTCATTCCAGATTATTGTCAATTATTCCTAGTAGCTATTGGATATGGTTTCATGCATGTAATTTTCAAGATCAATTTTTATATGATATAGTACCGGAATGTGGATGTGAATTATGTCACAAAATACCAAGCGTTATATTATTAATAGGCGAGTGGACTAATTTTTTTATTTCCTAAATAGAATCTTCTCTCGGATACCTTTCAATTTAATATTTTTAAGAATTTTTTTGTCGATTTTTAGGTGCTAAAATTTACCGCCAGTATAAACTGACGCCACGATTTCGAAAGTAGGGGCAGACCATAGCACAGTTGCCATGTGTTGAAATACGATTGGGAACTTCAGAAATATTAGTAATTCGATAATTCATAAATTCTCAATTGAGTATCGGCAATACTCTACTATTCAATTGTCTCCAAATGTTCCGAGTTCCCTTATTATTAGTCGCTTATTGCTTATAATAAATGTGTGTAAATAATAATTATATTAATTCGCACTAGAGGACACTTGAATGGGTGAACGTGATAACCACGCACGACTTGTGGGCGTGGTCTTGTCAGTTCTCAGCTTTCAGTACAATGTTGCCAAGTCTGCATTATTCACCTGATATTTTGTACTGGAGAATAAGAAATATTTGGACATGCTGGGTGCTTGAAAAAGTCAAGAATGAACTAAAACATCATGGGTTCCTCCTATTATGTTTTATTCAACGACAGGACTTGAACATCTTATTGATAACTTGATTATAATTGGTGACTTGACAATCTTGCTCCATGAGTGGAAATGAAAGATTGTCTGACCAATAACGAAACAGCATGAAAACTGACGTCACCATTTATTCGACGTATCGCCAGATGGCGGCCATGAAGGTTCGTTTGAAAACGAACAATCCATAGACTCATTATTAACATAAAAAAAGCGTGAGAAGTATTACAAAAATTGATTTGGGTTCCTAATGACACAGTGGAATAATTGAATGCAAACAATTCATTAACAGTCCACTCGCCCATTCTCAAATTATTCATAAAGTATCAATAACTTCATTCGGAAATTCAGAAAGAAAAAACTGATGAATAATGTACCATCATTCATAATATACAGAGTGGGCCTTTGAAAACGAAACAGAGGCTCTGTAGGTCGCCAAAACCGGATTATGAAAAAAATTTGAAACACGTCAACTACATTTTCGAGGGGGACATCGTTCTAAATTATTTTCAGCTCTGCGGCGTTGCCGCTTCTAACGAAAAATAGCAACAACTTTGTTATTTCAAATGGAACACTTTGTATTTTTTTGCATTTTTTGATGCTCCCCGAAGAGCTGATTTCATCAATGCATCACACTTGGGGTCTAGCTGTGAAGGTTTCAGGGATATAAAGTGTTCAAAATCGAGATTTTTCAACTTGAGCATTTTTTTGTGTCAAAACTATTCATTATTGGTCAAAACGGCCTTCATGTCCCTATCTCAACTTGTGATTTACTATCTACTGACATTTAATTGAAACAGAAACAGGGTGATCAGAATACTGAATCTTGAACCACCCTGTATTTGTTTCAAATAAATGTCAGTAGATAGTAAATCACAAGTTGAGATAGGGACATGCAGGCCGTTTTGACCAATAATGAATAGTTTTGACACAAAAAAAATGCTCAAGTTGAAAAATCTCGATTTTGAACACTTTATATCCCTGAAACCATTACAGCTAGACCCCAAGTGTGATGCATTGATGAAATCAGCTCTTCGGGGAGAATCTAAAAATGCAATAAAATACAAGGTGTTCCATTTGAAATAACAAAGTTGTTGCTTCTTTTCGTTAGAAGCGGCAACGCCGCAGGGCTGAAAATATTTTAGAACGAATTCCCCCCCCCCCCGAAAATGTAGTTGACGTGTTTCAGATTTTTTTCATAATCCGGTATTCGCGACCTACAGAGCCTCTGTTTGGTTTTCAAAGGCCCACTCAGTATATGTTTACGCAAATAAATAAAAAAGATCCATACTCACAAACTTCATGTGTGGAATCGGATCATAGTAGTTAGTGGGCGTCGGCATCCAAAACGGTAATTTCTCATCAAAATGGAAGTATTTCTCCAGAACAGGTCTATTGTAAGACCCTTCCCTATCTCCGAATAATGGTCTATTCGGATCATAGTTTCGGTTGTCTAAGTTGGGATTGTCGAAGGTGTTTGATTCATAGGGAGCATTGCTATCATAAGGCCTGTCATTCTGGTTGTTCAAATTATCGTAGTAGGCATTTCGGTCGTTTGGTCTGGGCCTGTTTTTTCTGAAGTAGGTATCAATTGGTCTGATTGGTCGAACGGTAGCCTTCAGGGTTAAATTACCCCGGACAGGAGCACCACTGGTATAATTTGCCATTATAATACCGTAAAGGTATGGTTCTGTATTCAAGAAAAAGGCAGGCATTGTAACGTTGACCTGAAACAAAATATTATTGATCAACAAAACCTTAAAAACATATTTCTTTCATCAAAGAATCGTTATATTAAAAGTTTTGAAAATAATATGGAAGCTTGAGTCGGGAAATTCCTAGATTTCTGCACTTGATAGGAGAGTTCACTATTATTTAAATTTTTTGTTGTTCTGGTTCCCACAAAAAGGGATATCCTGTAATGTTCAGCGAACATCGTGAGAACCAAGGGAAATAAGGTAGAAATTGGTCATCTTCTTAAATTTCTGGAGGTTATATGCCTCGGGAAACACCTCCCTTGGCAATGTGTTCCAGAGCCTCGCTGTTTGTTGGCTGAACGAGTCTTTGGAAAGAGATGTTTTGCAGGTCTCCAAAGTGACCACGAAGGGGTGAGAAGCCTCAACTCGACGGCTTGATCTCGCGGGGACTGTCAAGGGAGGAACAATTGCTGATATTTCAGAAGAGCATGGTCCATGAAAATATCTATAAAATAAAGCCAGATCGCCAACTTTTCTACGGTGTTCCAGAGAAGTGAGTGAGTTTGTGAGCGAGGCATCACCCACGAGACGAATTGCTCTTTTTTGGACAGAATCCAACAGTTTCAGGTATGTTTGGGTGCTGCACTTCAAATATGGGAACAGTATTCCAGGACAGGTCGGATCTGTGCCTTATAGATCATAAGCAGCTGACTGGAAGTGAAAAAGCTCCTGGCCCAAAAAAAAAACAAGTTTTTGGGATGCACTTGACGAATTGCCCTTTTTTGGGCAGAATATTGCTGATAGTAATACCAAGCATCGAAATGGATGTCTTCAAAGGTATGGTTACTCCTGACAAGCTTATGTTGGGCACAGTGAGATCGGCTTTTCTAGAGAAAAGGCATGCTTGTGTTTTGTATGCATTGAAATTTACCAAGTTATTGGATCCCCATTCGAGAATTGTTGTGGAGTCCATATTTATATTGTCAACATTTCTCCCTCGTTCGTTTCTGATTTGCCTGGCTAGTATTGGAGCCCTGGAAGAGAAGGCAGTCTGGAGGGTAGTATCATCCGCGAAGCTGTGTACTGGACATGAAGTTGCTCCCAACAAATCGTTGATATGGAGTAGAAATAGTGTTGGTGCTAGAATTGATCCTTGCGGAACACCAGCATTTATGATAAGAGAGTCAGATGGAACTCCGCCGACAACTACATGGAGAGACCTGCTTGAGAGAAAACTAGCTAGCAGAGAACATAGCAGGGGAGGCAAGCCATAAGATGGAAGCTTGGCGAGGAGTCCGTGGTGCCAGACTCGATCGAATGCCTTGGAGATATCAAGTGCCACAGGTAAGGTTTCGCCATATTTTTCAATAGATTGCTGCCATATATGTGAGACGTAAGCGAGCAGGTCACCAATTGATGATTAGATGGTTCCTTACCTCAAATCTGGTTTGATAATATTCTTCGACCAAGAAAGTGGATTCTTCCACTTGCCCTTGTGCAATAACTCTTATTTTCCACTCGCCAAAAATGGGCTGGTCGGAAAGTTGATAGTCCAAGCTGACGGTACCTAAATTCGACTGTCTGGAGAGCCACCTCTTCATAATGTGTCCGTTAGGGTCTAACATGAATACGTCGACAGCATCATTGAAAGCTTTCAGTTCAGTGTTGATTGGAATTGTACGAAAACGAACTGAAAATCAAATGTAAAGAATATGAAGAAACTACTGATTAATCAATCGGCAGCAAGTTGTTGAATAAAATTCATGATATTTCTTGTTATACTTTTTCCCTCATCAGAAGATTAATTCAGGTAAGTTTTTCAGCTTTTCTTGTACAACTGATGATGATCATTGAATAGATGTTTAAAATTTTTTGACTTGTGGAAATAATATAGCAAAGTTGAAAAATGTGACAGTGTGAAAAATTTAAGAGTAATTTTTACTTTGATATATTTCATAGACAAAAAATACAATAAATGAAAGCAACATCATAACTTCATCTTATTCCATATTTTTCAAGGATATCTTGTCATAAATTTGCTTAGTAAACAAATCTCATCCATTGACTATATAACTCCCATAGCTGTTTTTAGTAATTCCAATATTATACCTCACTTGACATCTCAAAGTTCAATATTATACCAGATAGAATGCAAATATCGAATATCAGAAATTGATATGTAATAAGAAATTCATATGAATATCAAGTTACTTCCGAGCTATACTTCAATAAACCCATTACGCACAGTTGAGTTGAAAAACAATGAATAATATCGATGTATTAGAAAATAAAGTACCTTACTATACAGGGTGAGTCATGATTAGCCAGCCGTAGCCTAATGGCAGATAGAGGAAGTCAAGGTGAGTTAATATACCGGGTGTCCCATTTTAATCTTTATTTGTAAATTTCTCGAAATGTATGCATCTGACAAAAAAAATTTACGAATAAAAGTTGTATGGTTTGGAGGGGGACGTCTGGTTATAAAACAAGTTTCACTCCCTGACCCCCAGGGGAGTGAGAAATGGAGGTAACATTGAAATCTTTAATGGAAACCCCTATTTTTTATTGCAGATTCTGGAAGAGCATTAAAAACTATGAAGCTTTTATTCGAGAACTTCTTTTTTATTTTCACAAGATGGCGCTGCGATCACTTTTTACACATTTCAACCCCCTGAAGACGAGGAAGAGTGTAGGGTGTGATATTTTCCCAGACAAACGCCATTGGGGCGATATTCACACGACAAATTAACACTAAACGAACTTACTTACCTTGACACCTCTACATAGAAAAGAGAAAAATAAGCATGTTTAAGGTATCATTTCGGTCAGACTAAAGCTGGTTTTAAGTGAGATTGACTACTTTATCAAGTGTTCGAAATGACCTCCATTTTCTTGAATACACAAGTTCACTCGCTTTTCAAAATTCCGCATTGTCGCTTCCAACTTAGCAGGCGTTATCTTTCATATTCTCGCGTGTGGTTGGGGGTTCGCGAAACACAATGTTTTTGATGTAACCCCACAGAATGAAGTCTGGGGAAGTCAAGTCGGGTGATCTGGGTGGCCAACTACAAACTAAATAGTAAAATATTGTTTTTCAAGATCGCAGCGCCATCTTGTGAAAATAAAAAAGAAGTTCCTGAATAAAAGCTTCATAGTTTTTAATGCTCTTCCAGAATCAGCAATAAAAAATAGGGGTTTCCATTAAAGATTTCAATGTTACCCCCATTTCCCACTCCCCTGGGGGTCAGGGGGTGAAACTTGTTTTATAACCAGACGTCCCCCTCCAAACCATACAACTTTTATTCGGCAATTTTTTTTGTCAGATGCACACATTTCGAGAAATTTCCAAATAGAGATTAAAATGGGACACCCGGTATATGTGAAAAAATAAATTTTGCCTATTCCTAACAGAAATACAGGACATTATTTGAATTCGGTGCGAGACTTTGATGGAAGATATTTCAGGAACGTCTCGATGTTTTCGCCTGAAATTTACCAGCAATTTACCTCTACTGACACACCACACGATGGCCTACTATGGAAGAAAATTTCCAGAGCCGAACTTGGAGAACTCATTTTCTTTTTGAATGTCAAAATTTCGACTTTCTCAATCGAATTTTTGAAAACTCATCAGTATCAGAAAAATCAGGAACCCTACAAGTTTAGCTTTTTAATTTGTACGGCACACTGCGGCTGGATTGGTGAAGAAATATCAAACAAAATACTGATTAACGATTCCATGATTTCGTACTGGCTATTGTAGTCACATCATTCATTGGTGTATTATAAGAGTTGGAAAAATTATTACTTATATTTTTTCCGAATCAGATATAACGTGCCAACTCATACTACATAGAGAATATTTTGAGGTAATATTACTAATATTGAATATCATCTCATTGCATGTGAACTCTCTCAATCAGTGAATTAAATTGTGAGTTTTGTGTTTTCAATATTCAGAAAACAAGAGAAGGCTGTGTAACCTACTTTAGACAATTTTTCTTAGCTGGTACAAAAAATATGAATGTCAAAAAGTTAGATTAGCAAGGCACAGGCAGCTTTTCGTCTGGCGAGCGATGATCATAGATTCGGACTTTGTTGAGGTACCAGAGGGGCGCCACTTAGTTTGTATCAGAATAAAAAACCAAGAAAAGATATTTGATATTAAATTCAACTACTTTCCTGAAAGAGAAAATAATTCAAACACTGTGTGAACTCAATGGTGGTTTAATGAGATATTTTGTAAAACCCAGGTTAACATTTACATGGAGAATTAATGACACTCAGTATTTCCAATAGTAATAAAAAAAAATATTCAAAATCAGATTCACAATTACCTATATATGAATTTTATGTGAATTCCCTTTTATAGATCTATATTGGGGCGAACATTTCGTGTAATCATATGCATGGTAAATTTCATGAACTAGTAAATGTAAACTGGTAAGAAAATATGGTCAGAAATTGGTAAGAAAATTGGTAAAAATTATGTGACACATCTGGTGCTGATAAATGGTAACTTCATAAAAAAACAGGAAAGAAATCTTCAATTGTAGCTCTTACTCAAACCATGCCCAAAAATACCATGTCCTCAGAGCCAGGGCAGGAACAGACAGCAGGAAGTGGCACCTCAGCCACGTGGAAGAAATTCTGCCACTAGCAGACCTTGATGATGCACCTGGTGCTGCAGCGAGGACTGCATAGATGACTGCAGAGAGGACTGCTGATGTAGGCCAGGAGCAGGTGACTGGGCCATGCAGCCAGGATGAATTCGGGACTCCTCAGGAGATGTCTCGGGAGATGTCCTTGAAGGCTCGCAGGTCCAGACAGACAGAAAGTCAGGCAGCAGCAGCCAGACGACGAGGTCGAAATCCCAGGTCCCAACAGCAAAAGTCTCAATCGGACTAGCCGGCGTCGAATCAAACGACGTATCCGAAAATGGACTCCACGAGGTGTTGCCCAAAGTAGCCGACGGGGTATCCGTCGAGGCCCACAAATCTGCGGCAATACACCAATATTTATAGCCACCAGAATAAAACTATGAAGTAGGGTTTTATCCCTATTAGGTTTGAAACTTACCCCTGAGATCAGGAAAGGCCTCACTACACGAAAAGACTACCAAATAGTGATCGGTCTGCATCTTGAATGATACCAGGATGGGGCCGAAGGAAATGATGAAACGACGCCACCAATCTAGGAAGGGGCAATTCCTGCGCCTTCTAGAATCTTACATCTAGAAATTCTACCCAGAAAAAACTTTGAAATTTCCTGCGCAACTTGAATTTTGAAGACAGCAGGAAACGTTGATCACGTGATGTGCATCCTCAGCCGGGGTTGGTCAGTTCCACAGGCATAGCTACTTACACACTTACAAGACTATCCTGTCTACTTCGAGGCACGAAAATCCATAAAACAACAAACATATGACCACGGAACACCTAGAAACATATTCCGATCGAAGATCCAACGTCATCCTACTCCGCCCGAACCAATGGAACCACCTACACCGCTGATTTCGCAGCCAGCATACTTTTAATGATACTGTCCAGGTATTACTCGTATGACGGTGAGTGACATGACATGACAGCACTGTCACTGTTTTGAGACGTCAATGCCAAAAATACACTTACATAATATCAACAAATCGTTGTTATTGATTAACAATATGAAATCAATAATCTCAAAACTCATCTCAGACCATAATAATTCAAGGTACGTAGCGAAATTTCCAGCCAATTGTTAGGGTATTCTTCAAACCTAAATAATCTACCATCTGAAACTATTTTACATTCACTAACTACTTATTTATTTTCAGGTGAAACCACGAAGTGTCAACACCAGGACATCTCTCCAACCTAAGCCTACTATACTGATGAAAAATCAAGCAACTTATTTCTGGTGAGTATTCTACAACTTCATCAATATTCTATACTAAAGTGTTTTGATATTTTCAGGTGAAGGACCACTTCACACTCTGGACCATTGGAGGAATAATATTGTAGATACTTAAGTGCCATGTACTTTTATACATGAATAAAAACATTATATACAGTGTGAGTGTCTCTCTAGTTGTTAACACCGAAATCTATCATCAAAAACCTGATACACAATGAACTTTACCTAGGAACTGAAAATTAGAGGAAAAAGGTAAATTTTCACGTTACAGCTGTGATGGATGTTTACAAATTACTCAATACAAGTGAGAAAATACCTAGAAAAACAATTCTCTAATCGCTGGATAGGTCGTGGCGGCCCTCATTCTTGGGCCCCTGGGTCCCATAATCTCACAGTATTAAACTATCATCCTAAGGAGACATATGAAACGATTGGTCTATCAGACTGAAGTCTACACCTGAGAGGAACTGAGGAAGTGGATTGTTTAAGATTCAGATATGATCAGGATAATAGGCAAATTATTCGAAAAATCAAAAGAGATCTTCCGAAGATATGCAGCAACATTGGAGGGCATCTTGAGAATCTTCGTTGAAAATTATTAGGATACAGACAAATCTTTTTCGAAAACCAAGTCCGGTCCTGATTTTTTTTAGTAATACCTTTTCTCAAATCTGCTGCTATATCAATATGCAAAAAAATAATTTGAATACTTCAAGTAGAATGCTCGGTAGAATGTATAGAGTAATGGCCCGGACGAAATCGAAGAAATATTCACCTGAACTTTGTTTGATATTTTTTCACAAATCCGGTCCAAGTGTACCGTACAAATTGAAAAGCTCTTTCTGTTTCTGATGAAAGTTTTCGAAAAATACGTTTCGGTAAGTGGAAATTTTGACATTTAAAAAGAAAATGAGTTTTCCAAGTTCGGCTCTGGAATTTTTCTTCCATAGTAGGCCATCGTGTGGTGTGTCAGTAGAGGTGAATTGCTGGTAAATTTCAGGCGAAAACATCGAGACGTTCCTGAAATATCTTCCATCAAAGTCTCGCCCAGAATTCAAATAATGCCCTGTGTTTCTGCTAGGAATAGACAAAATATATTTTTTCACATAAATTATATCAACCCACCTTGACTTCCTCTATCTGCCATTAGGCTATGGCTGGTTAGTCATGACTCACCCTGTATAATCATGATGAATATAATAATGGATAATACTTCAAATTATATCATACCATCTTTCATGTCAATACCAAAGGACGAAAATATCTGATCAGTCAATGTTGGTCAATATGCATATTCTTACCACTTTCTCCTTGCATATAGACTGGTTTATCTAGCTGTATGAAAATAGTCATGGATCTTTGAGAAAACGTCAATGTTGTCTCATTTATAAATTGAGCACCTCCCAAAACGTCATCATATAAACCTTCCACCCTCAGTTTGTATTCTCCATAAGCACTAGTATTTGGAATCTCGAAAAAAAAAAACAACGTTATTTTTTCAACAAAAAAAAATTGACAAACATGACTACATTTACAAATTGTGCTATAGAATCCTTACCCACATCAGTAAGGTTTCTGGTATTCCCTCTTTCACTTCCTTATGATCTGATGATATCTCTACTCCATTTCTTTGGATAGATGCTCTAACAGTTATAGGTTGCTTCTCTTTCAGTACCGTTGCCGACACTCTGTATAACTGAGCGGGTCTAACCATTTTGGAAGCCACAATAAAGTAAGTCCTGAAAAGTTATGTGGTTAAAATTCTTGTTCTTATGTGAGAATTGATAGAATATGTAGAAAAGCAAGTTGTATTCCAATTTTGACACTTTTCAAAACTAACTGGAGTGTTGAAACGTCTTACTTTTCGTAACCAGTTGTTCATTTCAACACCAGTTACGAAATAATCATATGGATGGGCGAAGAGAATATTGCATTTTGTGTTACTTCTTCCATATCACTTGGGAAATCTGAACTTGAATCAGACATTTTCCACTGATTAAAAAACGAAACGAGACTAAATTTAAAATACAAAGATTTGTCATAATGTTGTTTATCAAATCTGTGAATTTTAATCAAAATTACCTGGATCATATTCAGTTTTCTTGCATTTTTCTGAAGATATATGTTGATTTTGTTCAAAATCTGAAAAAAGTCTTAGGTACTGGTTGTGAATTTTGCTAACTCTAATTTGGATAATCTTTTTGTTTGAATTCATTTCCCAACCCTATAATTTTTTATTCTATTCATTTACTGAATTGTTCCCTCTGTTTTGCTGGTAAACCTTGAATTTTTGGTATTTTCTGGTCTGAATTTTTGATCATCATGTCGTTTTCAATTATTATTATTTGTTTGAAATTAATTTCATTTACGTCAAGTTTCCCGTTCCATTTTAATTCTGAATCGATTGATTCTTCGCGATTTCATCCAGTTATGAATGAATTGAAAGTTTGGCTTTTTCTCTCAATACAATTCTGTTGTTTATTATTAAATCTTCCGGTCTGAAGTGCACCTAATAAAAATGCGATGAAATTTTGTTGGCTGAACCTATATTCCATCACGGCCGCTTCACGTTTTCTTTTCATATTTGATGGAAATTTGAATAAAGTAAATCGATCTCCAGTATTTTTACAAATTAGAAACAGCACAAACTTGCATGGCATTGATGCCACGCACATTCGACAGATTACCGACCATGGAGGTCAAGTAAAACAACCTCACTTTTTTTGTTTGTTTACAAATGTTTGAAATAGTTTGTCACAATTATTCTGTTTCTTGGGCTATTCATTCATCAAAGTATGCCACCACATTGTGCTGTTGTACAATGCACATAAAATGCAACGAGAGACAAAGGAATATTATTTTTCAGGTAAGGAAATTGTGATCTAAAAGTACTGTTGTCACTTACCTACTTTTCATTCTGAAATTTCGCCATTTATCTTTAGAATTCCTTCTGCAATAGGACCTAATAGAAACACTTGAGAAGTTTCAAATAGAAGGCAAGAAGCTTGGATTCGGTGTGATTTGTAGACATTTTCACTCTAAGCCTGTTCGTTTGTGTTTGTTCTACCTGCTAAACTTGATTTTATTATGACTTTCTCGAACAGAGACAACTATGGGAACAAAATCAACTTTAGCAAGTTTAGCAACACAAACGAACAGACCTTCATCAGCTTCAATTGCAGAAGTGGCAGAGGGAATTCTAAAGAGAAATTACAAAAAATTTGAATGAAAACTATGTGCCGATAACTGTTGAAACAGGTGAGTGACTACAGTACTTTTAGATCACAATATACCTGAAAAATCGTATTCCTTCGTCTCTCGCTGCATTTTTTGTGCATGGTATGTACAACAGCACAATGTGATGGCATGCTTGAATTAATAAATAACCCAAAAAACACTACATTACCAGTATCTATACCTCCTGTCCCTATCCTCCCTAGAAACGCACGATGTTCTTTGAACATTATAGGGATTCCCTTTCGTGCGCTCCAAGCGAAAAAAAACCGTAAACCTCGGGTAAATTGATCGCCTGAAAACATTTTTTCTCAAAGCGCAGGAACCCCCACACTGCCGTTCATGAGAGCGAGTCATGTTTCTTGGTGTAAAGGGCAAGAGTGATTAGGATACATGACAGGTCGTAAATGCGCATGATTCATTTCCACCAGTTCTATATCGTAAGTGGCTTACCTTCTTTCTTATGGAATTAGCGGTCTAGATTGTAGTGTATGTCGGTGATTGCCCCACACCACGCTGAACCATATTCCCATAAGAAATACACATAAAACGTGTCAATCTAGCATACACGCGGCGAGATATATTGATGATGGCATATGAAATATGCATACTGAAATATACACGTGGCGACCTGGACCAAGCCACTGTGTATATTCAAAGATACACATGGCAGTTAACAGAAGTGTCAAATACAGTAAGGATCTCCAATGGGGTTGTACACACTAGTAGAATTTACGTCACATACCGCCATTCCATATTGATCATTCCGTGTATAAATAGTATTTAATGCAATCATTCGTTATTTAAAATCATCGCAAATATATTTTTTTCTAGAAAGAAATTCGGCACCTTCGAAAAACACTAGCTTTGATGACATCATGAACCGAATATGAATTCTTGCTTTCGCTTTCGCAGATTTGCACCTTTAGAGATTCAATATGACCAATGGCAACAGTAATCACATTCACAGAAGACAATAGTTTGACCTGGTCCCTAATAATCACTTATTGAATACTTCTTATATACTTGCAAGTTGCTTCAGTTATCCTAGTATTCCTTATAATGATCGAGATTTTATTAAAACCCTAAATATTTTGTGACCCTGGCAACAACGTAATGCCTAAGTTCCCAGAAATACAAGAAGAGGAGAAGCAGACGAACTACATTGTCAATCATTTGTCCACCTAACTTTCTGGCGTCAGTATCCTCTGTCACCTTCATCTCCAAATCCTTGCTCGAATATTCAAAGATAATCCTCTTATTATCTGATGTTTCAGTTGTGTGTTGTGTTTTCTGTTATCTGCGGTAAGTATTCCGTCCAAAAAAATCACTAGATTCTAGGGCAATCACCTTCTGAGGAGGCGAGCATTTTTCATATTTTGATTGAAATGACAATCAGAAATATTCTTACAGAAATAGAGAATAGATACGTATGTCGAATTTTTTCGGATGATATGAAATATCATGAGTTTCAATAATTATTTAAAAAATGTGGAAAAAACGGTTTGCGACAGTGAACTAGTTAGGGTTAGTACTTAGAAATAATGAATTGAATTTTTTTCACTAAAACAGGCCCATTTGTCTGATTGATAATCTCTTGTATATACTCACGCTTCTTTTATCAAAGTACTATGTGTATCTCCCTGCGACCTTCCGCCACCGAAAAGATCGTTCCTCCAAGAAGGACTCTGCCCCCTACCGCCGCCGCCGTACTGATTGACGTAGGGATCGTACTCCCCCCTACTCCTATCCCTGTCCGAGAAGGGGTCCCTCTGGCCGTACGGATCGTTCCTGCCGTAGAAGAAAATCAAAATATTGTAATTGGTGCAAAACAATGTTATTTTCATAGCAGTACACTTTCCACTGTACATTATTATCAGTGCGTATCTGGAAGACAGGAAACAAATAGAAAAATTATTGATATTTTGAAGTAAGTAGGAATTAGTTTTTTTATGTTCTGGTTCCCACGAATGAGATAGGAATTGGTGTTTTTCTTAAATTCTTGGAGGTTATATACCTCGGGGAACACCTCCCTTGGCAATGTGTTCCAGAGCCTTGCTGTTCGTTGGATGAACGAGTCTTTGGAAAGAGGTGTTCTGCAGGTCTCCAAAGTGACCACGAAGGGGTGCGAAGCCTCAACTCGACGGGTTAATTCGTTACCACCGATACAACAAGGCCAGCAGACTCTGACGTAAACAGCTCGTGACGTCGCCAAGTGAGGCCAGTGTTTTATTTTATCGCTTGTCGACTAACGCGTCAGTTCGTGTTAATTCATCGGTGATTCACGTATGTTTTTGTAACGATCCCGAATTCTTTTGTTGTTTATTCATCAAAATAATTGGCGGAAAAATTACTGTGAAATATTTTGTGTTGTGATCGGCGAAATAACAATGCCTTTCAAGTGTTGTGTTCCCTTTTGTCGGGGGAATTATGTGGGTGGTTCAAAAGTTCATGCTTTTAGTTTCCCGTTGGACGAGGAGCTATCGAAAATGTGGGTAAGTATATACAATTCACCGCGAGGATTTTACTCCATCTAAGTATCTAAGTTCAGTAGTAAACAGAGCTTAATTTATAATGATGAATTAATAATAGAAGACAATTACTCTCTCATAAAAAGTATAAGTAGAGGAAAAATAGAAAAGCTTTGATTGTGCAGTTAGTTTTGTATTCGTATATTATAGTCAACAAAATCATCTCTGAATTCGAGGAAATTTTCTTGAATGTTCATAATAAACGGGCATTTTTAATTCTCATTCTCGAATTTCTTTCTGAAAACGGTCATTTGCCTCGTGGCAATGAATGCAGAATTCATTCCAATGATCAAATTGCAACTATCATATTAACATGAACTACAAACAGTCTACTCAAAAAAGGTAAAACTGCATTTATCATGATATTTATCATGAAGATATTTGACTGAAAAGTTCCAAATTTCACCTTCTCTTTCACCTGTCTTCTGGATGGCATTTAGAACAAATTTCCCTTCTTTTTTCATCATATTGGACAATTTATATATAATTCAACTATAAATATGATTTTCTTGAGATTAATCCATATTTAGTGAAAAGAAGGAAGAATATCATTCAAAATAATGGCGTGTGTAATGTCATTCGAAAGCAATCTATTGACATTTGACATCTCGTATTTTGAATGACTATTGATTGAATGGTCGTCATCTGGAATGCTTGTTCACTAAATATGAAAAACTCGCCATGAAAATCATATTTCCTATTGAATTTTCTATATAAAAATGTGCCATCGAAGTACATTATGAGTATATGAAGTGTCCAATGACAATATAAGAGCAAGTAGCTTAAAATGCACCCAACACAAGGGGAGAAAGAAGGCGAAATTCCTAACTTTTTCTTGAAATATCTCAATAAATAGTGGTTTGTTTTCATTATAAAATTCGGTTTATCAGACTAAAATACGTGAGTACCGAAAAAAAATTTCAAAAAAAAAACCTTCGCATGATAAATGCAGTTTTACCCTTAAAAATTACGGTTTCAAGTGTAACGATCCACTTGGGTGAAAAATCCAACAACAGAAAATTGAAAACACTCACTGGTTATTTTTTCAGGTAATAGGAATCCTCCAAGATAAATCTAGATATTTGTAACAAACGGCATGTCAATCAAAATAAAATACATTTTCCACAATTTTCTTTCGATCAATCTCACGATAAGTTTATGTTCTGCGGGCCCTCTATAAGTAGGTGTGAAGTTTATCTTCACCACAATTTTTGCCAATATATTTAATTCGAATGGGTTGCTGTATGTGGATATTTGTGTTTTATCCTGGTTTTTGCTTTAAAACTTCGTTTTTCCATAATAAAATCGAATGGGGTGCGAAGAAGGGCTCAGTTGACGACTGGCATCCTTTTTTAACCGGAAGCCTTTCAAAAAACAGCAAAATCGGCTCAATGATGATCTAAAACTAAAATCGAAATACGCGGTCGCCTTATAGCGCTATAAGCGCTTGTCGTTTCGAGCCGCTGGTTAGGCCTGACTAAGTGACGTCACCCACGGAGCATGCAGGCCTTGTTGTATCGGTGGTAACGGTTAATCTCGCGGGGACTGCCAAAGGAGGAAAAATTGTTGATGATGGGATGTTGATGATAAGCCCGAAACATGTTCCGTTACGATTGATCTTTGATCATTCTAAGAAAAGTTGTGGAGACCAATTCGGGTATTCATTTATGAAATAAATTATTTTGCACACAACTAAAGTAACTCTCACCTGCCATAGATGTCGTCCACGTTGGGGATAGGGTTCGGGTTCTGCCGGGCAGGGTCCACCGTGCCGTAGGGGTCGTAGGGGTTCGGGGGCTCCGGGGTGTAGGGGTTCGGGTCGCCGTAGACGTTATTCGTGCTCGAGGGGTAGCTGTTGTAGGGGTTGGGCGGGGTGCTGGGCGTGTACTGGGGCAGGTTTACGTCTTGAGCGGTGACGCAGCAGCAGGTGACCAGGAAGAGGGCGGGCCATAGTTTTTGGTCGATCTTCATTCCAAGGGGGTGGTCTGGAATCAAAGAAGAAGAGGATGAATAAATCACGTCGAATAATGTTTATATACAAATATATATTGTTAGGGACGATGTTCAAATCACCCCGTAATTGAGAAGAACGCCTAAGAAATGCCGTAACACAAGCGGCCTCGACGACTCATCGGTATTCGTAATCATCGTGTGATCCAGTGACGGCTCGTGCCGTCAGAACCTGGGTCGGCCAGGGTATAGATATTGCTCTAGAATGCGAACGTAAGTGGGTCAGCGGCTTGAGTGAAGTTCGATGGCAAATGAGCATGTACAGGGTGATTCACCATAATTGTCCTTTCTCCCTCTAGCTCACTTATTTTTGACCCGATTTAAAAATTTGAAGGATGATCTAAAATGATTTCTCAAAATTTTTTTTTCCCGTTGCATCAGGAAATACAGGGTGCACGGAACAAATGATCTACAGGGTACTACTCGATTTTTCCAAATCGAACACCCTGTATTTCATTGTATTTTTAGATTCTTCCTGAAGAGCTGATTTCATCAATGCATCACACTTGGGGTCTAGCGGGAATGATAACAGAGATATAGGGTGTTCAAAATCGAGATTTTTCAAGTTTAGGATTTTTTTGTCTCGAAACTATTCATTATTGGTCGAAACGGCTCCTATGTTTCCATCTTAATTTTTGATTAACTGTCTATTGAGATTTGATTGGAACATTTACAGGGTGGTTCAAGATTCAGAATTCTGATCACCCTGTATCTGTTCCAATTATTAAATGTCAGTAGATAGTAAATCAAAAGTTGAGATATGGACATGAAAGCCGTTTTGACCGATGATGAATAGTTTCGTCTCAAAAAAATCCTAAAGTTGAAAAATCTCGATTTTGAACACCCTATCATATCATGTAATCATTCCCGATAGACCCCAAGTGTGATACATTGAGCAAATCAGCTTTTCAGGGAGAATCTAAAAATACAATTGAAAATAGGGTGTTCCATATAAAAAAATCAAATGGTACCCTGTAGATCGTTTGTTCTGAGCACCCTGTATTTTCTGATGTAGCGGAAAAAAACTCAATCAAAAATCATTCAAGATGATATTTCAAATTTTGAAATCGGTTTAAAAATAATTGAGCTAGAGGGGGGGACATTTATGGTGAATCACCCTGTACACATAACCAAAAAATTAAATTGTCCAGCAAGAACCACGAGGTTAGAGCATTCTCGCCAGGGAAAATGGGGAAAGAAAAAGGAGGTGGATAAGGGTTAGTTGATATGAAAAAATAATAACAAGAAAGTCGAAAAAATAAAATGAAAGAAAATAAAAATAAAATAACTCGTGAACAAAAAATATTTATTATCTGTTGAAAACTTAATGTAAACTCAAAAAAATCAACATAACCGACAACCACTCACCTAACGCGAGAAGCACAACAATGACTAATCGGTCTACGCCGTTCCTGTAACAAGCCACCCCACTGACCCCACTCCTTCGTAGTCGGCTGGCCGAGCCCGCGTGCAGGGTGCAGCCGTAGGTATAATGTTTCCCGCGATGCGATGGATGCATAAATATTATTTAGGTAGTTTACCGCTACATGCGTCTTTGAAAATAAATGATATTCTGGAAGTTATACATTTATTACATTTTCGTCACCAGAGCTTTTTTACGATGTTTCAATACCTACACAGCTCTTGGACTGCTGACATTTTTCTTGCCATATTACCTACATAGGCAGAGGCACAGTAGGTTACATTACAGCAATATTCAAATTGAATTATAACTTATTGACGCTCAGAAGCACTGAAGGAAAATTCTGATACCAATATTAGATGGATATGTTGAATTATGAATTACTGAAAAATTGCAAATTCAAAAATCACCAGTCATTTTTACTGCAACTACTGCAAGCGTAAACAAAAACATGGAAATTATTTTTCTTTTCAGTTTGTACATTTCAAATTCCAACATCAACTTACAAATAAGTATAGGAATTAAAATTATAAATACCTACAATGTAAAATGAAAATAGAATGTCAATCATGCCAATCCTTATATTAAAAATTAGGTCGGAATGGTTCGATACGGTGCACAACGAGCGCACTGCAAACAACTGATACTGATAAGTACGATCGATACGTTGGACGGCCAGCAGAGCTTGGCCGCACCCAAGGTATGACGCGTATAAGCGAAAATTCAAACTTGAAGCGGGGAATCTGTAGGCGATGCCTGTGGCGATGCGTCGAGACATGAAATCACCGATCGGCCGGCCGTCTGCATCAGTGTAATGAGCTACGCGAGCGTTTCGACTGAAAGCGGCGTTTTGACGATGGGATTACCAGATGTCGTAGGTCCTGAATTAGTTCGTGATTTTCGGTGTATATGCGGATGGCATACTCAAAGGTTCCATGAATGAAATTCAAATAATAGTGGCATAACAGTAGGATAATGAGCGATGAATTATGAAAACAGTTTCGGAAAATAATTTTATTCATCAAACAGTTCAGTAATTTTCCCCAAATTATTTGGTACGGCCCGGCCGACCCTGCCGTCCCTGACGAGCCGTCACTGGTGTGATCGAAGATTGAAGCAGGTTTAGTCATTAGCATCGTAGCATCAGAACGAATCCCTTGTCGATGTTGTATTTTTATAAACGGTCATCTTTGTACAAGCCGTCCTGAGTGAATAAAAATGTGAGTGTAAAAACTTCACAAACGATAAGATTTTCACAAAATGTTGTGGAAATCTTATCGTTTGTGAAGTTTTTACATTTGCCATGGATTTCCATCAAGTAACGGCCGAGTCAATTCAAATGAAAAAAAAATGTGAGTGTTGAAATTGTGTCTATCTACGATGCCTCCATTAAGAATCTTATAATATATGTCGATTTTCTCTGAATACTTATTACCATGTTATTTAAAGTTCCCTAACATAGGGGTTCCGCAATAATTGCGGTCCCCATTTAACCTTTTCATAATTTTTCAAAACATTTTCACTAATATGAATTATATGAAAACATAACTTTTTTCCTCCAGAACGGTACTCCTATGCAACAATGTTCGACTGTAAAAATTTTGTCCTGTCCTTATAATATATTTCAAATTTCATACAAAAAACACGCTATAATTGCTATACCCGGTATTCATAAAATAGAGGTTCTGATGAGAATACAATTTGCACAGAGGTTTGCAAACACTAATGTTGAGAAATGACAAATAAGTAATACTGCAAGTGGGTAGCAAAAAGGGGAGCGTGAGGACAAGGAACTCTCCGGTATATTCATTCATCGTTTTTTATTTGAAAAGTATTCACAATTATAAGAGCTACTTTGTACATATGTCCAGAGTTGATTCGTTTCTGAGATAGAGGGCGTAAGAAAAATACGGTATGTATTTATAAAAGTAGTTATTTGAAGTACCTGAGTACCAAGCGTCTAGCTAGACCGGTGAATCTTCAAACATCGAGGTCAAGTGACGTCACCCACAGCACATGATATTCCTTACTTCTTTATATTGAGCAACTACGAACAATCGATAGCTTAGTGGTTTGTGTATCTGACTTCCACGGTGGTGACTGAGGTTCAATCCCTGCGAGGCGTCAATTTTTTTTTAATTTTTTTCACCCAAAATTATTTACGAATTGAATATTGTAAAGTTTCGGAGCATCGGCTGGGGATAGTCCTGCACGATTCGCTGTTGCGTTCTAATTAACAGTGCTGCTCCTAAAGTGGCGCATGGAATTAGTAACAAAGCCTACACATAACACGCAGAAAGAGATGATGATGATGTGTATGTAGGTGGATGTGGAAGACAACAAGCTGAGCGTGAGAGCGGGCCAGCTGCTTAGTGGACCTCGGTCTCTAACGGGGGTTAACGAGAATAGCTAGCAGGCCTGCCACTGCAGCATATGGTAGTGAGTACATTACTAGCCAACAAAACACAGCCGAAAAACTCTGGAAGAGAGCTGATGGGCGGTGCCTGAAAAGGATGTTAGCCAGCTCTCTTAAGCGAACCACATCAGTCATTGAAAACACCTTGGGGCTTGCAAAAAGATCCCATTAGGGACTAGTTGCTGACGTGCAAACGTCCCCCACCAGTACCAGTAGGACAAGTTAGGTTAAATACTTTCCTTTTTTAGGCAGAAGAGATATTTTTCTAGCTAGACGCTTGTATAAGGCGCTAATTTAGCCCTAACTAGATTGAAATCATTTGCGTCTCAGAGCACACTACAGCCAATAATATTGATAGAAGAAAGTACGCCAGTGACCTTTTTGTAGTTCTTTCACCCGCAATAAGGTGGACGACAAGTGCCTAAATCCGACATCTTCCCTTTAGTTCGACAAAAAAAATTGTATTAGAAGTTTTTTTTCTCGGACCCCTGCCAAAAAAAATCCTGGACACGGACTTGAAATGATGCATACCTATCCTAATTTCCTTAGCAATCTGGAAGGTGCCGTCAACAACCAGGAAGTTTCTGTATTTGCTTATAATATCTGTTCTTGCTGGACCAATTCTTTTTATCGGTTAAATTATGAATAAACAGTAAATTTAGCCAACCAGGCAAACAGTGCGAAAAATGGTGTCCAAATTATTAAAATGTGCACTAAAAATAGTGCATAATTATCATCAAGTAAAACAAAGGGGTTCATTGTATGCATCTTATCGCATCCGGAAATAAATAGTATTACATGAATGTGACACAGGCAGTGCAGCATGTTCACATTCATCCGACTCATTCATTTATTTGATTAAAAAAAAGTTGGATTATTCACTAGAACTCGACAACTAACCATATGGTTCGCATCCCACATCACTATGTTTACTGTGAGTAGCTGAACTGGTGGATTTATTCACTCCAAATTCAAAATAATCACTGAAACACCATTTATACGACGTGTTTTATCAACACTGCAATTGCTCATAGTATTTATTATTGTATTCTAGGAGTTGAGGTGAATCGATTTAAAGAAATCCAGAAATCCGGATGTCATTATGTCGAACATCCCACAGGATTTGTGGCATTACTAGTATAC